CGTTCCACCCATGACCCTCTGGGATAGAGGGCCAAAACGTTTTGGCCTCCGCCAACAACGCTATTCCCACTCGCTCATCTTGCAGCCAGGAGTTGATCTGCCGCTGTTTCACATGATCACCTTCCTCAGGAACACCGTTAACGTTCTGGAAGGTGACGCGGGTAGCGAGTGAAGAGCGACAGCGATGGTCATCGCCAAGGCAGTCTCCTGGTGACAGAGAGCGTAAATATTCGTCAAGTGAAGCGTGGGAAACAACACTTGACGGGCCACTAATTCGAGATCTTCTGCCTGCACGCCGTGACCTAGCGGCAGACGACCTAGGGCCTCTCATGGCCCTGCCGCGGAGCGAGGCGCTCCGCGGCCGGCCAAAGAAGGCAACTTAGCAGATCCGCTAGTACCAGATTTGCTAGATGGAGAAGGGAGAAAGAATGGGTGTACACCTCCCGGCGATGCTGCTGTCAGAGATGAGAGGCTCTCATCCTGGGACACAGCTGTCGTAGTATCACCTTCCATCTGAGTTGTGTCCACCTGGACCTGAGACGTGTTCCGAGAGCGCTGCTTCGGCTGCTGAAAGTGAACAGACGTGCTGGTACAAGTGGACTTAGTGGGCGGCTTAAGACCAGCCTTAGACCTGTCAACGCGCCTCTTAGTCTTGGAAGGATCCTTGCTTTTCCTGTTTTTTGGTGGCGTAGTGAATTCGGACCGATCTGGAGATACCTCATTGTTTTGAGCAGGTGGTTGAGAGTTGATGGCCAAGTGGTGGGCTGTTTGACGTTGAAGGGCGTCAAGTTGGGCTTGAAGAGCCGCAGTCGCGGCTTTCTGCTGAGCCAGGGCCTGGTCTTTAGCCGCCAAGGCGTTGTCACAAGCCTCGATCTCCACAAAGACATCCTCCAGTTGTTGTTCATGTTGGTGCATTTCGTCCAGCATCCCCGTGACCGTTTGACCATTGTCAATATCCTTGGCATTCGCCATATCCATATCGATCGAGAGTTGACCTTGGTAGACATTGGTGGTGTCTTCGATCACATTGTCCAAAAACTCCAGCGCTTCCTCCACCTTGGTCAACTGATCGGAGGCCTCAATAGCGCGTAGTGTGTTGGTGCACCATACCAAACACTTACGACGCGTCGCCTGGATCTCTGATTTGGGAATCCATTTACCCAAGACTTGATCAGCTTGCATATCAGTAAGTTCGCACAGGTGATGAATCAAGAACGGAACTATCCCTCTCAACACGTTTTGAGCTAACTGACCGTACTTCTTGCGGCATACAAAGATGTAAGAGCCTCCATTTCTCCAGGAAGGATCATCAGGAAGAGTGGTCCTGCCTTATGGCAATCAATATCGTTCTTCAGTTTGCGGTTGGTGGCTTCAGCCAGCTTGCGTTGTGCCGGGGATAGATCTTTGAGAAAATGATTCTCTAGGTTATCGGAAATGAGCGACTTCTTCTTCTTCTTCTTCACTTTCTTCTTTGTCACCTTCGTGAATGGCCCGGACAGAGAACCCGCTCCCTCCTGGGATTCATCGTCCTCCTCTTCAGATGAGTGGTCATCGGCAGTTGTTGGGGGTCTGTCTTTGGCAGCTGTGGAAGCCTGATCAGCCTGGGCCGGAGTAGCCTTGATGGACAAGAGCAGTTTGAACAGGGTGGAAGAACCGTACAACCTTGTAGTAGCAAACTTGAACATCCCCGTGAAGTCGATGCCTGGATAAAGAACCTCCGTCAAAATGTAGTAATCCCGTAACTTGCTGATTAAGGTAAGAATTGCATCCTTCACCGGACCGTAGGCCTTAACACTCAGCAAACCTTGTTGTGCCGACTTCCAATCACTGATGTAGGTGGCCGGTGCTGCGAATGGAAAGTCAGGTTTTGCAGTTGCTGGGTGGATAATTGACCTCAAAGTGCAATCAACTCTCTTGGCATGAATCCTCCAAGTGAAACAATGTGGACTAGTCACTCTCCAGGAGACCGTTCGTCGTCCTTCGCTCGGCCCGTGTACGGAATAGAAACCCAGTCCATCTTGATACCAATGGGTACTTCAAAATCAAATAGTCTCATCGGTTCCTTTGCATAAGCTGAGAAGTTGACTTCTGCAGGAATAAACGAGCATGAGCCGATCTTCACAATTCCTCCATACTGCAACCGAGAAGGGTAGCACCCAGCACCTCTCCCCAATTGACGTAATCCGGTATGAAGATAGTCTTGGACGGCCTCGACCGAAGCCGAAGCCGAGAAGCCGACGCGAATGCGTGTGCGTAGTTTCTTTTCGCCCGGCTTGCTGTTGGTTACGGCGTAGGGACAGTTACCGTATTCCATATCACAGTAAGTCGACAGAGCGCGATAAGTCAAAATGCGATTATGTAAATCTACTGAGTTTTGAATCCAAAGATTTGGTTGCTTATATGTGGTGTCAGAGATCGGAAGAAGCTTCAATTCATTAGGAGAATTGTTAATGGCTTCCTCCATAGAATTCAGAACTGTCGACAAGAGCGCCTCCGCCACAGGTCCTGAATCCGACCCTTGATAGTCCACGGAGAAAGAAGTCTCAAAGATGTGACTTTTGCCTGGTATCCCTTCCATGTTCACCTGAATGAGGTTCGAGATCCGTTCGGCCAGTGTTGGAGGACGTTGAACGCGAGAAGGAGTTGTTTCCGAGGGCTCCATAAGGGTCCTTGTACCTGCTGAGTGTTGTGTTGCCGTAAGTTTAGGAGAAGTCAACGGTAGAGTGTCGTCGTCCATGGCCTCATTGTTAGCCCCAGCGGTATTGACCCGTTTGTCATCATCATCGTCTTCCTCCATTGCGTCGTCCACAATGTTCTCCCTGTCGTCAGTGTCGTCAGCTTCAGTATCTTCATCTTCATCCAACAACTCAGGCGCCTTGGAGGCATTCTTTTTCACCTCCACCACTTCAACCTCGTCGAATTCTTGAATTCCACTACCTTCAAACAAGTCATCATCACTTTGTAGAGGTGCAAAGCGATTTGAGTTTTGCACCTGGTCCCCTTTGGAGCTGGTGGATTCGCGTTGAACGTCCGTGCCTGGTTTGTCAATAGAATACATCGGATTTTTTGGATACGAGGCGGATCCGGTTCCTTCACTGATTCTCGATTTGGAGCATTGTTGATAGACTTGCCCCTTCTTGTTTGTTTGATTGCGTCGACAATTGCGGATGGCGGGTCGTCGTAATACTCCAACAGAAACTCATTAATCCAAGGATAATCAAACAACTCGGAGCAAATTAACCAAAAGCCCACCAAGGGATGCTCCAAGCGTAGCCGTGGATTGGACATTTCGCCAGAAAAGAAGCGATTGCTCATCCTTCTCAATCGCTTTGGATTTTGCAGACTCCAATTGGGCCTAAAAGAGTTTCAATGATGTTTTTGGGCTGACAGTTGTTACTAGCTGTTGGCCCCCAGCGCAAGCGCTGGTTTCCTCCAAGGGTGAGGTGGGACTAGGGTAATCTTAATAACTATTTATTCCTAGACTTCAAATTCACTCTGTCAAATACAGAGCAGTCTTTTCAAAAGGAATGAGCTGCAACTGAGCTGCAACTGAGCTGCAGCTCATTCACCAACTTCTTTCACAACCTCTTTGGTACGTAGCTTTCCACTGTCCTGCTACTGTACCTTCTTTGCATACGTACTTGGGCGTTCCGATCAGTCCGTCCTTCGCTAGCCAACACCTGCAGCGATTGCTCATCCTTCTCAATTGCTTTGGATTTCGCAGACTCCAATTGGGCCTAAAAGAGTTTCAATGATGTTTTTGGGCTGACAGTTGTTACTAGCTGTTGGCCCCCAATCCCCCAGCGCAAGCGCTGGTTTCCTCCATTCGGCCATCTTGTTGCCGCCCAGGGTGTGGTGGGTGGAAAAAAACGCTAGTGCCCGACGTGATCAACAAGAACATCGGTCAAGCGTTGCATCAAAGGCTCGGACTGTGTGTGAAGATATCGAAAAACTTCATTGGAGCGCCACCGACCGAGTAGTTTGATGAGACTAGTCGGGATATTGCCTTCCAGAAGCGCGGTAACCCCGGTGCATCGAAGAGCACCGATTGTGGGAGGTCGATCGACCTCCACGGAGAGAGCAACTGCTCTCAAATATTTTGTCATCATTCGATCTGTGACATTGCAAGGGACTCCAAACTCGGAGTAGTAGGTGAACAGGGGGGTGTCGCCAGTTGTGTGTTGACTCTGTTGAAGGTGTCGGACAATGGCAATCAGCGTAGCTGTTGGGTTGTCGCCATTTAATGACATGCCCAATCAGATCTTTTTGTCTGGCACCGTTTTTTTTTGTTTGTCAAATATCAGACCGGCGAATGTCACAAGTGGCATGTCCAGGAGGCGAAGGGGAATGACGTCGCCACGAAATTCTGCGTCGTTGATATGAAAAAACACTTGCTTCAACTTGAAAGGAAATTGTGTACCCCCTTTTGACAGAAATTTGCCAGAACGTAACAAAAAGAAAAACCCCAACCACATCAATCGATGCATTAGCTTTGCGGCATGCGTACTTGTGGGTTTTTTGGCAAGCTTTGATGCTTGCCTTGACAAGGACTTGGGCAATGGGCGTACTCGTTGTGCTGCTGGATCCTCTTTCTTCCAACTTTTCAGCAGCGGTGTCCAACAAAAGTCCATTGTTCCTGGTGCATATCGGTTCATCCTCAGATTGAGCAGTCCCAATGAGGAAAAGGCCTGGCCCACCTGGCGCATGGCAGCTTCAGCCGTTTGACCCCGGACCTGTCTCTTACTGGGGGCAATTTTTCCATGTCGCCATTGGGTTCCAAAGAGGAGGATGATGAGCAAGGGATCGTCGACCGCTGACAATCCTGGGTCAAGGGTGAGGCTGTCGCAGAAGGCAACCCATGTGGTCCAGACAGAGTATGCCTTTGCAACTTTTGAAGGACAGACTCCGTGTTCGATTCTGAGTTCAACAGCACGGATGTCATCAAGGAGTTCACGGCGTTTGGCATCCTGTACAGTTGCCAAGAGTTGATCTGTGGATACGTGCAATTAAAATATGAGATAAATTCGGCGTCAGACAGGTGCCACAGTTGGCTAGCATCGTCGGCAATTCGATTGTTCGTTCCAGATAAGTGCCCAATACGATGATGTGCTCTTTGTTCCCGCTGTAATCCTGCCGCTAACCGTAATATTCTTGCTCTTGCCTTTCGAGAGGTGGACAATCCTTTTGTGCGCCATGACACTGCTGGTGTGTCATCACAGCCAGTATAAGTGGTTTCGCCTTCCACCTGGGCGGTCTTTCCAAGGACAAAATGATGGAGGACGGTGCCTTCCAGCTCCAAGTCTGAGTTGGTAAGTTTTCCTGTCAGATTGTGATCGGAAATAACCTCTTTTTTCACTGCTTCTTGGTATGGTTCGCGCCAGACGATGGCCTCTCCATCGTCTGTGAACCACACTCCTCCCCTTCCCGACTTTGCCGCATCGCAAGCGCCAACGTGTAAGTCAACGCCTGGTACCAGTTCTTCAAGTGTTGTGGGGCGCTTCGCATGGCCATGAAGAAAATCTTGGAAGATTTCCAGTTGCTCATGGACCTCAGGAGTCAACCGCACCCTACAATCCACCTGTCGAATCAGTGCATCCTGCAGCAGGGAGAAATGTCCCTCACTGCCCGACATTCCTGGCTGCAGGCTTCGTAAGACTCCTAACACCTGCTGCCATCGTTTCAGGGAGACGCGTTTGCAATCCAAGACCTTGCCCAGGAGTGACAGGGCCTTGCTCACTCGTTTCTCTTTCAATTGCAATGTCTTTGTTGTCGCTCCCCAGTTCCAACCCAAGGCTTCTTTGATTGTGTGCCAAGAGGCATCTCCCTTGGCCATTTTCGATTGTGACTGTGGCTCTTTTCGCCACTGATTGTTGGTGGGTCGATTCGGTTGGAAGACCTTGTCAATGTTGTGGCTGAGGACGGCTCGTTGATTTGTCAAGGGATTGCTTGGATGGTCTTGGCCCATTCCAACAAAATCGTCCACAAATACTTCCATCTTCTTCAATGGGCGCTGGTAAGTCAGTGGCTGGTGAGATTTTGGTATAGGTCTCACTACTTGTGCGTCCCTCACTTCAAAGTCAGTGATGGCTGCTGCCTTTCCCAAAGGATGCGGTGGCACTCGCTTGTTTTGTTGCAAGTCAACATTTGTCAAGTCGGCAACGGTTTCCGTGAAAGCACAGAACCATGGAGGACTTTCTGTGCAACCCATTGGAAGCACAAGTGGTAGTGCAACCAATTGTGGAAGTCCCTCGAAACGCGGTAAAATGACTCCAAGCTTGAGTGCGCCGGTAGTTGACAGCCGGATGCGGTAGAAACCATCCGACATGTCGTTCTTGTACATGTAAACTGGCCCATAGTCCGGGTTTGCCTTCATGAGTGCCTCACGGATGCGTAGTGGGGCCGTGCCGAATTGCATGGCGCCCTCTGGGGCAAGTTTCATTGTCTTGTCATTGAGTCCCCAGAACGAATAATCAACAATCATCCGCGGTCTTCTGTTATCTTGTGGTACGCAGCCATTTGGAGAAAGGCAAAGTCCTTTCTCGTCCTTGATGGCGTCATATGGAAGTAGGATCCAAAATCCCTTCCTTCCAAAATCCAAAAACTCCTCCATCAGAAATTCTTTGAATTCGTTTGCTGATGAGTGACAGCCCCGAGCGACTCGCATGTCAAGTTGGCTCTGGCTCCATGGCTCCGAATGAACCACCACAGGAGCCCCATTTTTCATTACTCGGTGTAGCATTGGTGCGGCAGGGTGCGGAAGCTTATCAATGTCTGGTGCAGCATCATCTGAACGGAATAAACGAGCAGTGACTTGCCAACCGTGTTTTAAATAAGTTTCATTAGCCAACGCAACCAGCTCACCTATAGTATTAGCACTACCTCCAATTAAAGTAGATCATAACAAAAGTGGGTCCGATTGAGATGGCCTGCAAGAATCCGATGATTCCCGGCCTCCATCTCACTTATTCTTATTTACATAATCCTTCATTGCGGTTGCTTCCTCGTCAGTCAGCTTACAATGGGAATGCTTACGTTCACAGTTCTCCTTGCATTCGCCCTTTGTGTGCCAAATGAGGCACAGTTCCCTTCCGTTGGCGTGCTTTGGAGGCTGTTCGCCTGTCCGTTTGATTAACTCAGTAGTAGTTTGTCCGGTGTAGCGATGTTCTTCGTTCATGTCAGGATTTTTTACTGATTTGCCCAGGCTCTTCTTCTGGGACATGCCGAAAAAATCTGTAACTGATTTTTTTGGTCAAAAATGGCACTCCTTCCAGAAGGAGAAAAGCGAGCCATTGTCCTTCCGCCAGTGCGAGAAATTGCAAAAGGCCTCAAATATCTGTAGATGGTCGTGTAAACTCAGGAAAACCTGTAAATGGTCGTGAAAATCGAAAATTCTCTGTAGATAATTGTGATTGTGAACCAATAACTAGTACTTAACAAACCCACGACCATCTACAGAGAATCTTCGATCTTCACGATTATCTACAGGTTTTTTCCTGAGTTTTCACGACCATCTACAGGTTTTTAAGGCCTATTTCATTTAAAGCGCCACCTTATATTACTTAACAACAGTCGCGTAGAACAAGAAATTCTCTGTAGATGATCGTGAAGACAAAAGGTTCTCTGTAGATGGTCGTGAAAGTTCAAAAATCTCTGTAGATAATCGTGGAATTGAACCAATAAGTATTACTTAACAAGTTCCACGATCATCTACAGAGAATTTTGAATTTTCACGACCATCTACAGAGAATTTTTTGTCTTCACGATCATCTACAGGTAATTTTCATTTAACGCGCCATCACCTTATATACAACAAAAGTCTGTAGGTGATCGTGAAGATTCAAAATTCTCTGTAGATGGTCGTGAAAATTCAAAAATCTCTGTAGATAATCGTGGAATTGAACCGATAAGTGTTACTTAACAAGTTTCACGATTATCTACAGAGAATTTTGAATTTTCACGACCATCTACAGAGAGTTTTTTGTCTTCACGATCATCTACAGGTAATTTTCATTTAACGCGCCACCACCTTACATATAACAAAAGTCTGTAGTTGATCGTGAAGATTCAAAGTTCTCTGTCGATGGTTGTCAAAAATCTCTGTAGATAATCGTAGAATTGAACCAATAAGTATTACTTAACAAGTTTCACGATTTTCTACAGAGAATTTTGATTTTTTTGCGATCATTTACAGAGAAGTTTGAATCTTCACCATAATTGTAATTTTCCAATTTGTCTGCAAGCGCAACCAGGTGCAGGGGGTGGGACTTCTTCAAGCGCAACCGTGGATTGATGGGACCTCTGCAGAGGCAACCGCGCCTGTCTATTGACAACTTTGGCTCGCGATCAAAATGTACTTTTTTAAAGGATTGAATGAAACCTCTCAATCAAAACCGCGGGACCGCTTTTGAGACCAAGATATTTTTGACATTTAAGAAGAGAAAAAATCAATAAACAAATGAATTTTTCTATTAGAGGTCTATTTCTATTCCTTTAGGCCTGTTCCATCGACGAGCGGAACACCAAGTGAAACCTTTAGGCCTGTTCCCGTCGACAAGCGGACCGCCAAGGGAAATACATATCTTCCTGCGGCAGGGGGTGCTTTGGTTGAAATCTACAGATTTTTTCGGGATGTCCCTGGGCCCTTTCCTTCTCTCTCTTCAGCTGACTCTCTGTCTTGTCTCCTGTTCCACCAGGTCCTACAGGGTCCTTGGCGACAACAAACAAGCTTGACTCTGGTAGGCTTCCTCCATGGTAGCATGTCTCCATGTAGGTGCCCAAGTCTGGTAGGTTTTCTTCTGCGTTTGTGCCGGACCTCACCAAATGCTCAAAGTAACGATGATCAATTCGGGAATAGATTCCGAAGAGAAAACGCTCGAGTGCTCGCTCCTGTTGGGACACTCCCATTTTTCTTGCGATCAAATCCACATTCTTTGCAAACTTTTCGTACACGGCTGTCAGTGGATGTGTTTTTCCAAACACTACAAGGTAGAATACCCGCATACTATTGACCATCTCACGGAACTGCATGGGATCCCTTGGGAAGATAGCGTGCTTGATCTTGTCGTGGGCTTGATGATCCTTCATTGACGCGGTCGTCTTTTCGCCCGTCAACCAGTAATCGCTCTTGTTGTAATCGTTGATCGCGTTTGCATTTTTGTAGTGCTGGAAACAGACACTATTAAACACGTTCAACCCCTTTTCAACGTCGCCGCGCGAACAAAATTCCAATTCCACCAGGCTCTTGATTACTCGGGCTGAAACGATGAATTCCAAATTGAGATTCAATTTTTCGGCCTCGTCATCCAGCAGGGACTGCACAATTCCAATTGATTCGTGCTTCTTACACTTTGCTAGCTCATGCCAGAGGATGGGAAGCTGCACTGAGGTCGTAGTACCAGCCACTCTCTTCAGATAGGAGAGTCTTGTGGGCCACTTCTTCTCCACTGTATTTGGGGGCACCTTGTCCGATGCTTGTCCATGGATGCCCGCTACCACTACCTCCGAAAGCGATTCCACGGAGGTCTTTGTCGTCTTATTACTCTCCTCCACAGCTGCCAAGGTCTTGGTGAGCAGTTCGTAGGTCTTGTCGGGGGAATTTCCAATTGAGTCCTCCGAGTCCAATCCGGCGAAATCCGAATTGATTACTCCGGAAACCCAGCGTCGGGCGGATGTCGCAGTGAGAACAGCGGGTTCTCCGACGTTCTTTGAAAGCTGATCTCTCCCGATGACCGTGTTAGCCACGCGCCAATGGTTCACGAAGTGCCGGAACTTTTCATGCACTTCCAAAATTTTTTCAGGCTCCTCGCTGTTGGCGAGAATCTTGATTCTGTCAATCACCAATTGCAAGACTTCGCGTGCCGACGATCCGTCCCAAGCGATATCCAAGAACTCCTTGGGAATGGGCATTCGCTTGCGTGTAACCAGTAGGTCGTAGGCCATCTCAGGATCTTCGTCAGTGATATCCTCCATCACGAACAGCTTGGAGTGATCCTGCTCGAGCGCCTCGTTTATCAACCACGCCTCCAACTTTGGAACCTTAACCGGATCGGTTTTTGAGAAGGCCTTTGCCGGCCAAGAGAATGCCAGTGGGTCGCTCCCGTTCTCCAGAACGTCATGGTCCAGCACGTACAACTTATCGAAGTGCTGTTCTTTCTTTTCGCCAACCGTTGTGTACCTAATCATTGGACGATGCCAAAAATTAAAGTTGTTCACCTGTTCCTTGGGCCATCCCGTATACCAGGCGGGGGCGCCTCCTTGTACACCCTTTTCGACAAGGCTGTTGAGATCTTGCAACTGAAGGTCCTTGGTGGGATCAAAGGCATCGAGGACCGCCTTGGAATCATGGTTTGGGTAGCTCGCCTGGGTGGTGAGATAGCGGTAGCTCTTTTTGCGCACGGTGAAGTCCGTAATGGTCATGATGATGGGTGTTACAGGTAGAAGAGCCGTGTGCTTTCCTAATCTTAATAACTATCTATTCCTAGACTTCAAATTCACTCTGTCAAATATAGAGCAGTCTTTTCAAAAGGAATGAGCTGCAACTGAGCTGCAGCTCCTTTACCAACTTCTTTCACAACCTCTTTGGTACGTAGCTTTCCACTGTCCTGCTACTGTACCTTCTTTGCATACGTACTTGGGCGTTCCGATCAGTCCGTCCTTCGCTAGCAGCTCCTTTACCAACTTCTTTCACAACCTCTTTGGTACGTAGCTTTCCACTGTCCTGCTACTGTACCTTCTTTGCATACGTACTTGGGCGTTCCGATCAGTCCGTCCTTCGCTAGCCAACACCTGCAGTGATTTGACTATCTCTCATTGGACTAAAAATTGCACCTGCATAATAATGTAAGAGCCTCCTCCTGCTGCTGGTCCGTTTCTACAATCTTTGTTCTTCAGTGGTCCAATGAGTCAAGTCATGTGCTACTATTTTCGTCGAAGAGCAGGTTGTGGCCATAAGTGGAACTTCGGGTCGAAGAGCGAGGAGAGAAACCAGCGGCGCTTGCTGTCCGAACCTGATGATTCGTGTGAACCAACAAGGAGGAGGTACCAGATCACCAATCACATTCAAAACAGGAAGCAACCAAAAGGTCAACGGTCAACAGAAAAGGATATTGACATTGATTGGACTCTCTCCTGCTAGTGAGTGAAAAATGACCGCAGCCGTGTCTGCAGGAAGGGAGGTTCGGCCATTTCGATTGCCCGATGTGGGAGCTCGAAGTTTTCCGAATCAGAAGAGTTTTGACGAGGGTGACGAAGACGGACTTGTGCTCGAGCAACCTTTGAGAGAGAGTCAGAAAAGTGAAAGAAATCCGAACAATGAAATCATATCGTCTCATCAGTCGCGCAAACGACCTCTTTCACTGCCACCGCAAGCCGCTTTACGGCAGTCTCAGTACGACCAAACGAGAGAGCCAAAATCCGAACCTTGGCCATCGGACCAAAGACTCAAACAGCGGACAGAAGATTCAAGTATTTCACACAGCCATCGAGACAGACACCACGCACACTCCAAAGAATTGCCACCATCGAATCGTTGTCTTTCTCGGCAGAACAACAACGACAGCAGTCATAGTGATCGGGACAAGATGTGCAACACTCCGTTCAGAAGAAATGGTGCTGCGACGTACCAAAGTAGGAACAGTAAACATGAACAAGATTCTAACAGGGGCCAGTTCGATTTCAAACAAGGAAGAAATGCAGCACGACAGCAACATCGATGGCAAGGACGGAGTGAAGTTGACTGCCGGGACAAAAATACAGGGGAATACAGAGTGAATGATAGAGGCGAATGCAATAGAAATCTGCCGACAAGAAGGGAAGAAGAAAAGAGGGGACTTGACGCCAGACGACTTGAAGACAGAGGGGCTTGGAGCGACAGAAGACTTGAGGGCAGGAAGGGGTGGAATGACAGAAGGCCAGGAGACTGGCGAGAGGACGCCCAGAACAGATCAGGAGAGAGGAGGGATTGGAACGAGAGGAGGCCAGGGAATGAAGCCGATCGCAACAGACCGAAACTGTACCATGAGCGTCAAGCTCCGCTGCGTAGGCCGTACGATGATCGTAGAGACAATTGTCGACGGGACTGGAGAGATAGTAACGAGCAAGTGAGTCGGTCTAATGGCACCCACAGTAATTCCTATCTGCAAGGATCGAGGGTGCCGCAGGAACGAAATACTCGAGAGTATCAAAAAGAATCGCCGCGCCACCAGGAATACCACTACAGAAATGAGCGCCCCCGAGACCACGGCTTTCGGCCTCACAAGTCCACTACTGGTAGCTGGGTGGGCGAGTCGACTTCGAATCGTCATCTGCAGTCCCAACATCCCTCGAATCAAGTTCCAAGGCCCACACAAAGTGACAAGATGAATTTGGAAGCAAACGAAAGGCTTTACAACGATGTCCAGAATATACAGGCAATGCCATCACCTCCTTCGTTGTCGCCACAATCCCGGCAATATAATCAGAGCACACCAACGCTGGACTACTCAAGAAATTGCCATGGTGGAAACGATAATTATGACCGATGTCAATCACACGATGAGTACCAAGAGAACCTTAACATGTCTCGAGATGCATTGGTTGATCGATATTCGGACAGAAACCGGAGTCAGTTCGTTTGTTCAAACTCACAGCCTCAAAGAAGTCAACTGCAACAACCAAGCGAGCAAGACAATAGAAGATATGAATACTCATGCAATGCAGAGCCAAGAGTTTTCCAAGAGAAACAACCACAATCGTTAGAGAAACCTACGCTTCGATACAACGCTCCGCCTACATATACTGCAAAGGTCATTCAGCAGAGAGCAGTCAAACCGAAAGTAGCATTGGAATCGAAGGTCACGAACAAGACAAAGTTTGGCATTCGACCCACAGCACAACATAGGTCTATTGCTGAGACATCGGGTAGATCGCTTTCGTCTAGCAACACTTCCAAGCCAGCTAATGTGGCAATAAAACCCGCGACAGAATCCAGAAAGATTGAACCTGCAACAAAATCCACGTTAGGCATTCCAATGCGTTGGCTGAAGCCAAATGTGAAGCCGAAGAAACCAGTCAAGAGAAGCTTTTCCAAGGAGCAAGGCAGCATTGAAAAGAAGAAAGAGTGCAAGAAAGTGAATGCTGCGATTCCACGAATCTCGAAGGTTAGCAATATCGAAAGAGTAAATGGATTGATGTCGTCCCCATCACACCGGTCGCCATCTGCCAATCGACTGGTTACTGACTCGGAAGGTGGGTCCACTCTTTCTAATATGAAAGAAGTAATTGGTGAGTCAATCGAACGCAGCAGCTCCAATCCAAAAGTTCCCAGAGCAATTGTTACCAAGTTGCCAGTAAACTCGAAAATCGAGACTAAAGATGATGACCTGTTGAAGAGCGACAATGACTCCTTGAGTGTCGATGATTTAAAGAGGGTCCCCAAGCCGCATCCTGTGTTGCGAACCAGCACGTCTAGTTCCGCTTACACAACCAACATCGCTACTTCGGACGACTCTGATTCTGATACAGATGACGAAGAAGTGATGATGTGGGCATCCAAGATGTTTGGGGTGCCTTTTCGGCCTTCCGATACTAGCCCAAGCGAATTAGATGGTCGAAAGGAAGAATCTTCTCCTATGAAGAAATTGCGGTTAAAATTGAAGCTTCCTCGCCCAGAGCGGCAATCTGACGATGCCATGAAGGATGTAGGTCGCCCAAAAATGAAAACGAAGACCAGTAGGACGAAGCGCAAACGAAGCACAGATATGGAATGCGATAGGGATGCGGTAGTCTTACCGTTAAAGAAAAGGAAAGGAAAGCCCAAGAAGAGGAAATCGATTGGGTCCGATTCGTACATCCACGAGGAAACAGAGGAACGACGAATTAGAAAAGAGTCTGCAAAGCCCCTTACAGCGGAGCAAATCAAGACTATTCTTGGCGAAGATGATTTCGCGGCGCCAGGAGGATCAAACTGGGTGCGCCGATCTGTACGGCAGCCTTCTAAGGCTCTTCTTAGTGCAAAGCCACTGAGAATGCTGATTGAGAAGCTCAAACACAATGATCCCGAGGTGGTTGTTCTGAAGATGAAGAAATACATCAATGATCCAAATGCACCTTCAGTTGTTTTGGACGCAGCACTGGATGCTCTTGAGGAGAATACAAATTGTCAAACCCTATACATTCAGGTGAGAATCAGCTTTCTGTTTTGATTGTGCCCTTGTTATATCTGTTCCTCATCACTCACTCGTGTCCACGACAGAATTTCAACGAAGGAATGAGGGACAAACAGGTCATACATCTACTCCGAATCTTGCAAAATCCAAAGTGCAAGATTTGGTGCCTGAATATTGGTGAAAATTACAACGTAAAAACAAGAACATGGGATAAATTCACAAAAGGACTGAAGAAGACGAAGATCACACACATGTACGCCTCTGAACACACCATCACAACGGAAATGAAAGATGAAATCCGAGCATCGATTCGAAACAACCGGCAAAAGCATGATATGCATATCAATCCAGAGAACTTACATGTCATCGTTCAGTGTACTCACTGCTGGTGGAATCCAATTAATGCAAAGGTGCTTCGCCCGTACTTGAAGAAAGAAGGTTTCGAACACATCTTGGCAGACAGAGAAGCCCAGGGGTTAAGAGGTTCTTCATCTGCAGCTCCGTCTATCTAAACAAGACTAATAATGGGTCATATTTTGTATTCCTTTCCACTGTTCTCCTCTAGTAGGTAATGGTACGGTCCTCCAATAAAATGAAAAGTGTATTTTATTTGCACACACGTCACACTGCAGTGATCGCGCGAACGGCATTGTGCAGTAGTTCTCGACCATTCCTCGTCCGAAAACTGTCCACGATGCAACAATGTGAAGACAACATCAACATTTCAACCAGTAAAATCGACGCGATACAGCCTTTCTGATGAGAATAAAAGTGAGAACACCAATAATACTCCTGGCAATTGCAATTCCGCTATTTGCATCGGATAACGAAAATAAAATATCAGAAAGTGCCACCGATGCTGAAAACGATGTTCATCATGACGAGAAAAAACACGAACCACTGATTTCAGTTGAAGAAATACAAGTTACAAAATTAGAGAGCATCCGTGCCGAAAGGATCGAAACCACTAGTGCGAACGGCAACTTAACTGATTCAATTGGGGAGTCGAACGTAAACCCAGGTCGCAGGAAAACGACTGAAGAGGCCCAGATAGCGAAAGAGGGTGAAATACAACTTGAGGAAGGATTGGAAGGTGACGAGTCGTCATCGCCGCAAAAGCTGGTTAATGGCAAGCACAGAAACGATAGAAAAGTTGAGGAGGGGATGGGAGAACATTTGATGGACTCGTCACTTGCGAGTAAAGCAGATCAGACAGCAATGCAGAACGGCACTATCACTAACAACAGTACAGAAACAGGATCTTCTGCAAATATGAAAGCCGATTTCAACAATCTCAAACAAGGAAACACCTCAGAAACACAACAATTAGAAAGCGACTCTATGCATACGAATTCAAAGATAGATGATCCGATTGACCCAGTCGACACTGAGAAAGACAAAGGGGGAGAAGTCACAGTACTTGATGAAGATGATTTCAAACTCAGAGGCCGTGTTGCAGTTGATTACGCTAGCAAATCGGCTGGTGCATTAGTCATCGAAAAGTCTGGGTCCTTCAAGGGGACTTCAAATTTGCTCAATGGAGATAAGGACAAGTATGCAATAGCCCCATGTGAAGAAAAGAAATTTGTGGTGGTCAGCTTGTCGGAAGACATCCTTGTAAAGGAAATCAAGCTTGCAAATTATGAACGGTTTTCATCCACTGTAAAGGAATTTCAGGTCATGGGGAGTCAAACTATGGATACCTGGGTGGACTTGGGAACGTATGGCGCTGCACCAGGAAACGGTGAACAAAAATTTGAACTGATAGAACCTGCTTGGGCACGGTACTTAAAATTCAAGTTTCTCAGTCATCACGGTGTTGAATACTACTGTACATATAGTCAAATAAAGGTTCATGGAAGTACCATGGTGCAAGGGTTTCACGAGCAGTGGGAAGAGAGCGAGGATCCAGCTGAGGTGGTCGTAGATGAAAATAGTGATTTCGACGGAGCCTCGACGGATGAAACACATGGGCGCAACGAAACTTTGGCTATTGCAAACAGCGATGAGCACCCTGCCAAAAATGAAAGAAGAATGATACAAAATAGGACACATCCTGGAGCGTCTGAATTTCCAAGCGTAAGTGAGCTTTCCATGCCGATGTCATTGGGATACATTCTCGAGGGTAGGCTTTCGAGCGACGACGACACTTTTAAAAGCTACAGGTTGTCGGATGATTTCTTGAAGCATTTGTCCCGCGCGTCGAGAAAAGCATTGATGGAGCGTAGAACTCTTGTGCCCCTAGAAGTGGGCACTTCGATTCGTCTAAATCAAATCGTTCCGGAAATTTCTTCCAAAGGAGGCAATGTGCAGATATCTGCTTCGAAAATGTCGATAGATTTCAAGAAGACTCTTAGTATACTATTTGGCCAAACCGACATGGGGTCGAACGATAACTTGTCGTATTTGCTATACCCTGTGACCAATGGTGGTCAACCAGATCTTCGCAAAGCTACAGATCAGCAAAAGATACAGCCCTTCAATAGTTCAGAGGAGGACCGTCTGCGTGAAGATAAGGGGGACAACATGGAAATAGAAAAGAAAAGTCTTGACCCCGATGTGCTAGATGACAAAGAAAATGATTTGACCACATCAAGAGATTTGAATACTGCAGCTGGGACATCATCGCCTACGCCTCAAACACCAACAACTCAGAATCAGATTGACTCTTCCGAAGAGTACTTCGAGCTTGACGCGTCGATTGCGAAGCTTTTGGTTGGTTTGCCCGGTGCTGATTGCCTTACAAAACTCGATTTCGCAGATTTCAAAGCAAAGGCGCATCGCAAAGACCATGTTGGACCTGGGTCGTCCAATCATGTAGGATCAATGGAGCCCATATTCAAAAAGCTTACCGATGAGATCAAGGCGTTGCAAATTAACCTTTCTACTCAAGAGCAATTTACAAAGGTTTCTGTTGCATGTTATCAGCGTGTATTGTTGGACCTGATGTCAGAGAACGAAAAAACACGGCGACAACATGAAGTGAGACTTTCAATGTTAGAAGATGAGCTTTACTCTTCTGAAGCCTTCGCATGGCGACTTCTTCGCAGTATGTCTTCGATGGTATCCGTATTTTATTCATTCATGGTGGCATGGGGTGAAACGCTGGTGGAATTTTGGTTCGAGATTTGGTCATGGGTCGTAATTGCATTTTTTTACACCTTAGGGTCAGGTCTAAAGTTCTTAACGCACCTATGGCTACCGACGAAACGATTTTTATCGTCGTTTGGTCCTCTGTATCCAGGAATAATCCCGCCACTCGTCGACCATGTTGACAACCTCTTGCAATACTGTGAACAACGTTGGAGCTCCGCTTATCTGCCACCGTCATCTGGAATCGCACTCGATGTCATGAAGTTTGCAACTCTTCAATTCCTGTCGGCAGTCCTGGTTTATGTCATCATAGCCCATTTGCGAGCGAACTTGACTGGAGCGACCGGCATGACTGAGATGGCAAAAATTGAAGTCCCGAAGACGACGAGCAGCTTGCCGGTAATTTCGCCTGAGAAGGATGCAAAGCGATTATGATCCGAAACAAAAATATTCTGAAAAGCTCAAAGCTTGATTTGTTTTTTGATTGCCTCCACAAATTGGCAGAGTGCGCAAGAATTTATCAAAATTCCTTTGGTATCAGTATCTAAAATAGAATTTGCTACTTTCACAGTCTTATTGCGTCAGTGTTGTTTTCTGCAATGATCAAACTCTCAGCCCTGCAGGCTGCTAATGACCTGTCTTGCCCTGTCGCCACAACTCGATGGGAACTGCTCGGCGGCTCTATTCATCAGTTCAGTGATCTCTTCCACCTGCGGTAGCATTAGTTGAACATTGTCTGGCGAAAGTGAAAAATTTCGCATCGCGACACACGAGTGTTCTTGTAGCTTCTCTGCGTGCGGAAATCGTTTCATAGATGCAGTAATAGCAGTGATCTCAGCTTCAGAGCAGATCATAACTTCGTTGGTTTGCACATTAACCGCGAGAGCAGAGAGCGCTCTGCACCCTTCAATCAGGAAAGCTTGCGAGTTGTAGTGTGCCCACATAGCGTATACAATTGCATCTAATCCCCCAAGGTCACGTATTAGCGCTTTGTTATCGGAATTTGCTGATAAGGTTGCAAGGCATCCACAGGCTTGCTTCTGAACTTTTTCAAAAGTAATATTGGCCATCATACCGTTGATAATAAGATCGAGCCCGCCCTCGTTTGCGATTATTACTTGGTTTTCACTGAGCACACCCACACTCCACAGAGTCGTAAACGCACGCTCAAGCACAGCAGAAGATCCCATGAATTCTCGAATTGCCAACGTGATCGCACCAATGCCACCAGAATTTGCGATGGCTCTTTTCGCTTCCCTGCTTCTCATTGACATGTTTTGCAGGATACCCAAAGCTTTCTCCTGCAGCCTAGGGGCAGTCAATTGTTCATTCATTGTTCGCACAATCACATCGACCATGTTCGAACTTGCAAGAATTTGCTCTTCAGCATCTGCAGAAAGGTTTAGCAATGCGCCCATTGCACATTCCAATAACGAAACTGAGTCCTTGTATGTAGTAATAGCGTTCACCAATAAAATAAGCCCTCCCTGTGATGAGATCAACATTCTCGACTCCTGGTCAATGCTCAAGTGTGACAGTGCCTTGCAGGTATCTATTTGAATATCTATGTTTTCCGAGAATCTGGCAAACGCACTAACAAGCATATCAATTCCGTCAGTCTCTGTGATGCTTAAATTCACTTGCAGATTCTCCGTGGATGCCAAAAGCGCAAGGATAGCACAGCCTTTTCCTTGGATCTTTTCATTCGCCTCATGTTCTACCATGCAGTCAATCACAACAACAATTACGCCGAACTGGATGATTATATCCTTCTTCAGTACACACAATGAAAACGTAACATCGAGCATCTTCTCCATGAGGAGGACGTTTTGAACATCATACTCGATTACTAAATCAAGCATATTGATGATCAAATCAATTTCATCCTCTGTGATATGACCTGCCATGTCCCGCATATTATCCAAGACGACTGTGAGTGTCCCACCAATGGCAAAGGAGAGTTTCGGGTCGAAGTTTGAATCCAAGCTTCGCTGCTTGGAGCACATTTTCAACATCGACTGGTAGGCCATTGAGATGTCCGCACTATTCTGAGGTTGCTTACGCAGTGTCGCCCAGAGTGCAAGACACGCTTCCTCTAACAAATGATTATGGCTCGAGGGGGAATCAATAGCACTGACAAGTACTTGGCAAAGACCATCGAAATTCATAGTTTTCGTGCCTGGGCTCACAACCAGCATTGCATTCCGTATGACTGTGCAAGCAACCCTGTCCAATGCAGTAAATGACTCCATCACCTGAAGAATGGCTTGGATAAGGTCACTTGGTAACTGAATACTTTTCTTCCCACCAACAACCATGGCAGAGAGCAGGTGAAGCAACTTTTCCGCCAAACTTTCAGATGTGGTTGCCAAGAGGGCTGCTGCAGCTGTCTCGAGGGTCCCAGCTGCAATACATACTTTTTTGGCAGCATCAGAAGAAGAAACCATAGATGTCAAAGTGACTGCACTAGCCATTTGGGTTTCAATGCTTGGATCGCACAGACCTCCTAAGAGCTCACTGGCGAGACCGTCATTGAGCATCTTCTCGGCATAGTCTGGAAATTTCACGTATATCGTCGAATTAAGTCGCTTCACCTGTGTCCGAAGGAGTGAGTCCCCAAGAGTATTTGCTGATAGCCTTAGAACCGTTTCAGGTTTCACACCCTCGGGGGTAGATCCGGAAGTCGACAAAACGTTAGCGAGGAGACCGCAAGCAGCTGTTTTCAGGTCTACGTCATTTGGGTGCTTCTCGACAATTGCTTGAATGCTGTCAATGATCGCCCCGACCAGAGACATTTCAAATGATGCTACGTGGCTCGAAAGCATCCAGAATAGAGTTAGTCCTGCACGGCACAGAGCCTGATTCTCAGGCGAGTCACTCATGGCTGTCATGATTGCAAAAAGCCCCGTAGCTTGCTCGGATATTCTGCTCTTCGCATGATTACTCCCTCTGCTAACTACTCTGAGAAGCTTCGTACAACTTTCTATCAGTTCGGCATTGCTAGCATGCTCGCCCATGCAGTTCATTAAATTCAAGATGCAGTCTTCGGACGTTTGTCTCAGTCTCGAGTCTGTTCCATCTACCACAAGTAGGAATAGCATCTCAGCAGCTTGGGCAATAAGCTCTGGCGACTTGGACTTTGTGCTCAGTATTTTAACACAAATACTTCCCAAATCAGTATCATTCATCATTGTCAGTACTCGCAGCATGTCTGTTTCCGTTCGATCCAAAAGGCGAAATAGCACCCTCAAAGCCCACCATTGCACACCCGGTTCTTGAAAGTGAAACTTCAGACTACCAGCTATTATTGCGATACCATTTTTATTTTCAATTGTCCCCATGTTCTTTTCCAAGTACATAACTTGCTTCTCATCACCCGAGTCTACCATGCTTGCCAATGCCCGGCAACCCCACTCAATTGCAGTAGGCTTGGATTGCTGTCGCTCTAACACTCCAAGTATGGCCTCGATTCCATCCTTATTGGCAATCTCGGTTCGAATGTCATCCCGGAACGCAAATGAAGTAATCGCTCCCAGAGCCCATTCCGCAACAAACGCATCTTCTTTAGCCGCTTTTCGAAGCAAATCAAGTATCACATCGACGAATCCAGCATCCAGTATCTCTTTCTTTTTGTCCCCGCTCTTGGTCCCAACGCTCCAAACTGCGCCAGTTGCAACCGCCATCAGTCTTGCGTCCACATGATATTTCTCCATGACAGTCTTCACTTCTTTCAGTGCATCGTGTCGATCCTCTGCAAGATTCCGTAACGCGTGCAACTTTGTTCGGCAGACATCTGGGGACGACCTATGTTTGCCGAGATCCTTTGCAATCGATTTGGAATCCACTCTGTCGGTTTTGTATGTTTCTGCATCTGGAAAACTGCTCCCCACTGACGTTGGGGATGTCGATGCCGGTTTGGGACCGCGTGGAGTCCGGCTGTGGGTCTTTCGGCTATGGCTCCCGTCATCACTGCTGCTCGTTTGTCGTATTTTCTTACCCGGAGGTTGGACTTTGGGTCTTGGTACAGTGCTTGGTGACATCACTGGTGGCATGGCACCATTGTGCGCACCAAGTTGAGGCCTATTCGACTGGGTCATTCGAGCAGTATGAGCGACTGCTCCAAAGCTAGGTTTGTTGCGATGATCCTGTTGCATTTGTGCCATTCGCTTCTGGTATTTGGCTGCAACCTCGCTAGGGACTTGTGAAGGGAAACATCGAATACAGATCCCTTTCCAGACGTCGGAGTTGTTTAAAGGACTCTTTTTGAAAACTTTGATAATATGTATTTTGATTCCACAAGATGTACATTGCCCCCTCTTTCTTGCAAGCTCTTCTCGTTGTTCTTTCCGTAATACCATTCCACTCTTTCCAAACATGGGGATCCCATTTTTCGAGAGCAAATCATCGCTCTGCATTGTGTTGATGAAGTTGGCACTCTATATTTGTCCTTGCTCTCGTTCTATTCTAATATTTTTGAAACAAAGAAAACCAACGACTGAATTCAACATGCACACTTCCTCGCGTCAATTTCTTTGTATTGTATCTGGTTCCCTGACGCCGATATGATGAAAATGTCAGGAACCGAGTCAGTAAAACTGGAGCTGCCAGTGAATGTCAACAAAGATATTCCTAATTTCTTTCAGTAGCAGGAAAATTTACTTTTTGTGGACGCAAGGACAGTATCAGTGGGGGCTTGGGCTTCTCCTAGTGGGCAAATTCAAAGGATTGACTCTGTCGTCTTTTAGCAGTCCGGACAGTTGCTTGCCAACGGAACACTCCAATAGATTGGGTTGGAGGATTTTGGTTTCGGGTTTCAAGTTTGGTGTTGCAGATCGTCGATCAGGTCATCAGGAAAGTTGGCCGTTAAAATCGTACCACTATGCCAGCTGGCTCAGTCGAACGAATCATTGAATCAATCGATCTCCAACGGAACGATCGATGCTCTGTCGGTGCCCTGGTACAGTATCGTAGTAGAGCACCTGCCAAACCTGTGGATTGCAAAAGTAGAATAGGATTCAAGTACTTCCATGGCTTCTAGTATTTTTAAAGCATGGCAGTCCATCATGTACTGTAGGACTATCGACAAAAGTTAGCTCAACAAGCAAGGAGTCCTATGTGGCCGGCGCCAAGCCTCTTTCTCCTGGTGCCTTTCTAGCCGAATATCAAGCAATGATCTTCACTATTGTATCCTCGTTGATTTATTGATTGGTTCATTCAGCTATTCGATCAAAAGTAGAAGGAATAAATCAACTTGTTTTAAAAAATGTTCTGTGGAGGATTGGCCTCATGTTTCTTCACAACAGGTATTTTGTATCGTAGTCACCATGGTTTTCTTTTCCAATTTCTTTGTGAAATCCATTCCAACGTATCTCCGGTACCTTCTCACGACAGCAGAGCCAACATTTTTCCATGCCCACTATCGCGAACTTTGACTCAGGGTTGTTACAACAGCAATGACTGCGTCTGGGTGAACTCCTGCGCGCAACAAGTCGGTCACCGCATTCAATGCTTCTTCGTTCAATCCTGTTTCCAAAGTATCCGAGATGAATTGAATTAGTTTCAGCTTCTCAGGTTCTTCTCCGTCTGGATTAGTCATGAAATAATTCTCAATGAGTGAGTGACAAGACAATTTCTATTCAATACGTACTGTGTTGTAAGTGTTGATGATGGATTGCATGGGAGTAGTATTCTGAGCGCAGGCGCAAAATTCAAATTGCACTGCTCGCTCACACATGGACCCGTACGACATCCAGACGCGTGGCAATAACACCATCAGTCGAATGACGCGACGAATGAAATAGCGTTCAATTGTACTTTACCACAACAATCAATCGAAAGGTATCCAGAGCTCTGCAGTACCTGGTACAATTCACCTTTTTCATCGTTGACTCATTGCTCCGGCCATCAAATATGTCGGAAGAAAGTAACCGCGTGTTGCAAACCCCACCCAAACTACGAATCCCAAGACCAGAATTCACTCTCGATAGCGACAACGACGACTTAGAACTCTGGTCGTTTCGATTGCCAACCAATGTGCCGCTTGGTGAATTGAACGGAATGACAATCGACTTGAAAAATAATGTGGGCAAGTTTAAGGTTCGAGATCAGGAATATAAAATTGTCCTGGGAGATGCCGTCGAAAACGAATCTTTTCGGGTTTTGGTCAAAGCGGAAGATGATGACGACGAAATTATGAACGACAGCGACGAGGAGGACGGTGATCAGGTGTATCTCCAAGCCTCGTCATTACCATTTACGAAGCATTGGAATGTAGTCACAGCATTCCCGCAACGAACAGAGCGAGAATTGGCCCCTAGGGAGGGTCCTACTCCTGTAGACAGAGTCCGGCATGCCTATTCCCATGTCCCGCAACGTACTGGACTGAAGCGCCGGTGGATGCCGATGGGGGTCAAGGCAGACAAATCTCTTTCGTCAATAGATCCCATGATGAAGCTTTCGACATCAACACCAGCCTTAAAATCATCCAAATCTAGTTCCTCATCCTCTATCAAGAAGGAGGAGAGCGCACCTTCTGTGTCTAAAGAAGAAGATGATACGGATACCAGTGCCCCACCGTCCAAACGGATAAAAGTGGCAACTCCAATGAGCAAATCGGGTATGAAGGCAACTAAAGGAGAGCGGAAATCAGCAAAAAAAGCAAAGAAAGAAGCTAAGAAGCTAAAGAAAGACAAGAGGAAATCCAAATGATAATGGGAAAATTTAATGTGACTATCTAGTTATTATACCGTCGCTTGTTCAAAAAGCATCGAGTACAAAAATCACTGTAGGTTATAGCCTGCCTACATCTATCCCAAAGCACCAAGTCTAGATTTTTAATAGCTGCTTGTTCGCCTAGCAATATTGATAGGTACAGTAGTAGAGTATGACCTGTGTCAACTTCCAATAGTTCTATGCTGGACAAGAGGACGCCTACTGAATCGCCAATAATTCAACATCAAAGTAGAGTGTTGCACCACCTGGTATGATACCACCGGCTCCGCGATCACCGTAGGCAAGACGGGGTGGAAGAACGATTTGACGACGCTCTCCAACCTTCATGGCTAGGAAGGCTTCCTGATGAATTCCAGTGCAGCGAAGCGAGCGAGAGGTGTTAGAAACAAGATATGAAACGAAAAACGGCAGCAGCAGGCTTCAATTGGTACTCACATCCCATCCTCTGATAACTTGACCAGCTCCAACCTTGAAGCTGAATGGACGGCCACGGTCTCTGGACGAATCAAACTTCTTGACGGAGTCGAATCCATCCAACCAACCAGTATATTGGGTTTTCACCTGCTGACCAGCTACAGGAATAGCACCGTCTCCCTCCTTAGTGACCTTGTACTTCATTCCACTTTCGGTAGTGATAAAGTCAGCATAAGGATCTTCATCGGCAAAGGCAGGGTTTGCCTTGAATGTCGAAGCAGCAGCGACTCCAGCGACTCCAGCGACAGAGACGCCGACGAATCCACGACGATCAATAGCAGCCTTGTTTTGGTTATTTCCATTCATGGAAACGCTAAAGGCAGCGGCAGTACCGACAATACCTAGAAATGCGAGAGCTTTAACAATTTTCATCTTTTTTCTTCGTTTTGTTCTGATATTCATACAGTACTTTTGAATGAAAAATACAGTAGGCCAATGGATTTGCTGAAGATCCAATCAACCATTTTGTGATGTCAGAATAACAATCATGTTCGCGCGATCCAAACGCGCATGATCGCATCAATAAAATCGAACTGGCTGAAGCTGACTGAATGCTTGGCCTATTTACGGTACTTCCAGCAGCTTGTTGTTGTTCGTCGCAGTCAATAACAATCTACCATCTGTTCCTCCTCGGTGTGTGAGACCAATTAAGGTAGACAGAGAATGTCCACGAACGACGACAAAGATGCAGCAAAAGAAGAAAGGAGACAAAGGCGAAAGCGCAGATGGGGTGATGCCTCTAGCACGGCCGTTCCTCCAACCGCACAGCAGGTCCTGTCAGCACCAGCAACTGGAACAACGGTAGCGACAGCAGGAAGGAATTCCAAAACTGTGATTGATAGTAAAGCCAAAGCGTTAGCGTTGCAAGCAAGTATCAAGGCGCGATTAGACGCTCTTAAAGCCAAAACGGGCAATGCATCCGGTGTGAAACGGCCACTTCCAACCCCATCATCCGCGACCGCAAAGCCTCCAGCAGCGCCCGAGTCATCAAAAGCTAATACAAGTGCTGAATCAAGTAGAAAACGAGCTAAGCATTATGAATTGGATTTGAATGTCACAGGACCAACCTTTCGCAACAAGCCTGCGCCTCCGAAACCCAAAACAAACCCATATTTGGCCCACACTCTGGAAAAGGAGGACGAAAACGACCAAGAAGAAGGAGTCAGCAAGGCAGAAGATGCTTTCGTCGATGAACGCTTGACCTTCAAAAAGGAAAGGCGACGGCATAAGGAGCTCAATTTTGTCGAGCCCGGAACGTTTGTGGAGATTGCTGAACGCAAACGACTGAAGGCAGCAAATGCTCAGCAGTCCGGGTTTGTCAGTGGGCGAAAGGCTGGTATATACGTCCAACCCAGTAACATGGCCAATATCTATGGGTCGACTGAGGTAATCGATGATGATGACCGCTTGGTCGGTACGAGGGCGGAGGCCAATGAGAAGACAATAATGCCACTGGTCGTCGAATGGTGGGATCAAGAGTTACTCCCCGCGAATCTAAAGAACGCAGTACGCAGCTGGGAAGCAAAGGAACTCTCGAAGGCAGCGCAATCGCAATTACAACAACTAGATTCGAAAAGTGGTCGGACCAAAGTAGACTTGGATACACCAGAAGTTCAAGAGTTACGAAGCAAGTGCTTTGATCAAGCCATGCTTTCGTACTGCAAAACAGCCGCATTGGTTCAGCACATTGTCCCTGTGAAGCCGAAAAATGCCAACGATGGACCAAAAGTGCAACCCACACTCTTCTTGACAAAGAAGGAGCGCAAGCGACAACGAAAGCTTCGTCGCCAAGAGAAACAACGAGAGTTGCAAGATATGCAGGCTGCTGGTCTCGTTCCGCCACCAGAACCACGCTTGACACTCAAGAACTTTATCCGGGTGTTGGGAGATCAAGCCTACGTGGATCCATCTCAGATGGAACAAAAGGTGATGCAACAGGTGCAAGCAAGACAGAGGGCGCACTTGGAGCGCAACGAAGCCAACAAATTGACCAAAGAACAGCGATCGGCCAAACTCGCCCGCAAATACCAAGAGGATACTTCAGGAGGCCTTCATGTGGCTCTATTCTACGTCAAAGACATGTCGCACCCATACCATCGAGCCAAGGTAGACTTGAATGCGCAACAATTCAATATCACAGGAGGAGTTGTGGAATGCGAAGTTCCACAACTTTCTTGTATCATTTGCGAAGGCGGCCCGAAGGCAATAAAGCGATACACTCGACTCATGCTCGTGCGAATGAAATGGAAGGGTCCCGACAACGATGATCTGGATTATGATGACGAAGAAGAGGAGGATGAAGAAGGAGTGAAACGACACACTTTCAATCCCAACAACAAGTGCGAATTGGTATGGACAGGAATGGCAACGAAGCGATTCTTCAAGGGATTTGTTTTCCAAGGTTGCGAAAGCTCCATGGAGGCATCCAAAATTTTGCGTGCCAAAGGAGTAGGTCACTTCTGGGACCAAATACTGACCCATGCGAGTGGTCGAGGAGAGAGCTTTCAGTTGAAACTCGCTGATGGGGATGATAGTGACGACGATGATAATCGAAATGGAAGTGTGAGCGGCGTAGATCAATTGATGCAATCGGAAGACGTAGAGATGACTAATACCTAATATGTCTACAAATTTCTTTCATAATCTCATGAACTACTACTCAGCAAAACAAGATTCACTCACACCTCCAAATCCAATTTCACCACAAACCATCTCCAAGACCGTTGAGCAATGCTGCACATTCGAATCAGTGATTTTAACATCAGCGCGATAGGAAGAAATATTAAAATAACCCGACACAAAATTATTGATAAGCAAGAGCCGTTATATACCAGTATGAAAGATTAGAAAAAGAAAACAATATTTTTAAAATACCCTATAAACAGTCTAAACACAAAATAATATCTACCCATCCAATTTACATCGACAACACGAAAGCGGAGAGCAGTAGTGACACTGCTGCACCCATTGATGCAGCTCCGGATTCAGGTTGAGCCTGATTTGTCGTAGGCGTGTCGGGTGGTGTCCCAGATGAAGATGTTGGTGGAGGAGTAGCTCTTGCTACGGGTGCAGCGGTGGGTTCAGATGTAGTGGGTGCTGCTGTTTTCGAAGGGGCCATAGTAGGAGATGAAGACGGGGGTGGTTCCATAACAAGAACATCAATGATCATGCCAAACTCGGAACAGAAGTTCCAGTGTTGGCACGCAAATGTAACGTTTGTGTCAATTTGACTGTCTTTGAAAGTATACGTGGCATTTCCAGCTCCTGCTGCACCGACAAGTTCTGCACCAGTATCGTTACAGCTTCCAGATGGATGGAGGAAGACATCGATGTTGTCTCCAGGATACTGGAATGTGATGGTATCCCCAGCGAACATTGCGATAGGAGCGTATGGCATTAGCGATTCCTGCAAGTTCCACTCGATGATCTCGGCATTAGAGATGTTGAAGATAGCAAGGAAAGAGAGAAGAAAAGACAGCTTGAACATGGTGATCGACACGGTTTGAGATGGAGGTTCGGAGGGGATTGTGCGAATGGATGAAGAAAGTGGCATCTGCAAATTCGTAAATTCGAAAGAGTCAGAAGTCCCCTGGGACTCATATCTTTGTGCATTGGGCGGGATTCCTAGATAACATTCGGAGTCCCATCCGACTCGACCTGGCTGGCGCGCAACGCACATCGACAGATCTGACGACTGCAGGACCAGACTTGACATGACTGATGACGCAAGACAACAAGCGAGAGTCAACGATGAATGAGGATACGAAGTCCAAGCATTTCCCATCTCTCTTTCGATCACTCTTTCTATCCGAGAAAGACGTCTCATCGTCATTGAACACGTTTCCAGATTTCACCTGATAGAACCATATGTCGAGGCAAAAGAGAATCCTAGGCTTACTGGTTTTGTACTGCACAAAAGACAGAATCTTCACAATCGCATTCCAAGACAAGTTTTACTCAGCCTCAAGAGCACCCATTGCATTGTATTCCACGCCCCCAAGACAACCACGGCGGCTCATGAAAAAGGTTTGTTGATGAATTATCATGTTTAAATTTTTGAAATGAAGATGAACTTTCTAACTTTCTTCTTGTCCGATGAACTACAGAGAAGAAGACGAGACCGTAAAGGAAAGAGCGTCGAATCAAAGGATTTTGCTTGGGAAACTGCCGAGTCAAGGCCTTTAGTTAAGTCTATTGCCAAGGAGGCAGGTCAAGATTATTGGATAGATCCAGACGATTTGAAAAAGGAGCGGCAAAGGGAAGAAGCAGTAAAAAACCGAAACGCTGTGGAAGGAGAGGTGCCGAAAGAAAAACTAATGTCCGAAATCGTTGCTCCATACAAGCAAAACTGGATTGGCTTTTTCAGTGTTTTCATTGCCACTCTGAGCATCATCATCATCAAATTTCCTGAGCTTTTGGATCAACCAAAGATCTTGTTCCCGGATTTGTAGGACAAGTTCAGAGTCCAACCTTTGTTAGGAAATGTTCAAAAGAAACGGAAAAGTTGCAACTTTGAATGACTTCAACAACTGAGCAGCACACGATACTGCGATACAGCTGTGGCACCCCAAGACGACACATCTGCGTGTTTAACATTCGGGTTGAAAGCTGGAGTATCTCGATTTTGTTTGGATTAGGGAAGTCGCTCTGTTTGAAAAGTCAACGATTCCCATTTTTTGTCGTGGTTGAACGAAGCAATGTGCTCATGTCCACATCCCGTGCTTTATTTTCGAGACTTACCAGTCGGCTGAAGCTGCGTTTCCAACTTGCTGCCATCATTTTGTGTAGATTTTGGAATCGCATTCTCACTGGACCCCCTTTGGGGACAAGTGAAAAACTCATCCACATTTGTGTCGTTTTCTTCATGGCTACCAAGTTCCGTCACGACAAGCTGGTTCATAATGTCCTCCATCGAACAGTCTATAGGTTCGTTACTTTGCCATAAACCGTCATAGATTACCTCACCATCAGTTCCGATGAGCTTCCCACGGCCTTGTCTCACGTTTCGATGAAAGGCGCCAATGTATGAAGAACCGTTGCTCCAAGTAAGCTTTTGCAAAGGGAACAAAAATTAGAGCATTTAATCATTCGACAATAAGAAAAGAGAGTGCGCACATACCTCGCCATATCCATGCTTCTTTCCGTCTGAATCGCATTCCCCGTCATATTTTGTGCCATCTGGCCATACACAGTATTCTGACGTTTCCTTGACTCCATTTTCCCACCGCGCCACAACTTTTTTCCCCGAGGGCCATACATAGACTCCAACACCATCGTATCTACCCATTGAAAATTGCCCAGTATACGTTGATCCATTGTGCCAAACCACGCGACCTTGTCCATGAGGCTTATCCTTCAACCATTCACCAGAGTAAACCCTTGTTTTCCAAAGCATTGTACCGTAGCCTTCTTTCAATCCACACTTCCATTGGCCCCTATAGGTGCCATCTGGACTTGTTAGAGCTCCATATCCGTGAGCCTTTCCGTTTTCATAGTGTCCTCTGAAAAACTTTGGTCAGAGAAGAAAAATGAGGGTCAGAAGATTTTGGTGTGGTAAGTAAGGGTGCAGGAAAAAACGCTCGTATCGCAAGATACCTTTCCACAAGACCATCGGTGCTCTCCACGTCCATGTCGCTTCCCATTCATTGCGATCCCTTTGAAGGTGCGAGTGAGACCAACTCTGATCACAACATAATTTGAAGGAAGTCTATAATACATACCGTCGAACGAACTTCCGTCGGGCCAAGAAAAGGAAATTCTGCCATGTAACCGACCTCTCCTCCATTCTCCTGTTACAACCTTTTGCCCTCCCCCTGGTACTTCCCAACTGTGCCTTCCTTTTCCATTGCGTGAGTTTTCTGACCATTCCCCGCAGTAGTTTTGCCCATCAGGCCATGTATTCGTTCCGTGACCACATCTCACCCCATGCCATATCTCGCCTTCATAGATTTGACCATCCAAAAATTTCAGGACTCCCGATCCATGAGGTTCTTCCTCTTCAGTCAAAGGGCCTGAATATAAGACACTCATACCAGTCTTTTTGTCTTGCCATTTCACTGAAGAAAATATGTACAAATCAGAGACAAAAGCATTCCTCTCGAAAATGGCACGCAAACTTACTGTCTTGAACTTGACGATTCGGTTTTCTAGTATCGGACTCAAAGTTGATACTGTAATGAGTTCCAAACTCGTACAGCCGCTGCTCCAAAGAAAACCTTTGATTTCTTAGCGCCAATCGCTTCTGTTCCAGTTGAGACAGGATCGCACTTTTGGCACTATCATCATCTGCGACGGTACAATCCTCAGTAGAGTTGGATTCACGGGAAGGACACTTTTCGAGGTTTTTTGATCCCCGCATGGAAATAATGGGTGACGATTCCTTTTCATCACGCGATTGTAGATTACTCTGTCTAGAATCATCTTCGAATACGTCTGTTGATGGGGCGGTTCCCTTGGCGGTTCCCTTTGATTCAGCTCCCATGGTGTCTTTTCTTTCCCGTATCGAAGATGCGGAAATTGTTTCATTTTGCTTTCTTGCTACCAAGATTTGACTAAGGGATGCTTGGGGAGAGTTTAGAACCATGTTAGAGATCCGTTGTGGGAAACAACAGATACTTGCATGCTGTCTCAACCAATTTTGAATCCAAAATTGCCGTTAATTACAGTGTGTCTAGATTCGGATTGATCGTACAAGTCTGTCTTTGGACTCTAGCTAGCTAGCTAGTGTATGGTGTAACTAAAGGAAGTTTACCATATTGGTAGGGTAGAGTAGAGTAGAGTATCACGAAGAGTACGAATAAGGTATGTGCTGAGATATTCTACACTTGGTGAAGACTGCTTCTGTAGGGTTTAGTACCAGATTTGCTTGCATATTCATCGTCTAGACTGACAGTAATACCGAATCCGGCTTGTTCTTTAATCGTGAATCTTTTTACTACGGCTACTACGTATCGACAAGATAAGGAAGAGCCATTTTCTTCAGCGATACTCAATCAAAACTATTCCGTACCATGTACAGGGTGATAGGAAGTTGGAGACGAGGAGCGTCCAAGTAAAAAAACTATAGTAAGCAATTGCAATGGTTACTGCAAGTATTCATACCTCATTTACCTGGTACTGTCCAAGAGGTATCGTGCTGTATGTTCGTACACGTACTGTGCCTGGTATGGTACTGTACACCATCAAACATCAACCCGACAAAAAATCGCACGACAGAACAGAAAACCCGGATTTTCAAGAGACATCAAACGCTACGAGTGACTCTGCAGCAACAATATACCTATACGGCATCTCAACAATACAGATTGACTTACCCTATCATTCCTGCTACCAACACAACACGCGCATTCCGCTAGAAGATGGGAAAGATGGGACTATTCTCTAGAAAGAAGAAATCAAGAAACTCGGCTGGGCCAGCCTCTGATTCAGAACCCACTTCCCCAGGCTCGTTCCGGAAATCTCAAACAGACGAGCATTCTATTGCATCGTCAATAACGTCCCACCCCAACTCACAGGGTGGGGCTTCTACATCGATTTTGGATCAAGGTTTAAAACCAGATGATAACTCGGACTCTGGCATGAATGCTGAAGACAAATTTATGCAATATTATCAAGTCAACAAACAAGAACAATCATTGAAGAGTATGAACGACAATTCATCTGTGCGGTCTAGCAACAGCAATTCCAGCGCTCTCACCGACCAAGAAAGGAAAGAAAGAGCTCGCGCAGCAGTCGAAGAGCGCAAGCGAAAGGTACGTACAGTTGAGGAATATTCCAATCGGTGATTTCTTCGAGGATTGACTTCTAACCAGAAGTTGAATCACTGATCAAAGGCACGTGAGGCAGTGCTAGCCAGACGCTCCAAGAGACAATGTAAGTGGCTGCTCGTGATGTTGGAAACGAGTGGAGATAAAGACTGCCAGTGTTGTGTGTTTAAATTCTTTCAAATGAAGAAGCAATGATCTAACGAGATGGTTTATTTCGATTTTCTATGATAGCTTCCAACGGCGACACCACAGCAAACGAACAAGAGGCAGCTACTGCGGCAAAGCAAAAGAAACAAGAAGAGGACATATTAAAGGCAGATGCTCAAGCAAAGGCCGAAGAAGAAGCCAAGATGAGGGCCCGAGAAGAAGCACGACTGGCCGCGAAAGCTAAGGCTGAGGAAGAAGCTAGACTGAAGGCCCAAGAAGAAGCACAGCTCGCCGCAGAAGCCCAAGCTAGAGCAGAAGAAGAGGCTAGATTGGAAGCAGAGGCTGACGAGGAGGCCGCGAGGCTTCAGGCATATGCTGAGGCCGACGCGCGGAGAATGGCCGAAGAAGAGGAAATGGCAAAACTCGAGGCTGAGACAGCAGGGGACGAGGAGGCTGATCGAATGGCTCAAGAAGAGGAGGCCGCAAGGCTACAGGCATACGCAGAAGCTGACGCCCGGCGTATGGCCGAAGAAGAGGAAATGGCAAGAATGATGGAAAGGGAATCCAACGTAGATGCTTTGAGTCAGGAGGAGCACAGTGAAGATGCGACATCGCAGCAGGAACCTCGTAGAAGAAAGAAGAAAAAAGACAAGAGTGGAAAGTCAAAACATGAAAAACAAGTAATGCTTCAGCAAACCATGGCGCTTTTGATGATGGCTGAGGAAGAAGAGAGAGAAGAAAGGATGCAGAGAAAGCGGGAGAAACGTGCTAGAAAAGAGGCCAAGATGCGCGCCAAGTCCCTCGAGTTGGAACAGATCCGCGCTGCGAAAATGAATGCGGAGCAACCACCAAAATCCAAGTCTCTTGAATTGGGGGATGCCATGTCTCGTCAAAATGACTTGCTCAATAGATTGGGTGCCCAGATGGCACTTGGGGGGATTGCTATGGAAGACGAAGAGACAAAGGCAGCAAGACTCGAGCGCGAAGAAGAGGAACGGCGTAAGCGCGAAGAAGAGGAGCAACTGGAAATGGAGGCAGCGTTGAGAGAGGCTGAAGAGGACGCACGCCGAGAAGCTGAAAGAATGGAATTAGAAGAAACAGAGAAGCAGGAGGCTGAAAGAATGGCAACAGAGGAAGCCGAAAAAATGGCAGCTGAAGAAGAGGCCAATCGCATTGCAGCTGAATGGGAGGCCGAAAGAATGGCTGCTGAAGAAGAAGCAAATCGCATTGCAGCTGACGAGGAGGCCGAAAGAATGGCTGCTGAAGAAGAGGCCAATCGCATTGCAGCCGAAGAGGAAGCCGAGAGAATTGCGGCTGAAGAAACAGCTCGTATCGAAATGGAAAGAATCGCTGCTGAGGAAGAGGCTGTTCGCATGGAGGCTGAAAAAGTTGCTGCTGAAGAAGAGGCCCTACGTATTGCATCTGAAGAGGAAGCAAAGCGAGTCGCGGCCGAAGACGAGGCTGCTCGGGTTGAGGCTGATAGATTAGCAGCAGAAGAAGAAAAGGCCCTAAGTATTGCTGCTGAGCGGGAAGCAGCGGAAGTTGAAGCAGCGCGTCTTGCAGCCGAGGAAGAAGCAGCACTCGTTGACGCTGAACGCATTGCCGCAGAGGAAGAAGCTGCTCGTTTGGAAGCTGAAGAAGCTAAGTTTGCAGAAGAAGCCAAATTATTGGAGCAAGAAGATGACTTGTTTGAAGAATCAAACAACCATGACGATGGTCTTGATGTCTTGGACGACCTGGACGCCCTCCTTGACGGCGACTTGAGTGATCTTGAACCTGATGATGCTGCCAAGAAAAGAACAAAATCATTGAAACCAAGTACAGCTACATCGATTGGCAAGGCGAAGACAGGTCCCAGAAAGGCCGAAACGAAGAGCAAACTAAAATCTATTTCAGGACCACCGAAGGTCCGGCGACGAGCAAACGCAGAATCTCATTCAATCACAAGTACAAAAGCACCAGAAGGAAAACCACCTACTATTAAAAAGACCAAAAAGCAGGTTGACGAAGTCGGTTCACTGCCATCTCAACTCGGTTCAAGTCCAGCAAAGGCTAAAGGCAATCCAGCAACAATTCATGGGCTTCCACCGGGAACTGCGAGAAGATTGAAGAAACATGGTGCACTTCAATTTCCTGCCAGAGAAGTAAATTCATATGGTTCTGTTGCAACTATTACGTCACTGCCACCATCACCTCGGCGACCAATGCATGACGGCGACGATTTGGAATGCCCATGCTGTGATAATCCATACGTGGGCAAGCTTCATGCACACATGGCCGCATGCCAGATTTGTGTCTTTCGCCTCTCTCCATCAGAGACAGCAACCTTTGAACGAAAGGGTCGCCACATCCGAGTTAACATCTCCCGCGGGGGCTGCATCGATTGCAACATCTTTCCTTCCCAGGACGACGAAGAGCCTGTTCGCATTTGTCGACAATGCTTTTTTGACACACACAAACTTGCGAAGAAGCCCGAGAAAGCCTTTGGTGGTCTGTCACTGTCAGGAACATCATCCAATTTGAAGCATGTAAGGAGACCCTACCCTTCTTCGTTGCGTTGAGCTTGACACCAGATCCATTGTGATTGCAGCACAATTCTTAAAAAAAACTTTGTCCACATTATGGTGTTATTGAAAGTAGGGAGGATTTGTAGATAGCAAGTGAGGTCAACCCCACTTCGACCGCTACTTTACAATCGCAAAAATGTGTTTCAGCCTAACCATTAGTCTACGGTAGATTGTTTGTACAAAGCCATTAGATGATCTTTGCTTGAAAGGAAAACAATTGATCGAATGAATCAATCAGTCGTAGTTTTTTCAATTTGAAATTTGTATTTGAGCGTAGCCTGCATAAAGTAATAGAAAATGAGAGACGAGCACTTCTAATTTGTTGGTTTCTGCAATACCTTGTCTAAAGTCGGGGCGATGTCTAGGCTTTTTCAAAGAAGGATAGCGATCTGCAGTGTCCTATTGATCGTCCTCCTCCAAGTGAGGAGTTTGCTCCAACATACATCGATTACAACTCCAAAAGATGAAATCTCCCCAATTCTTGAAACAATGGAGTCTTTGCCATCTCAACAACCACAGCAAATGATCGAGATCAGACATGATGAGCCACCATTGAATTATGACCTCTCCCCAAGTATGTACGATGCTAGGACTCTAGATTCTTCAGGAAACCTTGGGCATGTAAAGCAATCTCAACCATTCGACCAACCAGGTGAAAGTATCACCGCGCCCTTGTCACAAGATTCTTTTGAAATACCAATTGATATGCAAACAACTATTCTGAAAGACCTATCGAAGATATGGCACGATCCCGAGAAAGGCTCAATCTGTGTTCAACTGATAGAGAATGCCAGATGTCCACACCCAGCCTTGCTTGGGAGGCTTTCCGGGCCGGCACTGGCAATTTTGGATTGGAATGAACAAAAGGCTGAAGAACACACGGGAACTGTACTCTGTGGGGACTACAGCAACAAATGGCTCGATGCTGGAGAATACTTTGTGGAAATCATTGTTTTATTTTGTGAAGACTTCGGATTAGGAGCAATGGAACGCACAGACAACGAAACAGCCTGGTTGGGGGCTGGATTTGGAACCAATTGTGTTGAAGATGCAATGCACAATCGAATCACGGCAAAAGAAGGTAACAAGATCCAAATCACGTCGTCAACGGAAGGCAAAGGAAGCTATCATCTCGGTCGCTGGGTTCGGAGGCAAGGAATTCCGCTGCGGCCACTGTTTACGCGCTACCAACCGGTGAAATGTTGTGTTCAATCGGGAGGGTACAGACCTCTGAATCCTCTCCCACAATGGTGCGAGCCATTGACAAATCGAGATAAGCCTGGTAACGCGACCAGAGGATTATGGAAATTCAAAACCGGAACAGAGGTTGTTGGCTTGCCCGAGTACCAGTTTCAATGGGGCATGAACATTTCGGAGATTAGCCTCGTTAACAGACTCCGGAGACGCCTACATGACAAATCTCTCCCCAAAATCTGTGCCGTCGGTGACTCGCATAGTCGTTTGATGGAAGAGAGGTCGCTCCCTCAGCTGAATCTAACTGGAATGTTTGAATTTGTTCAGCATTACTGGATCGCCCCAAACAAGATCGCGCCCAAAATTTTCAACCGAAAGTGTGATAAAGTCTTTATTCAAATTGGACAATGGCCTCCAAGCTGGTACACCAAAGGCAATCCGACTTCTTTTGCAAAATATTACAAGAAGATGAAAGAGCACGTGCAAAATACACTGAAGGTACTTGAAACTAAACCAGATGCAAAGATCTATCTACCAACCATCGATCAGGGCCCGTTGACGGGGAGAGTGAATGCTTGTAACGACTGGCGAATTCCAACGGTTCTCGATGCGTATTCCTTTGTCAACCAAATGATCAAGCGAGAACTCAACACTAGCAAAGTTGAATACATCGACACTAACTTCATCATATATACACATTGGGACGGTCATCCCGATTGGGCACATCTGATGGAGGATGTAAGATACCGAAAGACAATTTACATTACTGCTCTGATTTTGGGAGAATTGGAGGGTATGGGGATTTCACAAAAAATCGTGACTGAATCATCATCAATCAATAAATCAATCAATCCACGTGGCAGCTGAAGCAACACATCAAAACTCTTCGAAGAGATTCTACCTCACTTGTCACAATCAATACACAAAACGCGAAGATGCTTCCAAGGCTTAGTTTCCTTCCAGCGTTGCTATCGCTATGCTCTTCGAGCACTCATGCCTTCACACCTGCCCGATTAGGTACGGTGACACGACCAATCTGCACACAACTATTCGACGCGACTTCGGTTTCCGAAGTTGCCTCCATGCGAGCGGGAGAAATCAAAGCCGAACTTGAGAGCTATGGAATCAGCACCGCCAGTTTTCTTGAGAAGTCAGAGTTAGTTGATGCATTAGAAAAAGCCCGATTGGAAGGCTTGAAACCAAAGAAAAAGAAAAAAAGGAGGAACGATGATACCGGTGCTTCACCGTCGTCGTCGAGTGAGTCTGATGACAGACCAAGAGAGGAAAGGCTAACAGAGGAGCTAGAGAATTGTCGGCAGATGAAGGCCAGCGAGCTGAAGAAAGAACTTGAGGAACGAGGTGTTTCCACTCGTTCATTCTTCGAGAAGTCAGAGTTTGTTCAAGCTCTTGCAGCAGCGAGAGTCGATGGAGTTGAGAAGAAAAACGAAGAAAGTTATGCTGAGTACGCGGATGTCGAGGTATTGACAGATGATAACTCTGGACCGCGAACAAAACAAAGTCCACAATCCCAGCAACAACAAGGTAGAAGCCCGTTTGGCGGGGCCAGCCCATTTGGCGGAGCAGGAATGGGAGGCATGGGAGGAATGGGTGGCATCGCAGACATGTTAAAGAACATGGGAGGTGGTGCAGCTGGAGGTGGCGCAGCTGGAGCAAACCCTTTTGGTGGTATGGGTGGAATGGGCGGCATGGGAGACGCTATGGGAAAAGCTCAAGAGATGATGAAAAATCCAAAGGTGATGGAAATCATGGCCAAAGCCCAAAGTAATCCAAAGATCATGAAGGCGATGCAAGAGTGCATGTCAAACCCTGCGGCCTTTGCCAAGTATCAAAATGATCCAGAGGTCGGAGAACTCATGCGAGAGTTGCAAAAGTACATGTAATTCATAATTGAACTGCGAGGAAAAGACGACGTTCGCAATCCATTTATTAAAAGCAATTTCTTCGAATTCTAGTACAGCAACATTGAGTGGATCTTTTACCGGTAGTTTTTGTGTTGCTAAGAGCACAGAGAAGCTGCTGATCACGACAAACATTTCTATTTCACATCATTTGTCACCTTCAGAAGAATCCAAGTCAAGAACTAAAGTTTCCAAATCGAGCACTGTCTCTGCCACTTTTCTCCTCCTCTCCTAGTAAATAGTAGTGACACGAAGAAGTTTTGAAACTGTCCATTTTTTTTAAAAGCATTGCGCAGTTTCGAAACTAAGGTTTTTGTCGCAGCAATCTTAGAACTGGCTTTGTGCCAGCCACGCGGTTTTGATACTGTACTGTAGTGGTTAGAGCTTCTGTACCTGTACTTGTAGGTCCAGGCAGCCCAGCGTTAAAAACGCAACTTCAGTTTTCATCGCTTGTGCTGCTGTAGCATGGCCTCATCGTTTTCAGAGTCTTGCTGATGAAGAGGAACTGAAGAAACACTTCTTTGAGATGGCGTGAAGTGGCCGCCCCTCTGCAGAGTGTACTAAAGAGCATACTGTAGTACGAATCCAGATGATGTAACCCGGTCGGTACCGGTACCTGGTACCATACTGTACGTACTTGAGATTTTTTCAGCTCTCGCAGCCTCAACTTTTAAAAAACTAAGTCAGCTCTACAACGCGAAGTCAAAAATAAGAACCCACCCTCTCACATTCACAGCCATCAATGCAAGTCACAGTTTCATGCAGTACCTTTGACTTTTAGAGAATGGTAACGATAAAACCAGAACAGGAAATGACATTAAGAGTAAGGCCACGCGTCTTGTATTGGAGCCTATTCAGCTGGATGGCAATCACCGGTGGGCGATTCCTTGCTCCCTTTCTTGAACACGAATCCGAAATGACTGATTCCAACATCGGCTTCATTCTGGGGATCCAGTATGCGATTCTCAGTGTCCTAGCACCTTATTACGGTAAGTATGCAGATGCTCAGGAACGGAAGTATCCGAATTATGGAAGGGGGAAAGTGTTGGCGGTTGGGATAATCTTCGGAACCATCTCCTTTCTGATGCATGGAATCAATGCTTTTTGGGATCTGCCGATCTTCGAATCTTTATATTTTCATTACGCTGTGCAGGTTCTATATGCTCTGAACTTTGCCATCATAATTCCTGTGGTTGACGGCATGACACTAGACTTCTTGCAGAAAGAACAGGGCGGATCCTTGGACTACGGAAAGGAACGACTTCATGGTGCTATTGGTTGGGGAGTCACAAACATGTTATTAGGTCCTCTGATTGACAAATTTGGATTTCCAGTATACTATCCATGCTGTATAGTCAGTGCAATTTATTGTATTGGCAGTATCTTTATTTACTCGAATGCCCAAGCACAAGCACAAGCACAAACCCTCAAGCAGAAAAACGACACTGAATGCTCCGATTCTAACGTTCCTCCACGAGCATCTTACCTGCAGACCGATTCTCTCACGGAACCCAACACTGGTGCAATTCCTTCGAGTCTTAGCTTACTCTTGGGAGTCATAAGTTCATCATATGGGGCTGCATTTGTTTTCTGTTACTTTTTCATGACCCTGGGATTTTCGGTGGTCGAAAACCTTGTGTTTCTTTTCTTTGAATTCTTGGGTGGTTCCAACACGATCTGTTCCATCACTGTTGTCTTGACTGTGATATTCGAGGTTCCCATATTTCAGATTGCACCTAATCTCTTGCGGAAACATGGAGTTGGATGGGTGCTTTTGTTGGCATGCATCACGTTCTGGATTCGCATTGTTTGTTATACATTGATTCCAGAAGGTATGTACTGGCATCGGATAGTGAATTGCTGTTTCGAAGAAGAGGACCTCAAAGTATTTTCTATCTTCCTCGTATTTGTAGGATCGACGTGGATGCTCTTGTTGATAGAACCCCTACACGGCTTCACTTATGCGGGATCTCAAGTCGCAGCCGTGGAATACGTGAACCGAAACATGCCATCAGGTTCAGAGGCTAGTGGTCAGGGGATTGTCAATCTCATCCGTGGTAGTGCCAATGTAATTGGTCTTTGGTTAGGAGGATTCTTACAGGATGTCTTTGGACCTCGAGTAATGTATCGGGTGTTTGTGGCGGCCGTGACGGTCGGTATATCTGTATTTGCAACAGTACGATCAACCCATCGACAACAAGAAGAGGGATACCGCATTGTTGCGGAGGTGATTGAAAGTGCTTAAGATAGTGTGAAGAAAAGAAAGCATTGTGTACCTATCTATGTACATGTGTGTATGTTATCCACAAAAAGCATGCTATTAGAGACAGTTACATAGAAGGAGGAGAAACCAATGTGATTCACTATTCCTCCTTGAAATGGAGATACTTTCGATCTGCAATTCTTCTCGGCCGGAACCAATGCTTTACGGCAAAGATGATGCCAAACGCGAGGAAGGTGAATCCTAAACCATAGAATGTTACTCCAATGTACTGGTTTTTTCCGCCAAACATGTTGGTCGTCGTAACGATGAGTGCCTTGTGCCCCGAGAAGCTCTCAACGACGTAGTTTGACCAAATTTCGAACTCTATCTTTTCTCCCTTTGGAATCTTTTGATTGATCCACCCGTATAGTTTTCGGAATTGTGGTCTGGTTTCCGTCCTCATCCAGACGACGAAATGTTCGTTTGTCACGTGCTCCAAGGGACTTATCATATCTGGATAGGTTTCATGAAGATATCTCGTGGTGTCAGCTTCCGGATAGTCATAGGCATAACACTTTCCATCCTGTTTGGAGCGTGCTGGCGAGTCGCATGAGAAGCCGTTATCTTGGCAGCATGTCGAGTTCCCACTGCATTCTTCTACCGTTGGGCATTCCTGCATCTGAAAGCCCTCTGGCAATCCGAATTTGTATTCCAGATCCGACCGCCACGCAATCCCTTCTTCGTTCATTTCCAGTTGAAGCCCATCTTCATCATTACCACCAATGAGGGATATTTTATCGTTGAAGAAGGTATTTGCTACAAAGCCACATGGGTTCAAAGTTTTCCCACCTAGTACATCCAATGGCTCACACAATGCACGGAAGGTGGGGTCTCTGTTCTTTCCCACTCTTCCAACCAGCTGAAAGCTGTCTCTCGACCTACTGTAGAATCGATGATTCTGGTGAAAATTGTTGAGTTCATAGTATATCATAACGGGAGGCTCCATATCTTCTGGCGCTTCAAATTGGATGGTGCAAGTTTTGTTTTGGTTGTAGTTTTCACCAATCCTACAATCACTCGTTCGTGTTGTATCAATCAGTGATTGATCTTTTGCATCATAGATCGAATGTAGCTCGACGATGCTGTCGGATAATGCTTTGATTTTAAAGCCTGCGTCGAAACAAGAAGTTCCGTGCCGTTAGTCGAACAAATGATGAAAGCAGTATCATCATCTCGCTGCGACATCCACAAATCCAATCGCCAATTGACGACAGATCACAAATCTCTAATCCAGAAGAAAGCAACAGGACTTACCAAGGGGAATCAAGACTACCGCTAGAATCAGATAACCATAGATCATCCATTCTGGATCTAGAATTGGGTGCCAAGCCTTGATCCGTTGCTGTTGTATGGCAACATCTGGTGGTCGATTCAACTGATCCGCCAAGTCCAGAACCGAATCTTCCTCACCATCGTCATCCACTCGACTCATATTGTTCGGCTATGTATGTATAGTTTCGACAACGATTTTGGCGACAGGTGCAAAATGGTTACTTTTCTGTTCGTCTCTTCTCGCCACTGCAATTGTGAGAATGCTTTCCAGTTTTTACAATATTCTTCCTGTTGTCAAAGGCAAAACTGCACGGTACGGTATAAAATCAATGCTTCCATGCCCTACCTGCGTGTATTTTTTACACAGCTTCCGCGTAGGGTCCAAAGCTCAAAATTCCGACTCAAATGATTCGACAGGATCTGAAGACGAATGAATCAATCTAAAAATTATCTATCCATAACAACAACCAACGTCAAACTTCAACTGTGTCATCTTTCAAATGAGAATAACAGAGTTTTCCTCTCTCATTTTGTTCCTGTGGATCGATACAGTATCGTCTTTTGTCGGTCCCCATGGACTTGTGAGCAGAGCAACGACGTTCTCTGTCCCCCCAACAACACCCAGCACCACGTTCCACGAGTCAAGATTTAGCAATCGGCTGTTTACTTATGCTTCCCGGTCGTCGATGAGAGTATCTACGCAAGTTCGGATGTCTACTACTTACGAAAAGCTCATGGAACAATTACCATCCACCGCTGTTATAGATGCAGTGGCTTCTGTGAGCGGTGACAAAGTTGTGGCGTCGGATGTAGCAACTCGAGCGGGAGTCAGTCTGAGTCAAGCTAAGAAGGATCTAACGGCTCTGGCATCCCTTTCGAGAGGAGATATTTCGGTTTCTTCTGATGGGGAACTAATCTACGAATTTCCGTCCAACTTAAAGGGTGTCCTATCTTCAAACTCGGCAAAATATCAAGCACTTCAGGTCTTTGAGAAAGGTAAGTTCTGGGAAAATGGAGGATGCAACTTTTAAACACAGGCCCTCAAACTTCGCTCTTCGGTTTCAATGACATGAAGCATGGCCAACTGTCTTTTGGGGAATTCGGGTTAGCTTTGGAGTGGCTCTTTTGGCATCAGTCGTTTTGATTTTTAGCACACTGTTGGTCATCAACTCGAGCTCGAGCAGCGATGATGACAACCGACGTCGGGACAATCGTGGTTTTGGTGGGGGTGGTTTTGGCGGTGGTATGAACATTTGGTGGGGACCATCTCCATTCGATATTTTCTACTATCGTCCTTACGGATACTATGGATACTACGGCGACAGAAGTGATGCCAAGGATCCAGAGGAAATGGGGTTCCTGGAGTCGACATTTTCCTACATATTTGGAGATGGAAACCCAAATCAAGGTCTAGAAGAAAGGAGACTAGGCCTTGCTGCTCAAATGATTCGACAAAATAATGGTGCTGTGACGGCTGAACAATTGGCCCCCTATTGTGATGCCCCGGACCCTTCCGATTCAAAAAGTAGTTACGTGGAAGAATCATTTGTCTTGCCAGTGGTAACTCAACTGAATGGAGAGCCTCGTGTCACTGACGATGGAGATATTGTTTATGTATTCCCTGAACTTCAAATATCTGCATTGTCTTCGGAAGTTGTACCCAGAACTTCTGAAACGGCCTTGGTATTGAAACGAGCAGGTCTTCCTCCGTCTGCCACGGCAAGGGAAATTCGCAACTTGCTCAACATGAGTCGCATCAGCACGACGGGAGCCCTAGAAAAGGATGATTTGATCCGGCTACTAAAAGAGGCACTCCCACCAATGACAATGGAAGAAGAGGAAGAGTTGATGCCGCAAGATCCTGGTCTCCTTCTTGAGCGACAGTACAAATTTAGCCTTGCTCCAGATTTGAACAAAGTGCTAGCTGGTGGACTTGGTATCGTCAATCTTGGTGGGGCCTTGTACCTTGGTCGCATTTTCAGTGAATATGCAATGTATGGTGTGCGCTTGCCTTCCTTCCTTGGGTTGACGCAGTCCATTTATCCACTCTTGCTGGGATATGCTGTGCTCTTCAATGTGATCCCGTTGGCTCGAAACTTTTGGATCAAGTCAGAGAACAAGAAAATTGGGGAACGGAATCGAGCACGCCGAAAGTGGAATGAGCGACTTAAGTCCAAGGCCGGCAACATTGGGCGGAAACTTAAATCAGCTGCCAAATTTGCCACCAATCGAAGGCAGCTGAATGCAAACGATGTCATTTTCGATACAAAGGAGTCTGCTGCAGAGATGGAAAAGAGCAAGAATCAACTAGATTTGGATGACTTTGACAAACTACTGGATGGTGACGGAAGCTTTCAGTAAACTCTTGTTTTTAAATTTCCATATCCGGTCTCGATAGTTTGGACGAATCAATCGATGGGACCGGTACCATCCTTGCCAGTACTACCTGTTTGGTACAGCACTGTACCTAACCCTGTAGCTAAATAATTATCATGAGTAAAAGGAATAACCTTTTTGTTCTTTGCCGACGACTGACTGACGCACTCCAATTGAATTCTGGTTTCAATTTGCAACGGTGTGCAATAAGTAATTGCTGGCTGGCTCAAAACTTACATATGGTAGTGGAAAAACCGTTGGTTTATCCTGCTATTTTTGAATTTCCGTCCTGCCACTTTTTCTTGAATAAAAGCCATTTTCAACAAGTGACTGAGAACAATGGCGCTCGGTCAATCTATGCTTGCAAGAAGATTCTTGCTGTACGTAAAGATGTATGTCGTCACAATCGCTTCACGATAGACACTTTCTTACCCTGTCATTTTCCTCTTGACTCTCAGATGGTACATTCTTCTTGGATCGTTCCTCATCCTTCCACTGTCTTGGGAAGTCTTCAACGGTTGCAAATTACTTGAGGTCGAATCACAAAACTATGGACTTTTTAAGAGAGCCGCATACGATTCTGAAGGCCTCATTGGATGTGTTGAGTACTCATCAAACTTCACGACGGATGACGATGTCTTTTTTAAGATCGCACGAACTGCAGGTCTTACGATGGTCATGTTCGCTACGATCGCATCGATTATCTGCTTATTTATTCAATGCTTCAGCAAGGCTGGAAAGTCGAAGCTATGGGTTGTGATGCGATTGACATTCTTCTTGTCGTTCCTTTCACAAGGAGCTGTTTTTACAATCTATTTTTCTGAACTTCGTACTGCTTCAGAAGAGTGGAAGATTGGGGCGAATGGCATTCAAGCAGCGTGCAATGTTTTCTTCTTATTTCTCATGGTTATTGCTACCATATGCTCGTTGCCACCAAAGAATCCAGTTTTCAGATTGTGGTATGATCTGCCCGATTACGATACTGACAAAGCTTCGTTCGAGGAGGAAGATGATGTCGAAGCAGGAGCAAGAGAACCTCGAGAGTGTGAGGAGAGTGTCTCGTTGTTTGGTGGAAGTGTAAAAAGTCTGAAGAAGAAGGTCAATGGTGTACAAAGTGTTGCAGGTAGCGTTCGTTCAATGGCAAGAAGGTACACCACTTCAGAAATGGGTCAAATCGAAGAGACACATGACCATCAGGCTGAGCCAGATGGCAACTCTCTTGTTGATACCATTAAAAGTCGTACTACAAACGGCCTTTCTATTACTGAAAGCAGCTTCCAGCGTCATGTTGATGATATGATTGATCATGGGATTTCTCTCGGGCCAGGAGGCATTCGAGAAGATGAACGACGAGAAGGGAATCAAGTCATTATTGTGGACAAATACCCGGGTACCTTGCGAAACAATCTTCTTGGAGACGTTGACGGCACCGATGTCGTAAAAGTGCGCTCCGAATACTGCCCTGCAGGAAGAAAGACCATTCGAGAAGAGTGCCATCCGGACGGTTCCCGCACTGTTACGACAGTCATCACAGTGGTGAAAGATGATAGTGTTATCGCCGGCATCGATCCATAAATTTTCCCGTCATATATCAGCTGACGCCTTCCATACTCGTGAAGGGTGTTTTGCAGCTAGGTACTGCAGTGGTTTATAAAGTAAACCGCTTGTTCAATCAATAAAAATAAGCCACTTGTTTCTAATGTTTTTGAGTCTAAAAAAGTACCAAACTGACGTCATCCGAGATATCCATTGTATGCGACGACAATGAAAACCAAAGCTGTGAGCATTATGAACCACCTGAAGATATTGGTCCTCCTAGTTCTCTTGCCTGAGTTGCATTCGTTCACCATGACATCTCGAAATGTTTATTCTGCGTCTCGGTCTATTGCACTCGCCAACAGAAGGAGTGTCCGTTCCCTTTCCACTTCATTCAAGATGACAATTGACGACACACCACTAGGAACCGAAAATGGCAGGTTTCTTCTGGACGGACTTGATATCTACTCGGTAGCAGCAAAAGATGATAAGCATCCTTTGACAGTGTATGGAATTGATAGCTCGCATCCAAAGCCTGACGATAATATTCTACTGATGCTTCATGGTCGGACGTGGTCTTCTGTTCCAGTCTATCACCTTATGGGCGGCCCACAGCACAAACAAGAAGGGTATGAATCCAGAAGTCTGATGGAATTGTTTGCAGAAAATAAGATCAAGACGTATGCAATGGACTTTAGGGGATTTGGTGGGACTCCTCGCGATCCAAAGGTACGATTGATTGACTGATTGATTCATTGATTTTACACAATGCACGATTGATTGACTGATTGATTCATTGATTTTACACAATGCACTATTGATATTAAGGGGGTGGTTGAACCACATCGATGCGTGGAGGATGTAGAGTCTGTTCTCGCCTGGATCATGGAAAGGCATGAAACAACTCCAGAACGTGGGGATTTGAGTCTAATGGGATGGTCTCAAGGAGCATTGGTTGCCCAGCTTGCCGCCCAGAAATCTCATCCAGTTTTCTCAAAGCTGATTCTTTATGGCTCAATCTACGACCCAACAATTCGATATCCACGGCAACCCCTCTTTTCGTCGTCAAAAGATGAAATTGAAGAAATTGAAAACACATGGGACGGCGCGGTGGAGGACTTTACAATAGAAGGATCGATTCCACCGGAGACCGCCAGCAAATTTGCTGAGGCTGCTCTTCTTTCCGATCCTATCAAGGCTAATTGGAACCAATTGTATCAATTTAACAACTGTGATCCCGGAAAAGTCCATGTTCCTACTCTAGTGGTAAGTCAGTGCTCCCAATGTACCTGGAGAGACTTCACAGAATTACTAACACACTCCTCTGTGTAACAGATTGCGGGGGACCAGGACCCTTATGCCCCTCTTCCTGTCCAACAGGAGCTTTTCGCCAATTTAGGCAGAGGATCCGACCGAACTCTCAGCATTCTAGCTGATGCCGATCACGCCGTCCATCTCCTTGATGGTAGAGAGCGATTTGCGAAGATCATCAAGAGCTTCTTGATGAATGGGAAAAGGAGAGAGCAGTTGTGGGAGTACTAAGTACAAACATCTTGAATAGAGTTAATTTTTTCTTGTACAACTATTTTAATACAATCACATCTACTTCTCTGGGAGACGAATCTTGGAAAGCATTCCCAAGTGTTGTGGTACTGACACTAGAGTATTGGCAGTCACAGCACCAGAAGCAGCTGTGGCAGGAACTCTAAAATTAGGAAAGTACTTTCGTGTGAGAGATCATTCCAATATCATGATATACATCATAATGATAAGCCTTACCCAATTCCGGGAAATGTGAAATCTCCGCATAAGAAAAGCCCTTCCAGGGGTGTCTTGTGTCCGGGAAGTGTACTTTTTCCTGCTTCAACCCGAGGCCTAGACAAAATAGCATGAAGATTGTGAGCAAGGAAAGGGTTTGAACATGGTGGAATCGTCACAATGTCTTTACCCATATGCACCCCTTGTGCGTCGGAGAAATCTCTCGTGTGTTAACGGTGTACCGACTTGAACAGTACCAGGCACGGCTCGGTTCCTCGCATCTGGGACGTATTCCTCAATTGCGCTCCACAAAAAGTCAGCGGCTTCCTCTTTCTTTTTCTTGTAATCATCAGAATCTCGATCCAGTCCTTCCCACCATTCGTATGGTTCTGTCGCCGGAACATAGGCATGTAGGACATGCTTTCCTTCTGGTGCCAACGAAGGATCAATAAGAGACGGCATTGAGCACAAGACAATGTTACGAGGAGCTTCGACTCCTTCTGGCAGGTCCCAGTCACGCACAACCGCCCACTGCGTCGGAAAATCTTAAGAGCAACAGAACATTTTAATTAGCACCGACTGTATATTCCAATATAGCAAAAGTAATAAGCAGATCCCATCTTACCTTCACTTGCAACTGTTGGAAGGCCACTTGCGTCGATGCCTGCATGAATGTGGATGAAACTCTTCAAGTTTGGTACTCCACCGTCTTCTGCATCAGTGTTTATCAATTTATTCATATACTCAATGGCTTCATTCGAAAGATGCCCAGCTAGGCGGGCACTAGAGAGCATTTTATTGGTAATGAAAGGGTCTGCATTTGAAACGACTGCATGCTTCGCACGAATAACTTTGCCGCTTGCTAGTTTGACACCTACAGCTCGATTTTGATCGACTATGATTTCATCGACATGTGAATTCAAACGCACTTCTCCTCCAAACTTGTTCACGCCACGAACTAGAGCATTTGCAATTTCACCACTTCCACCTTTTGGAAAGTCGAGTGTAACTCCTGGTCTGTACCAATCTGCCAACATGTACTGAAATAAACGTGTAGGAATAAGATAGACGATTCATTCATCTGATGGACAGCACAAAGGAAATCGACTTACTGCCATGACTGCGTTCATGGTCCCGGAAGCAGGGAGACCCTGTAGCAAAAAACAGAGCATGTCGAGCCAGTTAATCACAAACTTATTTTTCAATTTCATTTCGTCCATGATAACGCTGAAGGGTTCATTCAGTGCTTGTCCTTGCTGTAGCGTCCGAAACAGTTCAAATGGATACTTCAACAAGGTTACAACAGCTCCAGCATCTTCTCGAAGTGCAAGAGAAGATAAGGCTTGAGCAGCATCGGATAGAGGTGCCATACGCTCCATGAGGCTTGCAAACTCTTCTTCGGCACCAGGCCCACCATGCTGTTTCAAAGTTTTGGCCAAGCCTTCCGGTCCGATTGGTGGAGCAAATTTTTCTCCATTTGGTAACACAGTACCCCACCGATCGTATGTTATCCATTCGCAATCTTCTTCAATGATCTGGAAAATATTCTTCAATGGGTTGGGCGATCGGTCCATGCTGAATCCTGAGTACAAAGATGGACCAGATTCAAAGTGGAACCCACGTCGAGTCCAAGAATGGGTGCATCCACCAGGAGTATCGTGAGATTCCAGAACAACTGTTTTCTTGCCGCAGTGAGATAATAGAGCTGCACATGAGAGACCTGCCAGACCACTTCCAATCACTACACAATCAACCTCCTCTTCGGTCGCAACGTCCCCGGTTGCTACGAACAAGCTGTTAGAAGTCTTCAATTGGTTCGCGTGCTGCATAGTTGGAACAACAAATCCATTGGCCAGAGCCAATCCAAAAACGAGAAGCTTCATGCTATAAAGGTATTATACCGGCAGTGGCTTTCCCTGTTGTCAAGTAAGATTGTCGTTTACATCTTGGATTTTCGTTGCTAGTCGTCATAAACTCGTCATAAACTCGTCATAAACTCGTCATAAACACGTCATCCTTATTCGACAACGACGACTGACTCATAGCTCATCGCGTCGGATACATCTTTTACCCCTATAATACTAAACACAAAACGAGATTGCTACAAGAACAAATTGCAAATGATGTATCCACAACTAGACACTGCCACAGTGTACAGTTGACACGAAGAGACTTCCGGTAGTGTGGATTAGCTTCGATCAAGCGCCCACTCACGGCTGGCCTATACGTCTTTTTTCGCGCCTTTTTGCTCTGATCTTGAGCACCCCGTCAAGGTCCAAACTGTCGTTTTCAAGTTTCCTTTCTGTAGCCTCTTGTTTTTGCTTCACATCTTCCGCAAGCTTATTTTTCAGCTTGCTTTCAGAATCTTCGTCGACAACCTCCTTCTCCTTCCTTTCAGAGCTGGAGTCAACAATCTCATGTTTCAGATATTTTGATTTTTTCTCTACTTCTTCCACGAGCTCTTCCTTTTCAGATTTTGATAGTTTCTCTTCCTTGGAACTCTCGATCACTTCGTTCTTGACCTTCTCCTCTTCGGCTTCATCTTTTGTCAACGTTTCGCCCTTTTCTTCCTTTTTTCTCTCGTATGACACTATTTTCATCGACGTAATCGCAACGTTCGTGACCATTGCCCTATAATTTCCAGGTTTGACGGGACTTAGCAGCATTCGATCCACGGTATCGAAGCCATCAATTACCTTCGCAAAGCACGGATCTGCAACACAGAAAACATTTGAAACTTCTACGTGAGGTTTTCCAATTATTCTGAAAAGGTTTCAAGCAACATTTGGCTTGTCTGGACGCACCTGCTTCACTGCTATCTTCATAATTTGTCTGACCCCCAGGCCCATGCAGCAGGGAGTTGTCCATGGTGCTGATGTAGAAGTCGGGGCCGCCCGGTCTCCCCGCGAAGCCAAGTGTATATTTCTTGTGTGGAAAGTTAGGACTATATTCCTGAAATAAAACTGAATGAAACCCGGCGTCCACAAAACGTCTATTGAGCTTCGCCTCGGGTGGTGATAAAAAGTTTGGCGCTGGTCCTCCCTGAATCACATGCCCAGCATTGCGATGAAAAGAACAGCCGTCATAAAGCGTTCGATTCACCTGCTCGAGAAACCAATACACTGTATGTGGCATTTCTTCCACGGGTGCAAGTTCAATGACAATCCGTCCAGTATTACCATCCGACTCATTACCTTTCGGAAACTCTGGGTCGAAACCAAGGTTGATTTCCACATAATGCGGCCCGGGCCCGAACCTAAGGAAAGCGGGAACAAATGCCAACAGTGAGCACAAAAGCAGTGATGGTGACTAGATATCACCAAAGAGCGGCAAATCTGGGTGATAGACACAACAATATTGGTACTGTACTCACTTTTCCAGCAACTCAGTCTTTGACAGTAACTCAATATTTCTTTGCATTTGTCTCTTATAATCAATGAGGTGCTGAATGTCGTGCTCTTGTTTTTCTCGAATATCTTCGACTTGATGGATCTGCTCTTCCAACTGAGTCTTGCCTTCCTTGAACTGTGCACTCTCGGTCACTTCTTTCTTCAACGAATCCCGCTCTTCCTCCAAAGCTGCCAGCTTTTCTTCCCATTCACGAGACATTGGTTCGACCTTATCATGGATAATATCCTCGCGCAAATGTTCCATTTGTACCTTCTCATGACGCGACATCAAGAAATAGCCCGCAAGTAGAACCCCGACCATCATGAGGCCAAACCCTAAAACCCATTCCCTCGCAAGTGGTTGCCCTGGTGCTCGTCGTCTTCGTCGTGGTCGGCCTGCTAGGGAGTTTTTGGGTTCAGGGCCTTTCTTCTCTGGGGATACGCCATGTTCTATCTGCGAAGAGATATCGCTTTTTTTCCTTTGTTGCACACCTGAACTCATGGTTGTATTGTATGTGTCATTTCAAAAACAGAGTGGCATTTGGATTTGGCATAAAAAATACGCACGCACGAATGCAAGACAACGGAATAAATTTATTATTGAAGAGTATGTCTTCTTCTGCCAATCTGTATTTGGTTTAAAACATCTTTGCGGAGCCATCCATATGCTTGATGGACTTTAATATACCGTCCAGCGCGTGTTGCACTCTCATTTCAGCGGTCTTGGCAATCAATAGCTGTGGTCTTATTTCCATAGCCACACCCATAGCAGGAATCGGGTTTATCAGTGCCCCTACCCAAAAGGCTCGTTCTGAGGGCTCATGAGGAGGAGGGATTTCTCCTAGCTCTGCAAGTAACCGCTCAATCTGGCCTGGACTCCTCTCATTACCTTTTGCTAGCTGAATCCACCTGTCAACAAGTGATTGGTTTTCGGGCATATTCATGTTCGGACAGGTCAAGCTTTCTGCTTTCGATATGGCTCTAGCAACACCAAAGCGATCCTCTCCAGAAACCTCTTCTTCCTCTTGCTCGCTGGAATCCAGAAATTCAACTCGTGCCTCAGTCCATCCAATGCCAGTGTTGTCAACTTCACCCAATATGGAAAATCTTCGCCCAGCCTTCAACTCTAGTTTCATGCCATCTTCGACAAATTCCGGCTTACCAATGATTTCAACTTCGACTCCATTCTTCAAATGTACTTGCTGACCAGTGCTGATCCTTGCCAAACCAAGAATTCCGAAGAAAGGCTTCTCGTTTTCTAGACATTCTTTCACTAAGGCCTTTAAAAGATCATTCTTGACTTGGATTCTTAGCACCTGTCTTGGAAGCATAGTATCTAGGACCACCAATGCCATCCTCGACTCGCGATCCTCGACTTCCTTTACTCGCGTTCTAAGTGCAGCCATAAAATCATCATCTTCTGCGGCCCATTGAAAGTTCCGTGTACTAGCTGTCGGCAGGTGGGATTGCGACGACAAAAAAGCGGTAGCTGTAGGCAACGCCATCAAGAGCGTTGCCCAGAAGAAGCTTTTGATTCTTGAAGATAAAACGGATATCATGCTATTGCGATTCTGTTGCTTGGATTTGGGTGGTACTTGCAGCGAAAAAATGAATCATCATCACGGTGCAGTGATCGATGATGTCATTCAAAATGGTACTTTTACAGTTTCTTTGAGGTGATTTGTTGGGAAAACAACCATCACACTCCCACCACTCACCATTTGCACTGAAATCTAAACACAAGCGGAATACGAAGAAGCTAATGAGAGATATCACAAGTTCCTATCCTGTTTCGACTTAACACATTCTTATAGCATCGTCATCGAGACATTGACAATCTTGCCATTTGTCCCTCAAATCAATGACATCAATTCCTCGCATTGTCACCGCCCTATTGGAGCCGCCTTGATCACTTGCTCCATATCTGCCGGTGCAAAAATTTCTCGGCCATCATCCAGTCGGACTTGGTACGGGGCAAAGGATCCCCGTGGCCATCTCGGTTCGCGATACCACAGTTTGATAACCGTTCCTGCTGCCCAGTCCGTCTCGGCATTTTCACCAATGCGGCATAGTACCTTAGAATCTATATCGAATCGTAGTTTTGGCAATTGACCCATCATAGCTTCATCCAATTCCACATCATCCTCTAGCGGAGGCCATTCCGCTTCTTCCCCGCTCTGCCATTTGTGCAATACCTCTGGGGTTGGAAAGCCGATTTTTAGTATTTCTTTGGTGACTTCTTTTGCCTCCATTGGGAGTCCAAACATCCCATCTTTTCCTCTATTGATTGGAGGAAGAAAGCAGGAAAAACAAATGTGGATTTAGTTTGATATAGAACAAACGACAAGACAACTCCGAAAAGGCTCCATATGCACGTACTTGTTAAACACAATGGTCACTGCAGTATCAATCGGTGCGCATTCTGGATCACCACAGATAACCTCTCGAGCTGCTACGACTGCGTCACCTCGAATTTCAGATGGGATAATTTCCATGGACCAAGTTTCAATCTGTCTCAATGCCACTTTTCGCTCTTCATCTTCTTTTTTCTTACTAGCGACTTTATTTGGATCAAACATGGTTTCTACTGTTCTTGTTTTCCCAGGTCTTTCTCTTATCTGATCGTTGAGTGTGGATGGAGGCTCACTTTGTTTGTTCCGCCTTCACTTCAAACTTTTGCGTTTCGATATGGTTCCATTGTTTGGTGTACAGTAAGTTATACACGTGTGTGCTACCAGGTACCAGTTTTGTCGTACAGTACAGTTGTGAGCGCGGGCCGCGGGCGAACGTTGGAGTGATTCAAATGTCCGTGTACTATCCGTTGACAAAAACTGTCCGAAACAGATCAACCGAGTGAGACGGACGATAACAGACGTCCGATTACTTTGAGCATTCGAGAAAATGGACCTGTCCGATCTGCAACAACATCAAGTGTCGGTTGACCGATCTACTAAATCAGGCCCTATTCGTGAAGTCATTGTTGTTGTTGTTGTTATTGTTGTTCCTCCCTATATCTCGCTTTTGTCAGCAAAGTAAAACCAGTTGAACTTTGACAAAGTGCTACAAAGAAATAGCAGAATGGACGGGGACTTGTTAGGTGACATGGCATTTGCTGCACCAGCGAATGAAAGTGCCAGCCAAACTCAACCGACGGCTCCGATCCCAACGATGGATTTTCTAAGTGGATCTCCGATCAAGACCAAAGAACAAGTTCCATCAGGATCACCAATCAATGATTTAGAAAATGGAAAAGATAAAGATGCTGGAGATGGGGTGTCGCAGTTGCCATTTTCTGATGATAAGACCGAGTTACAAACCCAAACACAGTCCGAACCTCAGGAGCAGCAACAGTCGAGTGTAAACGGTTTACTAGACTTTCCAGCCAGCTTTGCTGTACCCGTACCTTCGGATCCAAAGATGGGAGTAAAGCCTTTCCCAGCTAATCCCGGCCTGGCGACAGACCCATGTACCCCTCCCACACAACAAACAAAAGGGGATCCTCCACTCGATCCATTTCCGGATCAGCCTTCTGCTTCCCATCCGGATCGATTCGCTGCTTCAACAACAAACGATGCTATAGGCAATGTATTTGATCCCTTTTCTGATCAATCCCCACAGTCAGCAGCGCCAGATCTCTCTGTAGCATCTTTCGCAACTGAAGCCGCAGCACAGGCTGCGGATTCTTCTGTAGATCCCTTTTCTCCTGTAGAGCAAACTGATGAAATACCTGTGGGTGCCCAAGCTTTGGATTTGTTCGGAGATTCAACTGCAGCATCCGAACAATCCAGCACGTCAACTTATGCCGTGGGAAAGTCTGGCGATGGTAACCAACTAGTGGAGACCCAATGTATCGAAAGAACAACAACAACAGCTCAAACCGCGCAAGAGGACCAAAACGAAACGTCGAAGTTGGAAAATATAACTGTGGTCCCGGCGATTTCTTTGTCTCCGCTTGAAACGCCGACTGACAAGGCATTGACAGAGACGGCCGAAGCTATGGACGAAGCACCTTCCACCTCGACACCTCCTACTGTACAAAAGCAACCAGAAACTGCCCCATCTGAAGAAGTCGCAAAAATAAAAAAGGTCGGCCCGACGTGTCCAGAAGAAAAAGCGAATTCTGTACCCGATCCTCCTGCTGTAGCTACTACTGAAACCTCCAAGCTTGAACGCGAAAGCAGTGGCGATTCGAAAGAAGCACTGATTGGAGAAAGTCAATCGAAGCCAACAGAACCAAGTATGCCACAAAACGGAAATGACGACAAGTCAGAAAACTCGAAGCAGGAAGATAGTGCCGCGATTCCAGGAAAAGGGCAAAACAAAAGTAAGGCCTCGGACGAAAAGCCACATGCAAATATCAACGCCGCAACAAATGGGGCTCAAGAGAAGATGGGACAACAAGGACAGAAAGCTGACGAGCCAGCAAAAGCCATACCGCCAATTAAAATCGGAATGGTAAACCAGAAACTCGATTTTGGAATGGCATCGAACATGTTCCGATCCTTTTCGAGCAAGAGTGGTGCACAGCTCAAACAACTCCAGTCGAAAGGAGGTGTTAGTTTGAAAGTTGGTTTGTCAAGGCTCGGCGAAGCATCTAGTAATCTTGCCGGTACAATCAAGCAAAAGAACGCTGTATCCAACGTATTCAAAGTGGAGGAGTCCACTCTTCCAGAAAACATGCAACCTGTGGGTAGTCAGCATCCTTCCAACAGGGAGTTCGAGAGAAAAGATGCCGCAAGCATGGAGAGTGCTAGTGAAACTCCCAGCACGGATGCACCCGAACACAATGTCGCAGTATCAACCTCCTCGGGAGAGAGGAAGGATGAAGGCAAGACAATGGAGAATGAAGAGGACGGCGATGTCAAACCTCCGAAAGTGCCGCATCCAAAGAACACATCAACGACTTCTGAAAGTACAAATGACCTGGCTGAAAAGACGACTGATGTAACACCGGTAACAACGACAGCTGGCATGCAGACGAAAGGAAGTGGAAACTCTGAAAGCAAAGAAAAGGGGGTGAAACAGGGTTTAACTGCCTCTGCTGTAACCTCACTGTTTGGTCTCAAGATCGAAAAATTGCCGATCGCAACATCGAACACAGACAAGGCCAAAATCGATGGACAAGAAAAGAAGACAAGCTTACCCAAGAACGCAGAGAAATCAAATGAGGACGATGTTGAGAACGCGCCCACGGCACAACTGGAAAACCAGACTGACAAAGAGCAAAACACTTTCGAAACGGAAAAGAAAAATGAAAATGGAGATCCAAAAGACGATTCGGAAAAGGCTACACAAGACCTAGAGGAAAATGCTACTGAAGGACTACAAAAGAAGCAAGATCTTGTACAGGATGATGTCGACGCGAAGGCAACTTTAGCAAATGAATCTTTCGAAGAAAAAAAGCAAGAAAGTTTTGAAAACCCATTATTGGCAGACGGTGTAGGCCAAAACGCGGAAGTAAATTCGGTCCAAAACACAGCCCTCTCAGACCAGAATGCGAAATTTATTGCACGTATCGCAGCCCTCGAGAAAGAGCTTAGGACTAGTAAGGATGGGTCATTGAAACAGATTCAGACACTCGAGGAAGACTTGCAGGCTCGTAAAGAAGATTCTGCACGGCAGATTCAGACATTACAGAAGGAACTCCAGGCTAGCAAAGATGGCTCTTCAAGACTTATCAAGTCTCTTGAAAAGAAATTGCATGCTTCACAGGAGACAGTGAAGCAATTGAAGGACAAATCTATGAAGTTGCAGCAAGGTGCCGAAGAAAACGAGCTAAAGAAGGATCTCATCGAAGATCTAAACAGCAAGTTGCAAACTGAAATGAGCAAGCGACAGGATTCGGAAACAACTGCGAAAAAGACTAAGGAAAAGCTGGACAAGGTTGCGGAACAGTTCAATGCACTGCAAACGACTTCAAAAGAGAGATTATTGCAAATGAAGGGGGCAATTGACAAATTGATGCAGTCCAACAAGAAAATGGAAGAAGAGATTATTGGGATCCGGGAGGAAAGGGATGAACAAGGGCGGCGATTAAGTTCCAATACTACTCAGTTGCATGAGGCGAAGAAAAACGCAGCCATCAAAGTGAACGCAGCTGAGCACTACGAGCTTAAGATGAACGAATTGGACGCAGAGTTGAAACAAACAAAAGACAAGATGGCACAGATCAAATTTGAGAGAGATCGGTTCCGCAAGGAGCTTGGAAACTGGAAGAAGTACGCCGAGGACCGCAACAAGCAATTGGAAGGGCAGCTTAAGCACGAAAAGAAGCTGAATGAAGAGCGTAAACGACGAATGAAATTCTTCGTTGAAGCAAAAACGGAAGAAGCCCGTTCTAGCAATGTCGATAATGTTTCACTCCAAGCAGAATTAGATCAGACAACACGCTCATTGAAAGACTTCAACCAGCGCTACAAGCAACTGCATAGCCAGTGGGTACAAGCACAGACAAGAAATCGAGAGCTACAACGTGACATGGCCAAGATGAAGAATGATTCCGAAAAGATGAGCAAAGTTGGAGGAACCTTGGAAGCCAAATTGTCCCGTTATTCGAATGAGATTGAAGACCACAAGAGCAAGAGGCTGGCAGCCAAGAACGAACTCATGACTGTTATTGCAAAACTTGAGGAGGAAAAGAAGGCAAGTGCCCGAGTGAAAGATTTCGTCAAAGGAACTATAATACCAAAGGTGCTGTTGCAGCATCAAGTTCTCCAAGAGAGCGCAGATCACTTTGAGGGTGGAATACGTCAGCTTGCTCTCCGTTTCGGCCGAGAATTTTCTTCACTTCGAAGAAAATCCAATGGCAAACCCGATCCGTTATCTGATTGGAAACCAAAAACTCTTGAGGAAATCCAGGCCATGATTGGAGATGCTAACACTGCCCGTATTCTATCAAAACTAGAGGACGAAACCCAGAGAGTAAACGAACAGGTATCGAATGTATCAACAAGCGCTGGGCAGCTAGAATCCTTGCTTGTCGCACCGACTACCAAGGGATGCGTAGGTGCCATGTTCAGCAATTTTTAGAGCCCCAAAGAGTAAACTATAGAAAGAAATGCGTAATAGTCGTGGTGACCTTGGCTATGATGGAGAACGCCAATCCATCGACTATTGCCACTACTCTGGCTGGCTTGCGGATTTTCGCCCGCGAAATCTTTTCCTGCGCGAAATTTATGCGCGATTGCGAAATCATTAGCCCATAGTACATTACTGTACACGATCCTACAGAGGAGGACAGACAGACCAGAAATGGATATGACAAAAAACAAATACCGGTAATCGAACAAGTGTTTGTTGTCGTGGGCTCGCTCAACGAAACTGATGTTGCAAACTGAAAAGACCGGAGCACGGAGCTCGACGTCAAACTTTTTGTACGGCGGCCTCGTCAAAACTATGCATTGATCGCAATTCCAACTCGCTCGCATCGATTTGCAATAGATTACACTGCATACTCTAAAGGTTCACATCCCACTCTCATACTTTCATTGGCCGTTAGTGTAGTTGCATTGATTCAATTTACGCTAACTGTGAACTGTTGAAAATCCAGTCCCAGCAAACCTTTGAGTATCAATAACATAACCACGTCGAATTTCTTCGCAGCGCGATTGACACAAAGGAAACCTTGACCAACCAGCCGCACAGTGCTGTTTACGACAAGCATCAACTTTCATCATTGTTGCATCATTGGCATTGACTCCAGACTAGACTTAGATTGAAAGCCAACGTACCAAAACCATGCCTCTGCAAGTCAAAAAGGCGAAGACCGCCTTCCTCTACTTTCAGAGTGATCAGCTCTCTGTCATTCGCAAAGAGCTCAATCTGAGTATGGGGGATGCCATGACTGAGGTGAGTTCACGGCAATGGAATCATCAGTGTTGAGGTACACTTAGTTTAAATGAAACCTCTAACCAGAATCTGTCGTTACTCGCAGCTTGCGTCTCGATGGAAAGCAATGTCAGACGACGGCAAGCAAAAGTACTTTGATCTCGAACACAAAGACAAAGAGCGCTTTGATCGAGAATCTGCCGAGGCCGATGCTGCTCGATTGGCACAGCAAGAAAAACGACGAAACGCTCAGTTTGTCCAACAGGGAGAAGATGCCCGAAGCAGAGGGGCTCGCAAAGCACAAGACGAAGAGCGTGAACGAAAGGAAAAAGACCGCGAACGAAGGCGCCAGAAAAGGGAAGATGAAATGGATGATGACGAGCGCGCCGAAAGAGATCGATTGATTGCCGAGAAGAAGGCCGAAGTGGAAGAGCGCCAACGCCAACGTGCCGAAGAAGAAAAGGCGCTCGCCAAGCAACATAAGAAGCTTGACAAGGAAGAATCCAAAAAGGCTGCAAATCGTTTGGAGTACCTCTTCAAGCAGTCGCCAATCTTTGCAAAACTGAAGATGGGAAAAGGGGAGATGAATGACGACGCACCGGCCGAAGACCCAAAAGCAAAGGGTCGTGGTGCCCGCACAGAGAAGAAACCACATCACATCCACGACAAGGAGTCTGGAGATGAAGAAGAGGAGGAAGAGGAAGAGCAACATGTATTCCTCACGAAACAACCAAGTTGTATCAAATTCGGCAAGCTCAAGCCATACCAGGTTGAGTCACTGAACTGGATGATCCACTTAGCAGAAAAGGGGTTGAACGGTATTTTAGCCGATGAGGTGAGCCTTCCTAAAAGGCTGGGGTTTGCACTTTTCTTGGCAACAAGAAACACTGACAATTGCTTCTGTTCTTTTAGATGGGTCTTGGGAAAACACTACAAAGTATATCCATCATGGCATATCACTGGGAGTATCTGAAGATCCAAGGTCCGCATCTGATCTGCGTCCCCAAGTCCACACTTTCAAATTGGATGAACGAGCTAAAGCGTTGGTGCCCCAGTCTTCGGGCAATCCGATTCCACGGCTCCCGTGAAACGAGAGAGCAGATGGTTGAAGAGTTTTTTTCCAATGAAGCTGCGGCGCACGATGGGAGACGCCCAGACCGACAGATCATGGATGAACATGGCGAATTGGTGGATGACAACTCGAACAACCCAAGACGATGGGATGTGTGTGTCACGACATACGAAATCTGCAACTCTGAAAAGAAAACGTTGCAAAAATTTGCCTGGAAATATCTAATCATCGACGAAGCACATCGTCTCAAAAATGACGCTAGTATGTTCAGTACAACTGTGCGTAGCTTTCGCACTTTCAATCGGTTGCTACTTACGGGAACACCTTTACAGAACAACCTTCGGGAGCTGTGGGCACTTCTTAACTTTCTTTTACCGGATATCTTCTCGTCAGCAGATCAATTTGATGAATGGTTCAACTTGGAGATTGACGATGAGGATGCAAAGAAGAATATGATCTCTCAGCTTCACAAGATTCTGCGTCCATTCATGTTGCGTCGATTGAAGGCGGATGTTGCGAAAGGGCTCCCCCCTAAAACAGAGACAATTATTATGGTTGGTATGTCAAAAATGCAGAAGCAACTCTACAAGAAGCTCTTGCTTCGTGATCTCGACAGTATCACTGGAAGCTCGGGAAAGAACAGGACTGCAGTGCTAAACATTGTCATGCAACTTCGAAAGTGTTGTGGACACCCATACTTATTCGAGGGTGTAGAAGACCGCACGTTAGATCCACTCGGAGAGCATCTTGTAGAGAACTGCGGAAAATTATTCATGGTTGATAAACTGTTGAAGAAACTGAAGGAACGTGACAGCCGTGTGTTGATCTTCACACAAATGACCCGAGTGTTGGATATCTTGGAAGATTACATGGTGATGCGCGGACACAAAGTAAGTTTGGTTTCCTATTTTGGTTTTTGTCCTGGACATCAATCTCATATCAACATTTGCCGCATTCCAGTACTGTCGGATTGACGGAAACACGGCATACGAGGACCGAGAGTTTGCCATTGATGAGTTTAACAAGCCCAACAGCGAAATATTCTGCTTCATTCTATCGACACGTGCAGGAGGACTTGGAATTAACTTGCAGACGGCGGATACCTGCATTTTGTACGATAGTGACTGGAACCCGCAACAGGACTTGCAAGCTCAAGATCGTTGTCACAGACTGGGTCAAAAGAAGCCAGTTAGTGTGTACCGTCTTGTTAGTGAGAACACCGTTGAAGAGAAGATTGTGGAACGCGCCCAGCAGAAACTGAAGCTTGACGCAATGGTGGTTCAACAGGGGAGATTAAAAGACAAGGACAAAGTTTCAAAAGAAGAAATTATGGCTGCCGTACGTTTTGGGGCTGATACAATATTTCGTTCTGAAGAGTCAACTATCACAGATGAGGATATCGATGTCATCCTGGCACGTGGTCAAGCCAAAACAAAAGAGATTGCAGAGAAAATTCAAAAAGCGGAGAAAGGGGATCTTTTGGATTTCCGTCTTGATGGTGGGGTATCTGCGCAGACGTTTGAAGGTGTTGACTACAGTGACCGTGAGCTTCGAGATCAATTGCGAATGTTGGCTGCTAATTCAATGGGAAAGCGCGAGAGGCGTCCGCCACCAACAAGTTATAACCCTATCATGCACCCCAAGAAATCTATGGTTGTTAACAACCAGCGAATCAAATTACCGAAGAATTTGCGCTTGCCCTCCATGGAAGATCATCACTTTTACAACAGAGAGCGCTTGCTAGAACTCGGGAAGTTGGAATTCGAAACATATGCCACGCTTAGGGAGGCTGGAAAACTTCCTCCACGTGATTTCCTAGATAATGCCAGAACACTATTGCCTGACGAGCTTGGGCAAGAAAAGATCGAACTCTTGGATGAAGGATTCGGTAACTGGAGTAGGAGTCAGTATTTTCAGTTTATTAAGGCATGTGCGAAATATGGCCGTGAGGATATCGCAAGTATCTCTGCAGACATGGATATGTCAGTGAAAGAGGTCGAACCCTACAGTCGTGCATTCTGGGAATATGGGCCAACCGAGCTAAAGGACGAATGGGAACGTGTCGTTTCGAATATTGAGAAAGGAGAAAAGAAGATCGCAAAACAGAAGAAATTGACCGCACTCCTTTCAAAGTTCGTATCGACATTTGACGACCCTAGAAATGAAATGGTCTTTGCCAACAAGGGTACAACTCATTTTTCCCTGGAGCAAGACCGTGCCCTTCTATATGCAGTGAACTTGCACGGGTATGGCAATTGGGATTCCGTAAGAGAGAGTTTGCGGAAGGATGGCAGGCTCAAGTTCCAACACACTGTGCAAGGTATGACAACGTCTATGATTGCTAAGCGTTGTGATTATCGTATGAGGCAAATGGAACGCGAACTAGAAGCACGAGAAAAAGCAATGAAGAACAAGAAATCTGCAACTCTCATCGCTGCTCAAAAGCTTCTTGATGAAGTGAAAGAGATGGACGAGTGGGAAGCCGAGGCTCAAAAACTTGAGATGGAGGGAAAAGACCCACCTCCACTTGACAACCTAAGCGACGATGCTGCCGCTGTGCTCCGAGAGCGGCAGCAAGAACGAGAGCCTTGCATTGCTCGTCTTCGAATGATCGAAGCACAGGTCACTAGGTGTCTCGGTGTTGCGGAAAGTACGAAGGAATCAATTTTGAGAGGAGATCAGGTATGTAATTGTTCTTGTTTCTCTTTTTTTTAAAGCCTGAGTCTAAATATGCTTGTCCTTTCTAGTATGTCAACTACAGTAATATTACACTGAAAAAGCCAAAAGATGCTAAGGAGGAGCCTCCTGAAATTGAGAATGGTGAACTTGAGGCGCGCATCAACAAACGTATCCTCCAAGTCCCAGAATGTGGCAAGTGTGAAGCATGCACTGAGGTCACTACTAGGCGAAAATTATGTCAGAAGAGAATGGAAACTCGTGAAAAGCTGATTGCGTCTGAGAAGAAGGCGATATACAAGGCATGGAAAGAAGACAAGAAAAGCGGGAAGAAACGAAAGGTTGCGACGAATACTTTCCATGCTCCAAAGAAGATGAAGATGACAACAGCAGGAAAGAAGAAGGGATCAAAGCTGATGAAGAATTCGAGCGGGCAGCTGAAGCCTCGTGTCACATCACAAGGAAATAAGCGAATGTCCATTCCAGATGAATTATTCCCTGAGTTTTGTCGTCGTATTGGGGCGGGTGGAACTGGCGAGAGGATGAAACTCATCAATCAATTTGCTGAAGAAAACCCCACAGTGTCAGTTCGTCAAGTAACCCTCCGTCTAGGTGAGGTCACGACGAAAGATATCCCAAGATGTGTTACTCCAGTAGAAAGAGAGAAGAAAGCAGGAAGAGCATTCATGTTCTACTTAAGACCCCGTTTCTACAAATTCTTGCCCCCTGACGAGCGGCCTGACGACTGGGAAAAGTGCGCTGAAGAAGATGAAATCAAATGGCAGGAAGAACAGAAGGATAAAAAAGCTGGCAGGCAAAAGAAGAAGGAGAAGAGGTCTTCTATTTCTAGCGTGGCGTCAACAACGTCTGATCCGGCTGAGACCTCGAGCAATCCTTCACCATCCGTGCAAGATGATGGATCGGAACAGGATGATGATGATGATGATGGATCGGAACAAGATGATGGTGAAGAGACCGAAGACGAAGACGAGGACGAGAAAGAACCCGTGGTTAAGAAGCTGAGAATGGATTGAGTACGATTTGAATCAAACAGTACTGTAGCTACGCATATGACATGATAATTCTAGCTGTATTAGAATGGGGAACCGGTCCAGTGCAATATCAGGTTGGAGACGTCATAAATTTCGTGTTCAGATTTTTGAGTCCAATTGGTCGACCCGCACTCCTGTCAATTTCATTTCATAAAATTCATTTCAGCGTCGTATTACCTACGAAAAGTTCAGGCCTGTTTTGATATTCAAGCCTTGTTTCCATTACATTACGTTGCATAGAATCACTACTTGACCTTATCCGTCAGATGTGAATTGAGTTATGAAGGTTCAACCAAAGCTGCTGCGTCTTTTGACACCCCCTCCCTTGACCCATGGAGACGTCATGCTTGGACAAGATCTACAGTCCATCACACATAGTGCAATGGCAATCCATTTGACGAAATCAGTTCCAACTGCCACCCCTCGGACATCGACACACAAGCAACAAATAACAACAATGCATCCTTCTCAACCTCTTGTTGCTTACTTGCTGATTCCATCTGAAGAACGTGAAAAGAAAGTACTGTCCAAGTCGATTGTCGTGCAAAACAGTAAAACAAAAGCTGTTGTTGCTTCGGTGACTCTTTCTGAAATTGCTTCCAGTCTGTACAATATTGATACAATTTCAGAAAAAGCAACTGAGAAGCAGCATCGTGTCTTGAAAGATTTGGGACATGTACAGCGCCTCGAATTCTTTGATCCATCAACTCTCTATTGGAGCGGTCATGGAACAGTCAAGCGATATCAAGAGTTGGAACAGCGATGGTCATATCTATTTGTGCAGTTCCAAAGTTCCATCGTCATCCTTAATTTGCGTCGTCATTCCGTTTCGATTACCAACAACATAAAGGTTGAGGAAGAATTCCGTCCAATTGTGGCACATGTCACGCAGAAACTACTCGGCGGAGAGATTTCCTCAAACGTCTTACCATTGAGCAGGCAGACCTTTATGGTGGCTACTGGCGATGGGTACATCAAGACTTTCAACTGGAAGACTTCAATAGTCGTTGACGCGATCAAAGTTGTTGCGAGTAAGAATGACTGCGTCGTTCACCTTTGTTCTACAAACAAGTACAGGAGCACTGAACAGTATTATGCTGCATCCACGAGGAGGGTTGTGTGTCTTTGCAAGAAGGGGGCAGGGTTTATGCTGGAGCTACAAATATCCGATGGTAATGTCGCTAGTGTCTCGCAACCACTTTATAAATTTGAAGGTGGGACTGTGCCGACAGCAATATCGATCACGGATGACACTCATTCATCAATGGAACACGTTTTGCTACACTATTGTGGCTATCGGGATCTGCTCTTATGGACGCTACAAGCAAAAAGTAAGGAGAAGTTACTTGTATGGGATATGTCAAATCTTCCGAATGTCGACCGGGGAGGAAAGACGCCCGAGCCAGTCAAGGCTGACCCAACACTTGTTGCACAGTTTCCTTACGAGAATATATCGCATACTTTGTTCCACGGGTGGTTCAATGAAGCTCTACCAGCTGATTGTATAGCTAGCGCTGCAATCACGAAGGAAGGGGATTTTCAAATTCTACTTTCTCCGATGCATGGCGGGGCAACAAGCATAAAGAGCCCATTTCTTGCTACAACTGTTTTCAGTGTGGATGTTGGCCAAATTCTTCAGCGAGATTTGCAGTTGCCAGCCGACAAAGAAGTACAGCTGAAGGTTCATTCCCTTTATTGCCCCTCTCTTCGCGACTGTTCTTTGTTTTGTATTGGAACGAACGTAGGGAGTCTCATGATCAAGATGATGGATGGGAACCTGATTCCTTTTCCTGGTGGGCGACATGCTCATCTGAGTGCTAACTACGGCTCCTTAGGAAAGGCCGTTCTAACTGTCCGTAGAGGAGAGATTGTTTATGGATCGCTCGAGCCCTCTACAGGTTTGGGACACAATCCTATTGGCCCAATGGAATCGAAGAACCAAATTGTTGTCTACGATTCACCACCTCCGCTTCATCTACCGCCTGAGATTCATAAGAGACCAGTTCGGTTGCCGCCACTATTCCTTCCAAGTCCTTCTGGAAAATACCTTTGCTGTTTCTGGAAAGAAGAGATGAGATATGAAATTCTTCATTTCCCAACAATACTGGATCGCATCTCTTCTGGGGGAAAAGCCACATTCTCTCCATTGGTGGCAACTGGAAATGGTGTTTCTTCTTTCGCATGGATAGGCAACGATGATTTGTTTGGCCTGCTGTATAATCCAGAACAAGACCTAGGCCTAAAGGTTGGTATTGATCTAAGTGCACCCCAAGCCACACTTGGGAGGGAACTAGCAAACGCTGCCCAAAAAATAACGGATGTCACCAAACTGAAGGAGTTAAAGAATTTGAAAGAAATCATGTCATTGAACACTGGTGCTGGAAAATCGCACGGTAAAATGCAAGCATTGAAGGGAATTCAGGAACTTGGGACAGGCACGGGAAAAGCAGCCATGAAATTGACCAAAGGTAGTGTGAATCTTACAAAAAAGGTAGCGAAGGGAACTACCAAGATCGCTGTGGGCGCAGCTGTAGGCGTGACTGGAAAAGCAAGGCTTGCTGTTGTTACCGGAAAAGCTAGAACTACCACTGTAGGAGCAGCAAATATTGCATCGTTTGGGTTGCTTGGTCGAAAAAAGAAAGAGAGAGAGAAAGCTGAGAATGCTTCTCTCGCAACAGCAGACATGGATGATGTGGACGATGTATCTCGGGTGTCAGAAAAGGGTGAACAAGGGGATGAAAATCGAAATCCGTCAGAGAGACGGTTTCCTTGGGTTGAGCTCCGAAGTATGGATGAGAATATAGGAGCCGACGGATTGGCATCGGGTAGATCCTCCAACATCGGCCAGCTTTCTCTGCGAACTGGGAATCGCAACCCACCAACTATTTTGTTTGGTGGACCTGTTCTTTGCGTTGGAAACAAATACAACGAGCATGACGAGGGTATAGCCTATTTCTACACAAAAAAGAATGGGGAGAAGGGCGATAAAGCTTCTCACTTCATCAGTTCTGGTCCTGCTTTCCCTTGCCCAGACATTGTAGTGTGGGATGATGAGGGTCAGCTTTGCGCAGTAATCATTCACACTCGTATTTCGGTATACCTTTCTGACGAATCAAACTTCGTTATGCTAGGCACAGTTCGCACGAGTTCAACCTCAGATGCTGACGATCAGATCATCAGTGCCAGGTTCATCCATGGGGTTCTCTATTGTTCAACAAGGTCATCTGTGCAATGCGTCTTTTTGGGGGATCTTGAAGGCGGTGTTTGCAATTTAGATATCTTCTCTCTTGCAACTTCTGATATCATCACGTTACCTCAGAAAACTATAGCTACAGATGGAACAGCTCTGAGCCCGTCAGTGATACCAATGGCCCTCAACTATCCAACCATACTCGGGTATCAAAACGGTAGTCTAATGGTTTCCACTGCTGCAGGAGTGCACGCAATCCCCCTTGATTCTCCAATCTTGAGAATTGGTGCTTTGATTGCTGCAGGGCAACCGCACAGAGCTGAGCCGTGGTTCGATGCGATTCCGGAGGATAGCCATGAATCTCTAGCAGCATTTCTTGAAAGAAGGGGCACTCCTGCATTAGCCTTACAGTTGAATGGGGTATCTCTAGAGACAATTGTCGACATTTGCATGAGAAATGGTTTTGTGGAACAACTAGAGCAAGTTGTCGAGGAGTATGGTTTGAAGGGACTTCATTCCATTGATATGGGTCGCGGCGTATCTTCGAACGTGTTTGGTCCTGATGATCACGGAACCAGCATCGTAGTTTGTGTCGGGGCATATTTGCTGAGCTACGGACGGGTTGAACTTGTACGCCGTCTTGCCACAGAATGCCTTTCATCTGCAGACGACAGCAAACGAGAAGGATTTGTCCTTGCGAGTTTGTTGCTATCAGTCCAAGGCAGTGATTCCAGAAGAGTGATCGAGAGATCTGTAAAGAATATTGGGGAGGAGGAAGATTGGCCAGTTGGCGAGTATGTTCGTGATCATATTCTATGAATGAAACTATTTTAAACAATTAACTTTGTGATATTTGAGATGTAGTGAGATGGACTACCAAGCCTCTTGCCCCCCATCGATCTGTCCATCTTGATAGTGGATGTCTGGAGATCCATTCTGATTTCTTTCGTACGTATTTGCCAAAGTATGAATGGACGATTGACAGACCCATGAGCACCTTCTTAAATCAAGGCTTTCTAACGAGGGCAGTAGTTGAGGCAACCGTTGAAGCAGCTTCTCCCCTTTATCTTCTCTGTTGAAACAACCTGCTATTGATAAGCGCTTGATAAACGGCTGCTTTTCAAGAAAAGCCAGAAGCCCATCTACCGTTATTGACGGACATTCGACTAGCTCCAGTCGCTGAAGACGCGAAGTAGAACCGTCGAATTGGATGTTTGCCATCATGGTTTCGCCGTCGTCGTTGCCGTCCAAATCCTCCCACGATGATTGCAACTCGGATGAGGAGTCCTCGACTTCGGGAAGCAGCGAAAGAAGGCCATCGTCATTAAAAGAGTCATCGATCTTCGTTGCACGCAAACTCAAGCACGTAACATGGGAATGGTTTCCCAAAACATATGCCAAGTTGTTGTCGACTCCAGTGTTGTAGGATATTAGCACAGACAGCGCTGCCAGCGTTTCTGATGGTAGAAGCGACAATGCACCATGTAGTTGCTCTATTCCCATGGCATTCAAGTAGTCAACCAGATACTCCCCCAAGACTTTCAAAGTCATGATTTCGAGTGATGAAACTGTCGAGTTTTCAAAGAAACGTTTGCGTTCAGAAGGCGATAATATTGTTGTTCCCAGAAGCTCAGCCGGAGCCATATCTTCAATTCCAGAGTTTGCTACGGTCTCTGGCTTCTGTGGTATGTATCCAGCACGACGACGTTGTTGGATCCATTCGTGATGCTCATATGATGTGCGTTCTCTGATAAGGTTTCGGAGCGTTCCCAAACCTGTGGTCAAACGAGGTCGTTGGGATGGTGTCTTTTTAACTGGCTGTCTGCGGATAGTTTCTTTCCTTGAAAGTTCTTGTTGGATGTCGTGATAGAAAGTACATTTCGCAGAGCCCCGACCTTTTCCCTTTCCCATTGTTGCCCACCAATAAATTATGAACAAGCTAAGGGTCCGTGTTTCGATTCACCGTAGTCGTTGAAAAACTAAACAAGTCCCATTTTCAATAGAAACTACTCGTACATGGTAATGACAGTAGAAGCCGGCGTCAAGTTTCGCCACAAACCTACAGTACAGTACACTGATCTTGTGATGGCTTGTTCCAACAGAATCCGGATTTGTGTCTTAAAACTATTTGAGCACCGCAGGCAAATACAGCCTTCAATATTAGAAAGAGAAGAGGCGGCCACAGTGTCAGACAACACTATGATATCCGAGGTGCTGGTGCGTAGAAATCACAATGGCAATTAGAAGTCAGTCACTCAGCCCGTCCACTTCTCCCAAAATAGCTGCCAACATGTATATCATTTTTCGGTACCTTACATCCTCTAACAGATGAACCCTGCGGTATCACGTGTCAGTGTTTCAGAAGTCGAAATTGGAATCATGGACGACGCAACACTTTCACCAATCAGGATGCCCATCCCAGTGTGTGTAAATGATCAAGTTGATGTCGACGTATTCTAATTTTCTCGTGTTGAGCTCGCGCTTGATCATTTGATTGACAAAGGAATAAGAATCGAGAACCGTGGGAGTACGCGAATCATTGCAAGCATTCACCCTCCCCATCAAAGGATTTTGGTCAATTGTCAGCAAGTAGATCTTAGAATCGGGTTTCTTTCAAGTACCTTGAGCGCGTTTTGGATAAGTATTTTTCAGTCTGTAGTGATATTTGGCAAACGAGAATGGGGTATTTCGAGTATACCAGCTTGGAGTCCATCGCCCAATCTGCATGAACACTTGATCACACTTTCGATCGACAATTTCTGGTGCAATCTTATAGGTTCTAATCCAGGATTGTTTGATGTACTCAAACATGCCAGTAAGTCTCAGCTGCGGTAGCGATCTTTCCAGCATCAAGCGCCTGTGCGAGTCACCGACAGCGCATATCTTTTCCGTTGATGCGTCCTGTTGACGTTTGCGAAGCTTTGCGATGAGATCTTCCTCGGTGATGTTCATCCGACACTGAAACTGATATTCTGGTAAACCAAACACATCGTCTCCTTGTTCGTGGTTCCACAGCGATGTGCGATTAGTAGGCTTATCTCGATTTGTCAACGGCTCGCAACATTTTTGGAGAGGCTCCAGTGGCCTGTATCCTTTCATCGGATCCGTACACTCCACTGGCTGATGACGCGTGAACAAAGGTCGTAGTGGTATACCTGGCGTTATGACCCACCTGCCCAAGTGGTAGCTTCCTTTTCCCTCTGTCGACGATGGAATACTGATTTTATTACCTTCTTCCCAAGTGATTCGATTGCGCTTGGAATCTTCGATGCATCTCGATTTGAATCCAGCTTCCAGCCACGCCGTCTTGTTATCGAATGTCTCCCAAGCACCTACTCCAAAACCCTCGCAGTATAAGATCAAGATTTCCACAAGGTAGTCTCCGGCATCGAGCCACTTGTTGCTATAACCTCCGGAATGTATGGTACCTCCATCCGATGACGATTCAGTCTTCTGTACTTGCCAATCCAAGATTGCCAGTGCCGATTCGGATAGCCTGCCGAGTAAGGCTGGGTACGGACACCGTGCGCTTTGTTTCAGGTGTACACAGATTGATCCCTTACCAGGATCGTGCCAGATCTTGGAAACGTCGTCCACAATCGTCGAGTTTGGATTCTTTGGAATTACCAAAGAGCCATCGATGCCCCCTGCAATCCCCGTGGCAGATGGAAAAGGTGAAAGATGTCCATCATGTTTCAATCCATCAGTCACTGCATAGATGGTTATCATCACTCTGAAACTAGAAATTGAATGCAAGCAATTGCTAGTTGAAGGATACTGCCAACAACCAATCTCTTTTGAAGCAGGATATTCATCGTTTGAGAGATGACAGGAGAGTAAAGGGGACGTGCTGCCAACAAAGACAATGAGCACTCTATCTCATGATAACTGTAAGATTTATTGCTGCGTCAACAGGAATTTGCCTCTTGCGATGCATCTTCCACAACACTTATGTGTCTTATTGAGGTTGATGTTGTCACTTTTTTAGTCGAACAAGTCGCATCACTGGCAAAGCAACAAACGAAAATCAGCAACTGTACCCTACGTACTAAGATTGCAACCATCAACGTTCACTCTACCAAACGCTCTGCAAAACAAATACTATACACAAGGTAAACGATTGACTAGGCCATTCACTAGAAGAAACACGAAACAAGGCTCTTACATGTTTTTCTGCTCACCCATAAACGCTTTCAACCGCACCATTCCGATCATTAGATGTCGGAATCTCAAGAAGCTACCAACACACCCATGCCTTCCTCTGCCGACGCTGTCTCTGTAAAGATGCAAGAAGGATTCCAAGAGGTTGCAGTCCGCGCTACAGTGGGCCTTGTGCTGGGTGGTATGGCAGGAGTCGTCCTATCACGAGGAGGAGGCTCGTCGATGCGCAAAGTATTGGCAGGATTTGGCGCTGGTGCTGGAGGCGGATCCGCCTGGACCAAGTGCTCCATTTCCATTGACGAGTTGGTATCTTCTGCTACCAAGTAAATGGAGAGCATATTGTAGGTGAAGAAAGATATCGTGGTTCAAATCTTTTTTGCGAGAACAATTGATAGTGTGAACGAGAAAAAGAACTCATGATTGCATACAACTGGGTAGACGTATCAAATACTTAATGTGCGTTTCACCCAGGTCCAGCTGGAATATTGTATTATCATAGATTTTTGAATGAGCTACAGCATAGATTGGTTGCATAGACATGGTGGGTGTTCCAATATTAGTTAGGTATCAACGGCCTAGGAGAATTGGTTTACAGTTTTCGTGCCAGGGCTGAAGAGTTTTACCTACCACCGATATGCAAGAGTAGGATAGTACTATTATCTTGCCAAGTTCTATCCTGCTGTCAAGAAGTACCGTCAAATCACCTCCCATTGTCTGTTGAAAGCTCTTCAAGAGATGGCTGTTATCATATCCATTTTCATTACTAGTGAATCCATGTTGGAGGTTATCTCTCATTGTATATATTTTAGGTCATTGCTCTTATCACTTGATACTACTACCATTATTCTCAATTCGTACCATACTCTTCTCAAATGGTTGCAGTCATTCCAATCAAATCAATCGACGACTCAACCCAAGACCCAAGATGAGTCGCACTTGTGTCCTCCTACGACATTTACGAATCAAAAAAGCCAGCCGCATATGCTACATCTCGGCGGGCGCTTGGATTGGCACGCAGTCCGTTTGTAGTAGAGCACCGGTGTAGATTGATACGTGGATGAGAGTTTCGCTGTTTGGACTTGAAGAAGGCAACCGTTCGGAAATCGAACAAGCCTTGTTGTTGACCGAACGAGGGAGGCTTCAATTGTCAAAACAACAAAGTAGTCAACAATCCTGCTTGCATTGGGGATTTAGAACTGCAGTGACGTTGTGGAATTTTTTGGAAGAAAGACGTATTGTTCGAAACTCCCGGATTCAGCGTGTCATTGCGATATTGGATTTGAAAGTCGAAATTTCGAATTACGTAGAGTGAGTACGGAAAGCTGCGCAAATCGCATGTTTCCCCAATTTTGCAAGTATGAACCAAAACACATCTTCCGAGAAATACGTTCCTGCAGTCATTTCTAACGTATTGTTTTCATCACACACATTCGTTTTTATAGCACAAGGGAATTTACGAAAACGACAACCACAGCAACAGCAGAAATAGCAACAGCAGCAAGAAAAAAGCAAGGATTTTGGCTTCTTTGTTTTTTGAAATAATAAATACACGTGCACACACACTATAGAAAGATTGAAGAGTTGTTTGCCAACCCAGCAACAGCCAAAACGAATTGTATAGATGGCGACAGTCCCTGATTATTCAAACACGGGTGGATCTTCCACGTTATTGAGTTTTGTCACTGGAGGTGGAGGAACTCAATCAGCCAATGGCACAGCACCTGCTCAAAGCGCTCCTGGCACAGACAATGATGCGTGGACGAGAGGAGGCAGACAATTCGCTTCGGTAAAAGAAGTTTACACTCGATCACTGTACCGAATATGCCTCAAATTCACAACGTCCGAAGACGAGGATGAAGGGAAACCAGAACCGGCAACTGCCTTCTGGACTCTATACGGACGGCAAACAACAATTGGAAATGGAGGACCGTCCTCGCATTCGCCAGATGATATTTGCAGGCGAATGGACGATTCAATGACTGGCCCAGCTGCTGGTGTTCTGTCGCGACTAGCGGACGTGGACGGAGACCAAGCAACCAGCTATGCACTCAGAGCTTCCATGACCACTGGGTGGCACATTCGGGGAGATAGAGGAGATGCAGCCATTCGAGTAGGAAAAGCAAAAGTTTTTTCAGGGAAGAGCGGCCCAGAAGGCCCTTCAAGGGAAGCTCAAATGCTGACACTGGATGCAGATCGTTGGGTGTTGGTGAAGGGAGCTTCATTTGCAGCTGGAAATTCTGTCTTCAATGTAGAAGACATTAATGATGCCAAGCAAAAAATCACAGTTCACTGCTCGAAGGGGCCAATGCGAGGAAAGCTCATTGACATTTATGCCACTCGGTGTCCCTTTGTTTTTGGTCGGGCACACGAAGCTGATCTATGTATCATGGACAGAGAATTGAGTCGCCGACATGGGGCAGTGTTACATGTTCCAAGCCGAAAACAAGGCCGTGCCAAAGGTCCCGGTGTTTTCGTCCTTGTAGATTTAGAGAGTACGGTGAGTTTAGTTTCAGATGAAGTGATACGCAGATTGATTCTGTCCAAGTTTGAAAGTTTTGGTTGTCTCATCATATCTGATTCTTCCTTTTTCAATAAATAGAATGGATCGTACATGAGACTGATTGGTCCATATGGATTCAAAGGAATGGGAGCACTTACTATTGGCGACGAATTCATTGTTGGAAGAACTGGATTTTCTGTGAATCGATATGATTTTGGTATATCAGAAGCCATTGGGGCTCGACCAACAATGGAAGACAGAACCACAGTCATTCAGAATCTAATGTACGAACCAAGACATGGATATTACAAGAATGAGCCAAAGGATCAACTGCAAGAGCTGGCGATGACTTCTTTTGCAGCTGTTTTCGATGGTCACGGTGGAGACGAATGTTCCAACTATCTTGTAGATGCTCTTCCACACCACATCCGAGTGGCCATGTATGCAGAACGAGAACCACTTCGAGCAGCAATCGAAACCAGTCGAACGTCAGCTAGAGGAGAACAATCGGAGGACGCAGCGTCGGAATTGATGCGCAAGATCTTGAAGGGGGCTTACCTCAAAACCGATAAGGAATTCATTACGCCGAAAACGGCACCACAAAGTGGTTCCACAGCGGCTACAGTGGTTTTACTTGGAAGGCGGCTGTTTGCAGCCAACGTTGGTGACAGTCGGGTGGTCTTGTGTCGAGGTGGTGGACAATGCGTGGAACTAACGAGTGATCACAAACCCAGCAGACCGGATGAAGCTGCCCGAGTTAGGGCAGCTGGTGGATTCATTCTACACAAGCGTGTAATGGGTGAACTAGCCATTACGCGTGCCTTTGGTGACAAATCTTTCAAAATGGGAATTAAAGCAATGCTGGAAGACGAAGCGGATGAACTCACCCGCGGACTCCATGAAAATGACCAAGCAAAGGACTTGACTGCTCCTCTTGTCAGTGCAGAACCAGAGATTGCATCGATGGTAAGTTTGTGCTGGTGTCGAAAATTTTGTACAGTATTGGGTACTTTGCACTTTCCCTTTTGCTAACATCTTTTTTTCTTTTTCTAGGTTCTAAGCCATAATGACGAATTCCTTCTTCTTGCATGTGATGGTCTCTTTGATGTATTCAGATCACAAGACGCCATTGCCCTTGCACGGCAAGAGCTGATAGCCCACAGAGGTGAACCAGCTGAAGTTGCAAGAATTTTGAGTGATCAAGCTATTCGTGTGCGAAGAAGTCGTGACAATGTTAGTATTCTAATTATCGTCCTCAGACCGTTCTGGGAACTTTAATAGATAAGCTTGGTTAAACACTCTTGTTTCTTCTTTCTTTGTTTTGTTTCAATGCTACTTCTCTTTGTGCTTGAATGATAACGATGCTTCAAAAGCATCGAATTACATTTCTTGCTTATTGATCTGCTGTTACATGTAGGACGTATGCGATTGGCACGATCCACAATCCGACCAGGACAGCTGCTGCGAAGAAGTTTAGTTCTTTCTCCTTTTCATCATCATCCTTCCTTGGTTCTTGAAATTTGGAAAGCGCCAACCCAACTGAGTTGAATGCCCAGCCAAAAAAACTACCGCCAATTTCACCATAGACCGAGCTAGATGGTTGAATAGCACTTGCAACGACTGCAACAATGACAGACAAGAACAAGATAAATCTTCGATCTGGTCGCGCCACCCCAACGGCACAAAGTATCCCTGATGTACCCCAAGATGCGGTTCCTGACACTCCTTCAGTATCAAAGGCTGCCATCCAAAGTTGTCCTGTCAGACAGCAAGCGATGTATAGCGGTAGCACAACCATTCCAGTAGAAAAGAATCGTACGCAATACCATCCCCATGCTATCGTCATCCAATCCAGAAAGGATGTCGCGGCAAACCATGAAATGACAACTCTCCAAAACTCTCCATTTTGAACAACTAGCTGCGGAGAGTATGCCCCAAAACGCAGAAGTGTTCTACTGGACGGAGCCAACCAAGGTAAGGTCCAGGTCACTGGATACGTCAGTTCTTTTCCCTTTCGCACAGACAAGTACCAAAGATAGGCATCATGCAAACCAATCAGTCCCAAGAATATGCCAGTAGAAAATACAACTACTTTCCCTAATCGATAGCTTGGAGACGTTCTAGCTATTTTCTTTTGCTCCAAAAGCAGCGAGTCTTGATTTGGATCCCAAAGAGGATGTAAATGCAACCTTATATTTCGTCGTTCTGATGGATCACGCAACTGTCGCAAAAGAGACGTGGATTCGTTCGCTTCTGGACTGACAAAGGCGGCAGTAGACTCATTCAATGCTCGTTTGTACCGGGCAGTGACTTGATCATTTTCTTCGTCATCATCATAACTTGGAATAGGCGAAACTCTGGCTCCAATCCACGAGGTGTCGTGGAGTCGAGGCAACTTTTCATCCTTTTCTGCTGAATGATCAGGTGTGGAAGGATGGAGCGAGGTTCGTCGTCCATGTGCCGGTGAGAACATTCGCACTGAACTCGTCTCCGTGGTGCTAGAGTCATTTGCATTCCCGTATTCAATGCCACTGTGCATCATGGTGAACCGTTGCTATCACACGAGCTTGTAGAGTTCCAGGACAGCACTGTACTACACTGACTGTAGTTTGTTTGTTTTCGTCCCACGGACAAATTTCGAAACTGTTTTCAAATATTTTGTTGTTGCCGGTACACGTGTACCGGTATGTTCGTAAAGTACGATATTATTGGATCCTAGATTCTAATCTCCCCCTTTTGTCATTGAAATGGAAAGTAATTATCCCCAACGGAGAGGATGGGTTGTCTTGATGATAGTATACCGGTAGTATAGTAAAAGGTATCTTGTTGGTTTGCAGTGCAACTAAGGAATAGCGGAGCTTGCACCACAATGTTGAATTTAAAAAAAAATTTAAATTATGCTCTTGCGAGCACAAAATTGGAAACTGTGCAATGCAAGTTGTGATGTTGAAACCAGACGTGCACCAATCAAGGCTCCCATGCATGATGGATTAAAAGTAGTAGGACGTCTATTTTATGAAATGTGTAGATATGGACGATGATTTTGTGTTGTGTAGTGACATACGGAATGAACGATCCATTCATTTTATTCATGAATCCTCCATGTGGGAATCAATCAACCAAAGCTTGTTCGCAAAGTGCTGTGCTATGTAGGCATGGCAGTGCTAGCTTTTCAAAGAAGGGCGAATGAGCCTAAGAGCCCGCTACGATCCAGGCCCGTGACTCATAAGAGCACAATCTATTCGACGAGTTCCATCATTTTGGAAACTTGGATGGAACCATTCGTCGATCCGGCGGCTGCCAAGAATTCGATTTGCTCCTTTTCTGATAGGCAGTCTTGTTCATGCCCGATGTTTTTCAACAGCAAATTGATGTCTTCAATCTGCAGAGCGCCATTCTCTCCAACATAGGGTCGGAGGATTTCCTTCTTGAATCGGGCGGGGGTCTCCCTGGAATAGCTGTGATTAAAAAAAATATGGTAAACATGCATTAGTCATTGTTCTTGATGGCAGGGGTCTTCGCAAACAGAACACCACCACTGAAACATCACTCATAACTTACTTGGCGTGGCGATAGGACATGAGAGCCATTCGGAATCTTTCCGCTGGCTCACAATCGACACCCGAAAACATTCGGAGTCCAACGGTGCGTTGTATTAGCACTCGGGATGCCAATGTGCGGGAATAGCTTGGGGTTGCGAAGATCATGATGTAAGAATGGATGTGAATTGGGTGAATGAATGGATCAATCAATCAAAGGACTTAAAAAAATTATGAGCTCGAATTGGTAGATGACAGAAGTACAGTACGTCTGGTCAAGAAGAAGTGATGGGTGTGAATTGCGAAAGGCAGGAAGAAGGCTTTCTTTACGAATTCTTCGCCAAACGACCTTAAACATGACGCGTACTTCAAGCAGTTTTTCCGAAATCTTCCAGAACATGTGACTGGAGTGGGGGTCGTTTAACGTACCATACAGTACGAACTACCCACAGTAGATTTCCAACTTTTTAGTTCGGGCCACAAGAATTCCTTCACCTAATACCAGGTACCGGCAAGGATAAAGGTACCGGTACACGAATGTATTGTGCCGGTACACACACGTACCGGCGGTTGGCTGATTATCTCCATCATCCTCTGCCTTTTCAACAAATGCCGGCGGAAACTAGACGAAATGTATACGCTTGAAAAGTTTAATCGCAGTTGTTTACAGTAATGTTTAGGATTTTAAAAACCTTTGCAGCTTAGCCCTACAGCATCTGGCTTTAGAGCAATCATATTTTTAACACCACTGCCTCCTGAGAAGACGATGAAACTTGTTTGGTTTCGGCCGTAATTTCGCCAAGGGATTGAACTCCTTCGTGGCTGGCGGTTCTCTTCTTTTCGAGTAGCTCAATAGGTTTCTGAAAGGTTTCCCGTCGTTGTCCTAGTCGACTTTTGAACTCGTTTGATAGTCTAGGCAGAACGACAATTTCCACATCCAAATGCCCCGTGGCGTTTCGGCAATAGTTATCCCCCGATCCATTTGTGACGGCATACCACTTACGCACCTTTTCGTTGAAGTTTGGGGGTATCGGAACAATCACTGTTCCCATGCTGTCGTCCGCGGATAGAGTATCATGATCATAGATATGACATATCACCTCATCGTGAGTTTCGACCACACTGGGAACAGCCATGATCGTAAAGCTTGCCCTCGACCAACTTGGATTCAGTGTCTTCCAAACGACTTGAGTCTTACCAATGAAGTTTCTTGCGTGATAAATCCGAACATAAGGATCCGACGACTTCGCCTTACCGAAGAAGTTCTTGTCTTTTGCCACTAGATCACGACCTCCGAAAATCGTCACCTTTACTTCGACAATGTCAAGCTCCTCGGGTTCATCCAGACTTTTAAAATCAATATAAATGAACCACGCCAAAACAAAGCCTGAGAACTCCCTTACCAGAGTAGCAAAGACAAAATTCAGGGTTCGAGATGGACCCTCCGTTGCCTGCGCCATAAATGACCAGGAGCCAAAAGACATGATAACACCAGTACAATTGATCAAGAAGTATTTGTGGGAATCCTTGTTAAATGGTACAGTTTCATCTTTTTGGAATCCGTAAATGAGAATGCTTCCAACCGACAAGGTCAGGGCAAGCAATGGGAATCCACAGATGAGAAAGAGCGAAGTCAAGACGATAGAACTCTGGTTGATAATGTTCAAATCTTGGGCATTCAAAACTCGCAAATCCTGATTCAGTGTACTTGCAGTTCTTTTCCACTTCCTTCGGTCTGGCTGGATCTTCGTGTCAACATCATCATTGTCAGGGAAGTTGTCGAGTGCCTCTTGCGGGAGGCTATCGTCATCATCAGGGAAATTGTCAGGTAACTCTTGCGGGAGGCTCCTCTCGGAGGGATCCACTTCAGAGAGATCATAGCCGACAGATGCATCTCTGCCAATTCTGGCGGCAACCGCAGCATCGTTCATCACCATAGATAACGCGCGTTTTTTCTTTCTAGATGGTGATATCCCTTTGTGTATTGGCCGTTGAATGGTGTCTATCGTTGGCCGCTGATTTGACTCTAATGCTGATCTAGGCATAGAATCCAAATGTGACTTGTGACCTCTATCTAATTGGTCATGCATCTTTTTCGCCAAATTCTGCTTTTCCCTCTTGAGCTTTTCGATGAGAGACTGTGCGTGATCCAAGGCATCCTGAGTATCTTTGATTTCTTCGCCAGCTTTCATAACCTTCATTTCAGCATTTGTTAGGTCCGCAGTCGTTGTCGACAGATCAGTCTCGTTCTCATTGTATAGGGGCCCATTGAGATGATTCTCAGATATTGACCCCAATCTTGCATTGAAACCATGCCTCATCGATGCCTCTTTTTCGAATAGTAACCGCTTGTTTTCATGCTTCAGATCCTTTACTTCCGCTTGTAATTCCTCTATATCCACTACCTCTGGAATCGTTGAAAAACTTCCTCTTTTTGATTGCATCTGTCTTGCAAGAGTATCATAGGCTTCCTTCATTTGTTTCATTTTCTCCATCAACTCCACAGTCGAAGCTTCCTTTGCGGACAGCTCATTCTTTGTTTCACTCAATTCGATTTTCAAATTGGAGTATTGCGCTTTAGTCTCCACCAATTTTGTCTTCAGTATGACCCTCTCTGTACCAAGGGTTGGAACAACGATTTTCGAAACCCTCTTTTTGAGAAGCTTGCGATCGGATTCTGTTTTTTCAAGTTTTCGTCGAAGCTTCTCATTTTCCTTTTTCAGGGCAACATGTAGAGGCACTTTCTTAGCGACTGCCTTCATGCTGCTACTGCTATCGCCCTCTTCACCACCAGCATGTGAACCATCCATGAAGAACGTTCTCCCCGATTCATTAAACCTTTGAGAATACCAGTTCAAACCTTGCGACTGTGCCATTCGCTCTCTTACTAAACCCTCCTTGGATTTCGCTTGATCAGTGATAGTAGCTTGTTTGGTCGGACTTTTGTGTTCTGGAAGCTTGTCTAGAGGCAACTGCTTAGCGACTGGCTTTCTGTTATTGCTGGATGTTGTAACATGACCATCAGAAGCATCCATAAAGAAACTTCTCCCAGATTCATTAAACCTTTGAGAATACCAGTTCAAATCTTGCGACTGTGCCATCCGCTCTCTAACGAGGCGTTCCTTCGATTTCGCTGGATGAGCGACAGTAGCTTGTTTGGCAGGACTGTTTGGAAGCTTCTTCAGAGGCAACTTCTTAGTGACTGGCGACTGTTCCATCCTCTCCCTTGCTAGGCGTTCCTTGGATCTTGCAAGCTCAGCGCCAGTGGTTTTCTTGATATCATTGTGTCGTTCTCGGATCTTCTCTAGAGGCAACTTCTTGGTGTCAATCTTTTCCTTGCTGCTAAAGCTATTGCTATTGGATGTGTGACTACCACCATCAGAAGTATCCATGTAGAAAGTTCTCCCAGATTCGTTGAACCTCTGAGAATACCAATTCAATTCTTGCGACTTCGCCATGCGTTCCCTTGCTAGGCGTTCCTTGGACTTCAGGAGCTCTGCGGAAGTGGATTTCTTGACATCCTTGTGTTTTGCACGAAGTTTCTCTAGACGGCTCAAAATCCCACCATTTGCGTTTCCGGTTGGAGATCTCGGAGATTTCGGCGATCTCGGTGACTGTTTCATTTCTTGGAGTTAGGCATGTCCTTGTATGCATCAAAAGGGTTGTCTCTCATTCAGAGGGTCGTTTATGGTCCACCCAAGACCATCCCAAGAAATGAATACGAATACCACTTCCGGTTTGTTATATGGGACATAAATTGAAAAGAACCCGGAGCTGGATATTGACACAGCAGTACTAATACATAAAATAAAAACAGGTACCTGTTCTTACTCAATATCTATTCTAACTACTACCAACATTACCTATCCTAGCCATTCCTTGAAAAAATCCCCCCCTTTATCATCCACCACGATGAATGCTGGGAAATCTTCTACATCAATTTTCCAGACGGCCTCCATTCCATCTTCTTCGTTGTCTAGAACCTGAACGTTCTTGATGCAGTTCTTGGCAAGAATGGCAGCTGGACCACCAATGGAACCCAGGTAGAATCCACCATGCTTCTTGCAGGCTCTTGTGACTTGCTTGGATCGATTCCCTTTCGCAAGGGTCACGAAAGAACCACCATTCTCCATGAACTTGTCAACATACGAATCCATTCTTCCAGCAGTGGTGGGTCCAAAAGATCCAGAAGCATAACCCTCTGGCGTCTTGGCTGGACCAGCGTAGTAGATGATATGATCTTTGGCATAGTCTGGTAGTCCCTCTCCATCTTCAATACGTTTCAGCAGCTTGGCATGCGCAATATCACGGGCAACAACAATGGTACCCGTGAGTGACAAACGAGTACGAATAGGATACTCGCTAAGCTTGTTTTTCAGTCCTTCCATGGAAAGCTCGTTCATATCAATCTTGACTACATCTTCGCTCAGGTCCTCAGATGAAACTTCAGGTAAATACTTGGAGACATCTGACTCTAGCTTTTCGATAAAGACACCCTCCTTGGTAATCTTTCCAAGAACCTGACGATCTGCAGAGCAAGACACTCCCATACCAACAGGGCAGGATGCTCCGTGCCTGGGCAACCGTATCACTCGAACATCATGGCAAAAGTACTTTCCACCAAATTGAGCTCCAATTCCCATTTTACGAGTCATCTTGAGAATGTACTCCTCCCAGGCAGTATCTCGAAAGGCTCGGCCAGTAGCATCTCCCTCGGTTGGAAGATCGTCGTAGAACTTGGTCGACGCCAACTTGACAGTCTTCAGAGTCAATTCTGCTGACAGACCACCAATAACAATGGCAAGATGGTACGGTGGACATGCGCTAGTACCAATCGTCTTAATTTGAGCTTCCAAGAAGGATTCTAAAGCACCTTCGTTTAGCAGTGCCTTGGTTTGTTGATAAAGAAAGGTCTTGTTGGCAGAACCCCCTCCTTTGGCAATGAACATGAACTTGTATTCGTCTCCCTTTGATGCGAACAAATCCACTTGGGCAGGCATGTTGTTTCCAGTATTTTTCTCCGTGAACATATCTAGAGGAGCAACTTGACTGTATCTCAAGTTGAGATTGTTGTAAGCATTATAGGCTCCAAGACTGAGCGCAGCTTCATCTTCACCATCTGAAAGAACCATGTGTCCTTTCTTTCCCATGACGATGGCCGTTCCAGTGTCTTGGCATCCCGGCAAGACTCGAGCAGAGGCAATATTGGCGTTCTTCAGCAATTCCATGGCCACAAATTTATCGTTGTCTGAAGCTTCGGAATCGTCCAGAATGGATCGAAGTTGAGACAAGTGCTTAGGTCTCAACAAGTGGGCAATGTCTCCAAAGGCTTGTTCACTAAGCTTCGTCATGGCATCTTGAGGAACATATAGGAATTCCTTTCCATCAACGACTTTGGTTTTCACAGCACTTGCATCCGCGAGCTGAGTGTACTCGTCGACATGATCGTAAATGTTGCTTTGAAACAACGGAGTGTGATCATACGGCGATGCAGCTTTAGCAAAGCTTCGAGCCACAGTTCCCGTTCTTATTCTTCGTATCAACGATCTCGAAACGATGCTATTCATGGTTTCCCTGTAGTAATGTTCCGATTGCTTCTAGTTATGTCACTTTTCAAGATGATTCTTCCCGCAGAAAGAACCTAAACAGTTCGTGTCGATTTGATGGCAGTCGTTACGATCTTCGCCTCCGATCTTTTGGGTGCGCGTGCCAAGCATCCCAAAGATGCACCGACGCTGCGACACCGAACAGCGACATCAACAGTATTTTTCAGCGAGCCGAAATTCTTTCAGCGAGCCGATATTTCACCATCTTTCATCTCTCGATCTAATCTCAACCAAAACATCCACCATGAAACTCTCGCTTTCATCCTTCCTCTTCTTTTCACTGGCTACCCAAGCCTTGGCTATTTCGTCGGATAGAGAGGATTTCGAGACTACGCAAAGAAAGTTGGCAACTGCGTATGGAACCAACTTTTTTGTGGAAAGCAAGGATACTGAATACAATGCCTACCAAACAGCATGGAGATACCTCGGACACATTGTAAAATGTGGATACCCATCAGATAGATACGATGAGGATAATAATGACAGTAAAAGTCATGATAGTCGAGAAGGGTACACCATGGGAAATAACTATTGCCAACGTTTTCTGTTGTGGGCAGCCGTAAGTCCACAATGATGGTTTGTTTCATCATATGTCTTCTTGCAATGTAAAAAGTACTCACAATCACATCTCTCTTCTCGCGTATTATAGTATGTTGATCCCAACTACCAAGGTGGAGGTATTGGAGAATATATGGTCTACGATACCGACAACCAAGGATACGATTACAGTGCCTGTCAAACAACTGGAAGTAGTAGATGCGTGGAAATGGATTGTCATGATTCCAATACCGAAACATGGAAGCTTATGGGAGTCTACAAGGAAGCTGTATGGTATGGAGGGGATGCCTTCTTCGAACAGCTCTTCAAGCACGAAGCCTACTGCATCTGGAACGATGACGACATTTATGAATTCATGTCCGATGCACGTGAGCAGTGGACTGCTGGCTGTATCGATACTGGTTACACAGATGAGTGGGGAAATGCTATGTACATTGATTTAAAGCCTGGTTACAACGGAAATATGGCATATTCTTTGTACAAGGACGACATTTGTCAAACAGAATACAATGGAAGCCACCTTGATCTCGATACAGTTGCCACCAGTATTGGCCTCCTGTCGCAAAACTACTTGTACAAATGGAACGCATACATGGAACCCTTCAAGGTCTGTCAGCCATGCAAAGCATACAATCTACAGGCCGGTCGTCGCGAACGTGAACTCTACGAATACGGTAACAATAATTACCAATGGGGCGGCAACTACAACTACAACAACAACAACAACAACAACAACAATTACAACAACAACAACAACAATTACAACAACTACTACAACGATGATAACAAGGGCCATTTCCAATGTGACGACGACGCTGGATACACCAATGTCAACCAATGTATGAAGCTTCGGTCTCACGCTGATCTCGAGATTGCAACGTGGGAGGATTTGGTGATTGGAACCGAACAAGGAGGAATCATGGAGATCAAGATTGGAGAAACTTACTTTGGAACCAAGAAGATGACAACTAGTCAAGCTCAATACATGCAGTCACTCATGAAGCAAAAGGCCCAAGAAATTCAAGATGAAGAAGATGAATACAAGCATATGCTTGAGTCTTTGCCATCCTCCACTGTCGCACTTATCTTTGGATTCCTTCTCATGAGTATGGGAATGGCAGCCTTGGCTGGATCCGTCTACTTTGCTTTAAAAAAGATGGACAAGATCCGCGGTGGTACCATGGGCGAACCTCTCATCCTCAAGAAGTTGGGAATCAGAACGAAAAAGTTGAAATCCTACATCAACTTTAAGAGAAAGGAAAGACAGGAACGAAAGGAAAGTGTTGGAGTCGTCTAAATAATGGGAAGAGAAGGGACTCGCTTCATCTAAAATGCTATATTCATTTTACATGTTTATGCCTGGAAAGGTCTCAAGGGGGTCGAGCTTTTGAGACTCTTGTTGTATCATTAGACGCCATGATATCATATCATTTGAAAACAAATGAATGAGTAAATTACAGTATTTAGAGTACAAACTAAACACTGGCGTATTACAAATCATAATACATGCAAAGAATATCGTACATTGTATGGATAGTATTCGGTGCGGGAAGAGATTAGGGCACACTACTGACTCATTATAGAGCTGCGCCAATTATTAGGAGTACAGAGTAATAGTAGTGTTCGTTCCACGATTCATTCCATGAGCGAGTTCGTTCGTTGGGGTTGGAAGAGTGCTCACAAACGTCTTTTTTCAGTGCTGCTAAGTGAACGGTGGACATCGAGCGCGCCTGTCGGAATGCGCATGGCAAAATATATGCGTTTGCTGCATAATAACAAAACCCGTGCGACACTTCCAACTTCGGCGATTGAACGACGGCGCAAAAACAGAATCTCTATTACGTTCTTTGCAATCTTATCAGAAGCAGCTTACTGCAATATCGTAGTTTGATTTGACCACACATCCAATCATCTATCCAATAGACTCTTGTTCATCAAACTTAAGAACCTCTCAAACAACGACAATATTCTTGAAAATGCAACGCGGAAACCACTTCCTTTCGATTTGTGCCGGCATTTTTGGAGCTGTGCTTTTGGTGCAGCTAGTACGTCATGATGCAGGATCTCGAATTGAAGCACGTCTTCGAGGTCAACAACAACGCGTACTTTACAACAATTACCTATGGCAAAGAGACGATGACGATGATTACTTTAGTAATACCAACAATACTGGATACTTTTCCTACAACCAAAACTACAAAGCGCAAGGAAATGGAAACTATTTGGGAGGAGGTAGCTACGTCAACGGATACAACGGCAGCAGTTATAGCAACAATGATGACGGGAATGATGACGATGGCCAAATCAGTCAAAACGATGATTCGATTAAAAAATCATCATCAGCATCTTCAGGAGCGTTTGGTGGACTGAGTCCAGCGAAATCAGCCTTTCTTGGGATCTTTATCGGTCTGCTTCTGATTTCCGTAATTGCCTGTTGCTTGTATGGTCCAACAATGTGGGCCCTGTTTACGGATTGGCTTTTCAATCGAAAAAATACGCGAGTGGAGCATGACTTTGATAACTTGGCATAGGTCCTTTGCCCACCGCCAGCTTTCACTTCTTTGTTCCTCCTTTGTGTTTTGTACCGTATTCGAGTACACATCATGTTCATGCAATAACCGGCACCTTTCTCAGTGAGAACCAATACGAATTCGCTGCAACTTGCGCGAACGAGCAATATATTATTATATAACATACAGTATTCTTATTTCAACCTATTGGTCACGGTGCAAAATTGGCTGTGGTAGAACACCTTGCCAATGGAAAATTCCATTAGGCAGGGGTACTGCACTGTTATTTGTAGTGGAAAGAGTCGAGATGAATGTTATTTCCATAATATATATGTCCATTGGACTTCGCACTTTCTCGACATCAAAGAATCAATCAATCAATGAATGGCCATCAGCATTTGACAGCTACTCGTACGCCAAACATATACATATATTCTAGATGGCAACGCTTTGATTGAAGGCTCTTCTGTTGACGAATAATCTCACCAAGTCAAAATACAGTATTTCAACATGGTTACTTATAATTGTTATTTCGGTTTGCTCCCTACCAAGACTGTGGCAGCTACTGCTGCCGCACCTATTGTCACTCCTGCCGCCAAGGACTGCAAAACCAGTTTCTGTTTTTCTTGTTCTCTGACCTCTAATTCGGCAGCATCCACCTTGTTTTTCTTTTTCTTCCTTTTCTTGTTGCGTTTTTGAGGCCCCCTTGTGGAATCATCCTCTCCACTTGACTTCTTTTCCTCCTCATCATCATTTTTCGCTGAAGCCACACTCTTGGTTTCCGGCAACTTCGCCTTTCCTCCCCATACTAGTTTGTTCATGGCATTGTCCAAATTCATGTCTTGTCCACGGATCTTTTGTGTCATTTGGGGCGTCTTGTCTTTCGCCTCTTGCATATTGGCCAAATATCTGTTTCGCAGTTTGTCATCAAGGTCTTCTTGGTCTCGTAGATATCTTTCATTGTAGGCGGCTGCAAGGAAAGAAAAATAGTAGTAGTGTATAGAGTTAAAATGGGAAGAATATCAGTTACAGTGATATGTGTCGATTAAACATAGAGAATGCATATGGCAACGGTGCATGAATCGATGCAGGAATGATGAACGAATGAATCAATCGTCAGCAGCCAACATATTCCCAACACGTACCATAAGCGCAAGCTGCTCCCAACGCAATCGAATAGACTGCAATTTGGGGCTGAATTCCAACAGATCTCGGTCGGCTCATGATTCTCTGTATTCCCCAATGCTATATTGGCTGAGGAGAGTAATACGGTAGTATGTCGTTGTTTGTTTTCTCGCTGATGTCACTTTTCTTTTTCTTTCTTTCCCCAAACATCACCACGGATCCCCTGAATAGTCGCGCGCCAGCAGGCCGTCCTAACAGTCATTTTGTCGCAATACATGTGTTCGATTGGATTCGATTTTTCTTCCGGGTTGCTTTTTGGTACGATTCGTGACCGTTTGGGTTCCGCTGTTTTACCAGCTCAACTGATACAACGCAAGAATCAACCATCCTCCAAGATAGGACCACTACCATCTGTGTTTGATTCATTCCTTTGCTTCTCCTTTGTTTTTAAGTCGCGCTACAAGTAGAGTTGCTTATAGAAGACCCGAGACACCAACAAAGATTTAACACGATCGATTGATTCCGGAGAAAAAGCAACAACTTATCTCATTTCTCAATTGCGAAAGATACGCCAGCAAAACAGCAACAACCATGGCCACGTTCACCCCTTATCAAGTCGATTACTCAGCAAAGAATACTTCCAAAACCTTTGGGTTCTCGAAAAAGCGAATCTCCTTCAAGTTTGGCGTCGCCAACAACCAAGCTTTGGACGATGGACTTACTGGAGCCAACTGCCGAGGGAGCGAACACGAAGTCATCTTTATTTGGTCTCTCAACTCGGGAAAGCGTCAAATTCTCGCTGATGGAAAGGACGTTCACTATTCTGAATCTGGGCAAAACGGATGGACTTCCGACCAGGTCTTTCAGCATCATTTCAACATGAGAGTGCCTGGATTCAATCAGCCTGTTAGATGTCATTTGGTCACTCAGCCCTCCAACAAGGATATTCCGTCAATAAAGCCTTTTGATTTGAGGATTAACGGATTGTCCTTCTTTAGCTTTTCCAAAATCTTTCAATTGGGAACTCCTCAAATGGTCAGTCGTCCCATGTCGGGCAAGGGAGGAGGGGGACGTGCTGCTAGTACAAACCCAGAAGACGATCCTTACTGCACTCCTGAAGAACGCAAAGCCATTGCGGCCGCCAAGTTGGCAAGTATGCGAGACTACAGGGAGCAAGAAAACCGAAAGAAGGGGGGAATGGAGCGCGACGAGGGAAATCTCATCAACCTCATGGACGATCCCGCTCCTCCTATGCCTGCTCAATCAGTACCCACTCAAGGGTACTCTGTGGGCTCCTATGGCAGTGCACCACAACAGCAACCGGCACCAGCAGGCTACGCCCAATCCACGTACAGTAATTACTCGTTGGGATCCATGGGTTCCATGGGGGCTCCTGCTCCACAGCCAGCCTATGGACAAACTGCTCCGGCCCCGTATGGTCAACCAGCCCCAGCCCAGTACGGTCAACCAGCACCAGGTCAGTATGGTCAACCAGCACCAGCTCCTTATGGACAACCACCCTATGGGCAACAACCATCACCCTATGGACAACAACCGCCTGCACAACAAGGGTACTACCAACAGCAACAACCACAAGGAATGGTTAGCCCGAGCAATCAAACAGCTGCGAGCTATGGTTCTGCTCCTACCTTTGCCATGCCACCGCAACAGCAAGCTCCTCCACAACAACAGTACCCTCCGCAACAAAACTACGGGCAATTTTAGAGATGCATTGTTTGACTGGCGTTTTGGTGTGGGTACAATGTTGGGATGAAGATGATTATAGTTGTAAGCAAGAAGCACATAAGAAGCAAAATTATGTTCAGACAAGTGTTTTAAAATACAACGATGAATTGATTCAGTCTTTGTTGGTCATTTGTCGCCACACAGGTTGGAGGCTAACAAGCCAACAAAACAACGAAAAAAACTGCCATAAGCTCATCTTCTACTTCGAACTACTGTAGTTTAGCCACTCCCCTGACTTATCTTGTCCATTTTCGCTTGCAAAATGGTTCCGGCCTTGGTCCTAGCTTCTAAACACAGTCCAACACTTTCAAAGTATTGCAGGACTTCTTCTTCATTCGGCCTTCCGTTCTCACTTTGTTCCATCAGCACCGCTTCAAAGTCTCGTAGGGCGTCCATTTCTACCTTCAGTGTTTCCATAATTTGGTCGACATGCTGCTTATGACTTTCCAACAACTCTTGAGCAATTCTCATGTGCTCGGGCAAATGGCTGCTGACTTCATCGGCATGTGGGTTTTGGGTATTACCATTCAATTGACGTTCTTCCATTTTGCCATCCAACAACTCATTCAAAAACTCAGTGTCATTGTCCGGATTTTCGTTCTCGTCCCTAATATTGCTCCGAGAAAAGCGTCGCTGCAGTAGACTAGCACGTCCCGTTTTGCTTCGCATTTTGGCGGTTTCTCGCAAATCATTCACATTGGCAATGACAGGCATATCGTCTACCGTGTCTTCGGATTGAAATGATTCGTCTTGTACAGCGGATTGAGGAGTTGGTGTGGAATTGAAAAGATCGTCATCACTGTCAGGAACAGCAGCAGCTTGAAATGGTGTTGTTGTGGTAAGGCGGACTGGTGGACCCAGACCACCAGCCTTTCCTCTCGGAGCTGGAGGGACGAATTTCGGCGCTTTTGGTGTCCTGACACCAATGGTTTGTGGTATTTTGCTCGAATTGTTTCGCAGCTGAGGACTTCTCGCTTTGCGCATTCCCGAAGCACTGGCTGTAGAACCCAAGTAACTCCGGCTGCCAACCGACCCCACTCGGCTACTTGCAGCACTCGCATCATCTGCAGCACCAGAAGATTCACCCGCTTGGATCTTTTTCAGAGTCTTTCGAACTCTTGCATCTGTCGTAATGCTCCGATTGTCGACTAGTTTGGCGAAAATATCAGGTTGGACATAGTGCATGTTTTCCAATGCTTTCTTGGCATTCAATCGAACCGATTGCGTTGGGTCTCTCATGGCCTTGATCAGCGCTGATCCTACTTGATTGTACACGTCAACAGTGAGATATCCTTCTTCCGTCCATTCTTGCAGTCCAATCCCCAAATACATGGCGCAAGCTTCGCGTACTGTAATAGACTTGTCCGATTTCATCCTATCCAGCCAGGTGGGCATCGCCATTTTGCAAGGTACCACGGTCAAGGCATCCATAGTCATGTTTTGCACGTATGTTCTCATGACGTGATTTGTCTGAGCATGGACGGCCAAGATGGCAGGCATGATATCTTTCAACAGATACCTGCCGTCACCACGACATTTTTCAAATAGTTCAGAGGCCGACTCACAAGCTCTCTTGACGACCGTTGATCTAGGATCCTTTAAAAGTTCGGCCAAAGGATATGCAATGTGTCTCAAGATTGGAGCCGAGTTGTACCATGCTTCTTCCGCAGCATAGTCGCTTCCATCTGGAATGCTGCTAACAAGCTGAGAAAATGCGTCTACGCGATCTTCCCATTCGTCTGAAGGAGTTTTGTCAATAACCTTGCACAGATCTTGAATTGGGCCATCTGGAATATCCTTTTTGGGCAGCTTTCCGTTCGCTAGCATTCTGATTTGATTGACTTGCTCAGCTTTCTGGCTGGTTTGATGGGACTTTGGTATTGATTGGTCTTTCAAAATTTTGTCTTTCTTTTGTCCTTTCAAAGATCTGTTGACTCGTCTAGTCTGCTGTTGTGGCAATTCGTCTGTTTTTATTTATTATCTTTCGAACAACCACAGAGAGATAGAGAGATAGAGAGAGAGAGAGATGTCTTCTTGAACGTGTGCGTTGGCAGCGGAAAGTTGTTGCGTTGAGAGATGACAAGCGGAAGCGATTTGGTTTTTGGTTTTGGAAATTCAATCGCCCACGCCGGCCGACCTTCATTGCCGATTTGAACTGCGCATGGACTGCCAAAAAATGAGGTCACAACGCAAACGAATCTGAACGATGCATAGGTAACATATGCACCCATCCTATTCAACGGCACAAAAATCCACTCATGCACGATTACCTAGTTAGTTGAAAGTGTAGTACATGGATGGTTTCGTTCCAACGGTAGCATCGAAACAACTATTGCGCACGATTTTGACTAGATACACTTGATTTCTATTGTTGGTAGTCTTCGTCTAGATCCACTGCAGTAGTAGGTTTTGAGTGATTGGTTGGTCCTCTGCCTCTCTCTATTTGTCTCCCTCATTCATTGGCCATTACTATTTATATAGACTTTTCCTTGGTAGTATGCACCACCGATCGAATCACATGACCAAGAGCAAAGGCCTGAGAAGACCAGGCTACTGTAAGCCAACTGTGGAGCAGTGTATTGACCGCTGCCAGTGGCAAGTTGGTATAGTATATCAAGATCGGGTACATGGGTAGTAGCGGCGCGTTGAAGATGAATCCAAACATTCCCCACGCTCGAATGTTGAACTTAGCTTTGGGATGGTCCACAAAGTACAGGACGATCATGATGTAAGCGGTCGAGGGAGTTTGCGAAGTTCCGGCAATGAAAATATCACAGGCGGGTCGTTGAAAGGACATTCCACCCAAAGCCGTAAAGACAAAGACGCAAAATCCATAGATGCACCAAACATATTCAGGAACGACCGGAATTTTCTGAAACTTTGCAGAACAGTGCTTTTCAGCTTGGAATTTTCGAACAATTTCCGAACCGCAGCAGCCCATCGAGGTACTGGCCAATGAGACTGTACCCACGCAAAGTGTCCAGAGTAGCTGGAAGGATAGCGAATTCCGAGACTCCACTGTGAGAAAAGTTTGGTGTGCAATGCCACCCGCAATGACCGAAATCATGTACAACAATGACAACGAGGCGACCCGATTGCACAAACGGTCCGTATTCCTCGGTTGGGAAAGCGATAAAGTCGAGAATGAAAAAGCCGCCATGACTGCGGCCAACATGTAATCTGTAACATAGGTCCAAGCTGTATTGTCAAATCTGGAAATGGACGGATCGTAGTTCCAATAAGCAAACTGGTAAGTCTCGCCTGATGCTTCCTCCAATCCTACAAACGGCATCCACAGAGAAAAGCCGAGCATTCCAAAAGATAAAGCCAAAGCACCAAAGGTCGTGGGCCAAAAGTTGAAGGAAGGGATGACAGAGCTCGGCTCGTCAAAACTGCTCGAATCTAGGGTAGACATTCGTTTGGCATTGGACGGAACAGGTGTTGTCTCACTCCATGATTCTCCGTCCGAGCCACTAGAAAGGGTAGAAGAAATAGTCTCATTACTGGTAGAACGAGAGGAAGATGCGGCTGTCGATGTCGATGATGACGAAAGCTTGGTGTCTGATTCCTTGCACATGCTGCTTCTGAAATTTGAAAGATTTCTGATTTGAAAATGATCTAATAAAGGGTATCAACGATATGGTTGGATGACGATCTGTAGGTTGATCTGTGTTGTTGTATTGATGGTTCTCTGTTGTATATTGGCAACCGTTTTCTCTGGTCAAGCAGGGAAATGACAAACTACTTCAGGTGTGTTATACCGGTAGCAAAGTTACCGTTTGTTTTCCGAGACGGGATCAAAGCTTTCACGATCGATGGCGTCGACAATTCACAATTTGTGGATGATCGATTGCGTGTTGGACAGCTCTGTCTGTCGTACGACACGATGTTAAATATGACTCCCAAACTACAGTAGTGGTACGAGTATCCCCCAAAAGAAGATACAAATGGTCCGTTATGTGGCGCTCGTCAGTCCATCAGTCGCGACCATTCGTGAGTATCTTTTCGGTTGTGGTGGTACGAGGCACTGTATCGTACGATGGATGCTTGTTGCTGTCGAATCTTATTGTCGATTGATTGATTGATTGATACTGCATAGTGGGGCATCGATAAAATCATCAAGTTCTCGGCTCTTTCGCATTGCAGCTACCCACCATGTCCTTAGCTGGCGAAAAGAAACCGCTTCTCACCAAAGCGGTTGTAGATAGTCAGGATGATACCACGGTGGAACACTCGCAAGATGTTCCCTCGCTCAAGGACGAAGCCTGGGATATCTTGAGACTTGGTGTCCCCATTTTTATTGCCCGTCTCTCCTGGGTGGGTATGAAAACCACAGATACTGCTCTTTTGGGGCATGTGAGCAGTAAAGCGCTTTCGGCATCTGCCCTGTCAGATCTTTGGACCATGTGTACACAAGTGCTGTTGACCGGACAAGTGTTGGGGGTCTTTATCGGAGGCGCTGTTGGTGCTGGGAATCCCAAGCTCGCTGGAATATATCTGCAGGTCTCGTTGGTGGTATTGGGAAGCATGTCTCTCATTGTCTTTACCGCTTGGAATCTCACCGAACAAGTATGGGTAGCATTTGGAAGCGATCCGGAAGTTGCCGCCATGGCTGGATATTATTCCCGAGTATTGAGTTTTGCCATACCAGGTATTTTGGTCTTTGGTCAAGTGTCACAATTCTTTTCGGCACAGCGCATCATGAATCCCGAAGTCAATAGTGCCAGTTTTGGTTTGCTCATGAATCTAGTGCTGGGTTTGATCTTTGTTCTTGGGTGGCCCATCACAGGTGTAAGTTAGGCGGTTATTGACATGTGTTGCTGGTTGTTGGTTGCTGGTTCTGCCCTGGCAGTGAAGTAGAAGGCAACTACACTCATCTTTGTTCGTTTTCACCAGCCCATGCTCATATTGTTGTTTCTACGACTTTAGTTTGGTGGATACGGCTTTGAAGCTTGCCCCATTGTGACTGCAACAGTGACCTACTTACAATTGGCACTGATCATGATTGTCTACATCAAGATTCAACGGCTACACGAAACCTGTTGGGGCGGATGGAATTGGGCCGAGATCACCAAGGTCCGCATTGTCGCCTTTTGCGAACTGTACATACCGGCCGCTTTGGCGTATGCCAGTGACTTTTGGAGAACCGGTGTGATTGGAGCAGTGGCAGCCAAGTTGGGAGAGCAAGAAGTTGCCGTCTTCAATACTAGTTATCGTATCATGTGGATTGCATTGGTGTTGGTTGGAGCATTATCTGGAGCATCTGCCATTAACATGAGTTTACGATTGGGTGGAATGAACCCCAAGGGAGCCAAACAAGCTGGTTATGTTGGTATCGTGATGGCAACGAGCATGCTATTGATCTTGAGTATTGCTATTCTGTTTGATAGTCGCTTGTTTGGAATGATTTTCACCCAGGACGAGGAGTTTTTGGACATGTTTGAAGAAGCTCGTATCCCCTTTACGCTTACCTTGTTCTGCATGAACTTGGCAGTCGCGTTGGAACGAATCCCATACTCCATGGGACGTACCAGAGAGGTCTTTGCTATGGGGTTTGTTGGAAGCTGGGTTGGTAAGTAACTGTGACTGCTAATTGATGAATGATTCTACAGTAGCATGTGTGGGCTGTCGCTGGGCTGTTCGCTCACTGTCTTGTCCCCTAATCTAATCTATTCTATTCCCTTTGATATCTTATGCTACATCATTATACAGGCCAAGTCCCAGCCGTCTTTTTGTGCACCGCCTACTGGCGTGATGACTTGGTTGGACTTTACACGGGTATGGCTATCGGATACTTTCTGCTAGTAGTTCTGTACGGAGTCATTGTCTATCGAAGGTAAGAAGAACAATGATTGCATTAGTATCTTGTGATGGATACCTACTACGTTGTTGTCCTCTCACTAACAGCTATTCCTTCCCTTTCCGTGTATTAGTGATTGGGCCAAGTATGCAGAACTTGCTCAGCAACGATCCGAATCATCATCATCAACTACTAAGAAGCCAGTACTAGTAGTCTAGACTTTTTCTTTTATATCTTGTTTCTAAAATAGTAACAATAGTTACGAACCAAAAAGTGACTATGATGTTTCCAAATGTTATGGTTACCTAAACCACCTGACGTCATGATGGTTCTGGAGTTCCCACTACCGGTCATTCTACTTTCGTTACGCCTTGACGCTTTGGCCGTTGCTTTTTTTTGCAGTTGCAAAACGAAAACGAATCCTTGATTGCCGATGTCAGATGGGACCAGTTGATTGGATCGATCCGTTGCTGACGCAGATGACACGATCTCCATCAAGCCCCATGCCATCTTGCGGTGAAGAATCGAATCATCTAAGTTCTGGGGTGGCTGGCGTTCCAGAACTGAAGAACTCACCAATCGGAACTCTTCTCTTTCTCCAATGCTGTCCCAGGTCGTTAACTATCTAGGAATTCCGTGTCGAGTGCGACACAGAACCTCAGTTGGGTCAAACCTGCACAGTTCTCGAATGATTCTGGCTGGGAAGCTTGAGATTCAGCTGTCACGGAATTTACACATTCTTTCAATCCGACGCTGTCAAAGGAGCATTGGTCCCTTTCTGAACCTTTGCCTTTGTAGCACGAGCCTGAAAACATTCACACATTAGACAGTGAATAATATAGAGTACAGAATTTCATTATCATCGACCAAAAACAGTCCACAATCATTGCCATTGGCTTCCGATTCTTCGACCAACAGGTGAGTTCCTTTTTCAGTTTTCGACTTTTTCCGCAAACAGAACTTTTCAGTCACGGTCCGGACTCGTGCCGAAACCCTGTCTCCGCAAGTTTCGCCGCTGTCAATGTATGTACAGTATGTTCTTATTCTCATTCTTTCTTGACACAAATCGTGTTCCATAAAACAACAAAACAGACAACTTAGAATGAAAGACTCTTGCTCTTCAGACAGTCCATCAAGTCGCAGTCACAGCATGAAGCGAAGTCGGCCTTTGTCCAAATTCGCACTGGCAACCTTCGCCCTAGTGGCTGCCAACAATGTCGCTCCAACAGAGTGCTTTGGAAGCCATTCTACTGTTGCCTCACCTTCGAGACGAGCAATGCAATCTCAGCATTACTTTACCACTGATGAATACTTTTCAGCGACTTCTTCTACCCGCTTTTACAATCCTCTCTTGACATCCAATCCGGCTGCTTCTCCCAAATCATCATCTTCAACGACAACAACACAGGCTGAGGAAGCTCGTTTGCCCACTTGGCTCGAAATAGAACAAGCTCATTTGGTTCATGATCACATGGAACTATTGAGAGATGCCATGTTGCAATCATTCTTTACAGAGAATGAAATATTGAAGCTCAGTTGCGCCATTCAAGAAGCGAGCAACTTTGATCAGAATAAAATGGCCGGGGCTGCGGAATTCTGTACCATTATGGTGGAAACCATGGAAATGGGGCTGAATGCCCTTGTGGCTGCTGCGTTTCACTACTGTTCTTGCGTCACCGCCAGAGAAAAGCAAGTCTTTTATGGAACCCAAAGTAAGGAGGACCTTAGTCCTTGGGATTTTAGACAACACCACAGCATTGATTCCTTTGGAGAACATGTAGTGCAAATTGAAAAGGATGCTTCTCGTCTGAAGAGATTGGAAATGGTCGCGTCAATGGTCATGAATAACAGTCCCACCAACTCACACAAGGTGACACCCGATTCGGAAAAGGCAAACAATCTACGCAATCTGTTTCTAACAGAAAGCAAGGACTGGCGAGCACTTGCCATTCGAGGAGCTGCCTGCTTGTACAGACTTCGAGGCATTCTCAGATCCTCTGATTCCGCTCATCCTTTGAGCAAAGACAACAACCGTGTCTGCCGGGAAGCTTTGCACATTTATGCGCCCTTGGCTTCGCGATTGGGAATGCACCGTCTCAAGAATGAATTGGAGAATACTGCGTTTCAAATCTTGTATCCAAGGCAATTCGCTACTGTCACCTCGCTGCTCCAACAAACCAGAGACCCTTCGGCTCGTCGAGTTACCTGGAACAGCCGAGCTTCGTGGAAACCAGACATTGAAGAATCAATGGAAAAGATTTTGGAACAAGTTCAAGCGGAAATGACAGAGATTCTCCAAAACGATGCCGAATTCAGCGAGGCAGTTCAAGACTACACCGTTACAGCTCGTGTCAAAGAGGCTTACTCTACTTGGAAAAAGATGCTTCGCAACAAGTGCGATCACATTCTTCAAGTTCCAGATGCCATTGCTTTTCGTATTGTTCTCAATGCCAAGAAGCATTACGAGGATGAACCAGATGAAATGATTCGAGCTCGCGAACGTGCTCTTTGCTACTATGCTCAAGAGTTGTGCTTGCAACGATGGGCTCCTGCAGAGGAAGACGCCCGTTACAAGGATTACATTGCCTCGCCCAAGGCCAATGGATACCAAAGCTTGCATTATACTGCCAATACCAGCTGGCAAGGACAAGTATGGAGCATGGAAATTCAAGTTCGATCGGGAGAAATGCACAATGTTGCCGAGTTTGGAGTTGCTTCTCATTGGGACTACAAGGTCAGAGGCAAGGAAACTACTTCTACCAACATGTCTCGGTCTGCGGAAGGTCACTCTTCTCTCACTATCAACGAACACTTGGGACGCGTAGTTATTCAGCAGACATCAGATGCCTATTTGCGATCCCTTCAAGAGTACCACTGGAAAACTCATGGAAGCACTTACGGTGCGGAACCTACCACCACCCTTGACGAAGAGCACACTGAGGATACCGAGTATTTCCACAGCAACGAGGAGAGCCATATTCGTGCCGAACGCATTCGGGCTCGTACTCAACGCTTGGCTCCTTACATTGAAGCTTTCACCACGGCTCAATCCGACTTGGCAAGAGAAAATGTCTATGTCTTTCTTTCTCAAGATGGTGACGAACAAGAAGGTGCCGTTTTGGCTTTGCCTGCCGGAGCCGTAATCTTGGATGTCCTGAGACAAGTCGAACTTCAATTTCTCCCGGAAGACTGTGTCTTTCACAATGGATCTCCAGCCTCTATCACTACTAGATTGAGTAATGGAGACGTTTTGAGCATTCCGTCCATGATGACCACCTCCTTGATGTGAGAAGATTTTTTTTATGAAAGCACTCCTACCTACAGCTTTCTTGGGTGGTAATATTGTATTTTTTGTAGAGGTACCAACAACAACAATATAAAACTAATATAACAATAATAATAATAATATGAAAATGAATACAGTAACTATCTACATCAATAGCCATTGTTGTTGTGACTCTAGCTGAAGCAATCGGCAAGGGACAACAAATCAGGAGCGGCCTGTAACTGGACCAAGTCGCGCCGAGTCAGCTTTTCGAGGATGTCGTTCGGACAGAATGATGGGAATAACATAGTCTTTAATGTTTGTTCCACTTTGGCTGACTGGCGCTTGTTTGTTCTCAAAATTACTGGGCGTGCGTGCCCTTTTTGATCTGCTTCCGAACCGTTGAGCCTTCGTCCATTTGGACGAAATGGACGAAATGGACGAAGAGCTCGCAACCTGGATGCTGCAACTTGAAATCGGGGGCGGCAAAAAATTGCACGCAAGCTGGTCAAACAATTAATGTCTGTGTCACATAACGACAAAAAGGGGTAACAAAATACCGGTACCTCTATTAAAATAGGTACCGGTACGTGTACAGGCTCAAAGCAAAATAATCAGTTATATATGGCATGTCCACAGCATGCCGAAGTTGCCAGAGATGTCTTTGGCGGGCCAAACAATAAAGGAGTTAGATCGAGAGATCCACTAGTCGTTGATTGAGTGCAGCTACAGTATCTTTGGAACATGATCCAGCCTCACACGCACGAATTGGACGACTGGATGCAGGATTCATCCGATCAAGAGGTTTTAAAATAATATTGGCTAGTTTTTTAATTATAGAAGTTTCGTCGGTCCGACGAAGTTCGTCCATTGGACGAAGGTGTCCGACGAAGTTCGTCCATTTGGACGAAGCCTCCACGAATGGAAATGAATGTTTCGGCAGGCTCGTTTTCAACGAAGCCCAAGCTTTGCATTGCGCAGAGTTTGTCATCGGCATGTCATCTCTGTCATCTCCGCTAGACAACCTCCACGACATCTCTGAGGACATTGCCAGCAAGCCTGCCATTTCAGGCCGCTCCAGTGCTCGTTCAAGTTCCACAATAGGATGGATCTATTTGCAGTCGGGCGAATCGTCCAGAGAACCGACATCGTTCGGATAATTGTGCACAGACCTGATGAGAATGAATGAATCTCCTACTGACTGACAGCGCAGAATCTGGTCACTCGGCCAAAAGGCAATCCTTAAAGGATGATGATATCTGTCTGTCCTCAATCTACCTCAACACTCCCTCTCGTGCGAACATCACCGCGTTATGGAGCACGCATATTAGATTTAGATTAGGCAAGTGTGAGCGGACGAAGACCAGACATCCCTTTCCCCCAAACTGTTTCGAATTAGTTGGAGTGGGATCCCTCCCCCAGACCAAGTGGAGGTCTTGGCACGAGCAATCCGATTGCGCAGAAGAATGTCGCACTGAGTCCGAGACTCGAAGTGGCGACCGCATGGTTGGGCTCATAACCTGACAGCGCAGAATCTGGTCACTCGGCCAAAAGGCAATCCTTAAAGGATGATGATATCTGTCTGTCCTCAATCTACCTCAACACTGACACTACCTCTACGCCATGCTTCATCCACAATCGAATGACCACCCAGCACTTTCGTTACCGTGGGAAATGATTCTTGGATTCTGTACTTTTGATGAAATCTTGACTGTTCGTTCTGTTTCCCGTGGTCTGCATGCTGTTATCGCCAATGCAATCTCGTCAGAATTCTGTTTGAACTTTTTGAAACGCTATATGAAGTGGAAAAATATGTACTACATTCCTCACCTTGAAGAATGGAAGACGGCTGCTACACAGGACAGCGTGGAAAGTATTTTTTCTATGGACTCGAGTCTCTATTTGGATACACTTCTTCAAGTCTTGCGAGTCATCAAGTATCTTCCAGTTTCTATGGCAGTTGCCTTTGACGCGAAACATGGACGGCACTGTCTTCCCTTGCAATGGAACCCTAGCAAGCAGAGCTCTGAATTCATGACATTTTCGTCTTCTGGTAGAAATAGTCTACAGTTCAAAACAGAGCCAAGACTTCGACCCTTGAATCATTCAACAAACACGACTTCCACATCGAATGCGTCTAACAACAATATTTACGGTCATCTCGAGTTGCACAATGAGCGTGGTCAACCACTTGACTTACAGACGTATTTAAATGCTTCTGCGCCCAATATGCCAGAAAATTTAATCTGTCCCATCTGCAAGAACAGGACACTAGTACTGAGCGAATTCTCGTATGTGTGTGAGCCCGGAAGCGAGGACGAGCGGCCAAGTCATGTACAGTTGTCCTGGACCCCGAGGAAAGATGGGAACGATAGTTGCAACAATGAAGCAGGAACTACTGAGGAAAAGAGACAAGTCAAAGAAGGTTGTCTACATTCATTTCCTCCCATGGAGGACGACATGGCTATCCCGACACGAAGCCGTCCCCTATCACTCAAACGAGACTGCAAATTTACGATTAGTATTCACTGTACTTGTAGACAGTTTGGAGTCTTGTCGCCCGCAGGTGTCTGTTGGAATCAGTCCTTTTGTTGTGCCGAACGTGGCAGAGCCATTGGAGACAAAACCATTGGTGGAGTGCTGGTCCGTCAAAAATGCAGTTCTAACGATTGCAACCGGCCTGTATCATGTCCTCAATGTACACACAACCGTACACATGAGGGCTACATGGACGAAAGTGGAGAGTCCCTTCCGGTTATTCGGGGATCGCATTGTGATGTGTGCAAGCTGACCTTCTGTGACGAGGATGCCTGGTTATCCAGCATTAGTCATCATTGGTGAATCTACATGGCATCGAAGCGAGCACCCACGAAGAAGAGTCCATTTGCAGGGGCTGTATTTCCAATCAAACGACGGTCTTCCTTCAATATTTCGTCTAGCAGTACATCGTCGCTAGGATCATCTCCTGCCAGAGTGATCCGAACTGCTGCCTCTACAAGCAAACGAACCATGCGGCGAAGGAATCGATTCCCAACTAATTCAATGCAAACTGCTGAAGATTCATCATCAGTAGAGACTAAGCATGCTCTTGCATGATGAAGCGTGCAGAGTGATGTTTCAGTTTTCAGCCTCCCGTAGGACAATCCGATGTAGTCCAGTTCCTTTCCTTCCAGAGCCTGCAGTATTTGGTTTAGAATGCCGAGCATTTCGCTGTTGAAACCTTCCAATGGAGTACAATCAATCAAATAGACATATGCACGACATGTTGCCGTAAATGTTGGATGGAAACTTCTTGTAACTTCGACAACTTGTTGGACTCTAGCACCTGCTGAAGGAAGCTTTTGCAAATGCTCTGCGATATCTCCAGCATCTAGATCTAGAGCTGTTCGGAATCGACAGACTTGAGCAATAGCTGACACTCCAGCATCCGTCCGTCCACATACACGAATGCTCTTTTTTCGTTCTGCGAGAGGCTGCAGCCAATCCTCCAGAACTCCCTGTACTGATGGTAGCTCATTGTCACGCTGAATCTGCCAGCCACAGAACTGATTCCCTTTGTAGCTCACGCGAATCAAGAAGTGTTTGAGCTTCTCCTTTCGCTCTCCAAAATCAATGATGGGCTTTTCCCAGATGCCATCATCTTTAGTACCGTAAAGTGGTAAGAATAAATCCTCGAATCCTGAACTTTCCGTGGTTGAATGGTCCGAAATTTTTTTCAAGAAAGGAGAGTTGGAGGGAAAATCAGAGGCAAGAACCCTATCGATCAGTCTTTCAGCATGATCAAAGGGTTCTTGTTCCCAAAGTTCACGACTTTTTTGCTCGGCGAGCGTTTCTACATACGGAACAGATCTTCCACGGAAATACTGTCTACCGCATAACTGAGTTTCCTTTTGCCGCTCGGCGCAACCGATTGTCGGAATCCATCCATGGCTGGAGCTAAAAAATTGAAGAAAGCTCAGGAAGTATACCGGTAGGGTGATGAAGATAGGCTTGTTGTTCATCGCACCTTTTGTTTTTAACCAATTTTCAATTTTGTAGGTTTCAACGATTACCGCGCGTATTACCATCGCGCATTTCAACATTGGTCAAATGAATCAGCTACGACAAGTCTTCTTTTTCGCCCTTTCAACCCAGTGTATGTTCGAGTCAATGCACATGATGGCGATGCCCAGGGGAAATGATGTAATCTATGAACGATGGGGTGATAAGCGAAAAGATAGATAGCTATATATGTTTATGTAATGTAGTTCTGTGATCTGATTCGATTGCATTTTACAAGTCCCTTTGATTCGTGATAAATGTTCTACAACAATCTCTTACCATGCACTTTTCCGCCCTAGTTGAAGGCTATAAAATGCTGATTACTATTAACGAAACCACCCAGCAACATTTTCTAGAGCGTTCTCTACACCCTTTTCCAAATCTGATAGCTCCAAGTTATCATACGCAGCTCCACATTCTTCTGTTGTCGGTCTTGTATCTTGGGTCAAGATGGGCTTTGGTTGGCCGACCTTTGGTTTTCTCGCCAATGTCCATGGACCAGGATAAGCTTGATACAGTAGACAATCTGGTGCGGATTCTTGGGGAGCTGCTGTCAACGCGAAGACGCTCTTGAAATCACCTTGGAACAGCTTGGCAGCTTCGTCGGTGCCAAAGTTTGAAATCTTAGATAGCCTTGCGTTGAGTAGAATCACACAGGTTCCCATGCCAGCATCGCTACAAATTTTTTCGATAGTAGGCAGCTCTTTGGGCCCGGGACTGACGAAAAGGGCAACTTGAGTACCGTCTGGCAACTCAAAAGGCCCTCCAGAGTCTGGTGAATCTTCAACTTCTGCTGCAAGCTTGGCTGCAAATCCTCTAGCTTTGCTTTTATTCTTTTTCTTTGCAGCTCCCGAAGCTTTTCGTTTGTTCATTGCCATGATACGAGAAGAGGCTGTAGGATCTCCCTTCCATTTCTTCTTGGCTGCATCTGCCAATGATTGTTCGCTAAATGCGACCACAATATTATCTCCACCGACAGGTTGGAACATGTCAACAAACAACCGAGCCAATTCTCGATCCGATTGATCCAGTACAGTTTGAGTAGGAGCTCCCTCGTTAGTCCTTCCTTTGACCTTTGGAATCTTTTCAACACCAAATTTAGTTCCAACAGGGAATTCAATGTCCATTCTCGACAGTTGATCCTTGAGCGCTTCTTGTGTAGCAGCTCGGCATCTTGATACAGCCTCCTTGACATCTTTTGGCAAACTGACATCCGTTTGGACCATCCTCCTGGATATTATCGATTTCCTTTGCTTTGATGCAGTGGAAGAAGAGAATCCATAGCTTATTGTTTGCTGTAGCGTGAATGATATCAAAAGAATGCATAGAGTAGGAAGATTCATTTTGCTGCAAAAATGTTGGTGATTGTCGTTGTATTCCTGAATTTATGTTGCTGAATCTTGGCCTTTTGGGACGTCGTTGGCAACTTAACAGTGGTATTTATCGTCGGTCGCTTGAAGCGTTTTGACAAAGTTGATGTTGATGTGTTGATCTTGGATATGTTGGATGTTGATGTTTATTATTCGGCTTCATTTTTCTTCCAGGTGGCGCCGGTTGTCGCACTGACGTTGTAAAAAGGGGGTACATCCAACTCAATTAGGGCACAATGAGGGGACATCAACGACGGACAGCCTCTCGTTTCTTGTGTTGGTGTTGCTGATGGCCAACACCAAGAGTGTTGTACTTTTGCAGTCATACACAGGAAGCTTGCCAGGGATTCACCAGCACTCCCATCTCGCTACAACCAACTACAACCTTAACACTACAGAACGTAGACCACTGCCGAACGAGAGGCCTTGAAGACGAAGAAGAAATCGACCATAGCCTCATATATTCAAAAATGTTCAGTCAACGATTCTCGACACTTTCACGTTCCATCATTGCGGGCAAGAAGTTCGTGGTTCCCTCTACTTCGACAAGCGTTTCCAGTTACCTCTCCCATAATCACCGGTGTTTTTCTTCAGCTCCAAACCCGCTGGATGCATTCCGAGACTCGGTCGATCGACAAACACGGGCTAGCGAACCAGTAGGACGACCTTGGTCAGTGAAGGAGCTCCGTCGCAAGTCTTACGACGATCTGCACAAGCTTTGGTATGTACTATACCTGGAACGAAACATGCTATTGACGGAGCAGCAGCTGTCAAGAACTCGACAACTTATATTCCCACAACCGCAGCGAATGAAGAAGGTTCAGAAGAGTATGGCTGCCATCAAGCAAGTGCTTGGGGAACGAAAGCGTTCAAAGATTGCTAGCTTTCAAGAATCTAGAATGGCGGAGGAAATGGCTGCAAATGCAGAAGAGGCCAATGAAGTTATGGAGTAAGGCCGCGTCTTTGAAATCTCAACAAAGATAGTACTTCTTTCGTCTCTAGTATCTTTATGATTCCATAGAATTTCTACATAGGTCCTATAAAAGTGAAACTTGAAATGCATAGTTACAATGCTATTATAGATACAAGCACTGTGAACTGGGACGGCCGGGAAAATCAATATTTACTCCCAAGAATTGTATGCTAAATTTCTATTTCCTGGTCCGGGTGGTGTCGGCTCATGTAATCAAACGAATCATCAGAATGCATCTAAATAAGTACTACGTTGACGTCATCATCGCATCATCAAAAAATCGAGCAGCTTTTTGCCTCGCGACGTCACAAAATGAAAGAACCAACAGAACTTGTAACAGCAAGGAATGAACCGAAATGACAGTTGCAGCCTTTTTCAGCGACCTACTGGGTCGATTCAAGCTAAGATACCTGTAAAGTGCTTCAATTGGCGGAAACGAAAAGTAGAGCATTCTCCTCAAGCTTCTCTCCATAGTTGTCTCGATGTGAAATTCAGTGAAAAGATAGATACGCGGAAGGGCTTTCGAATTATGGTAGAGGAGATCAATGTGTCTCAGCATACCTTGGCTGAAAAGACGTGCTCTGTCATTAGCAACGTACTTTTTCCGGATGAATGCCAGCGTCTCATTTCTGTGGCTGAGATGACGGGGTTCCTTCCAGCGTTGCTTGATACAGGAAACGGGGAAGTGCTTATGCAAAAAAATCGAAATCTTGATCAATGTACAATTATTGACAAGGCTTTTTCCGATGCTATATTTCAAAGGATTTCTGATGTGCTCCCAAGAACAATTAGAACACCAGATGGGTCGCTTTGGAAGCCTCTATCTTTGAGTGAGCGCATGCGAGTCCTGAGGTACGGGCCTGGTCACTTTATATCTTCTCATAGGGATGGTGCATACTGTAGAAATGACAGCGAGCGCACCTTTCTAACGGTCATCATTTATCTAAATGATGGGAAGGATGATTTCATTGGGGGCTCTACCAACTTTTTGAGTCGCAATTCTCCATGTTCAGAGAGTAAAACTTTCATCACAAGCAAAGTGATTCCTCAACGTGGTGCTATCCTAGTCTTTGATCAAAACCTGCTTCACGAGGGTGCAAAGCTACTAGTTGGTCATAAATATGCAATTCGAACAGAGGTCATGTACAGAAGAGACCAGCCAATATCGAGATAGATCTCGGCGTCTCAGTGCACCAAACCCGATGAAAACTTGATCATAGTCACAAACCTAGAAATCCAGCAAGTGTATGATCCATACTGCAGTTGTAGAATTCTTTTTCTTTTCGCATGCCTCGTCCTTGCTTCGAAATAAAACGAAGACGTGGAACCATAATCGAGAGACAAATACAATTTAGCATAGAAGCCGAGACTTTTGTGAATTCCTAAATTTTGATTACATTATAAATTGCTTTCTATGCAATTACTCTATAGGGCATGGGTATACAAAAACTCAGCCCAGAGTCTTTCTCAAGAACCGCCTATTTCGGCGGCGTCCATCATGAGCAGTGAAGGAAATCTTCGCTCCTCTTTTCCTAGTTGGAGACACGACTGGAAAAAGTGTGGAACCCGATGGTGGAAGTGCAGTTGGACCACTTGGGACAGACCCTGACGTGCCTACAGTAGCGACAGGCCCATAACTGTAACATTCCCATGTGGTTGGTCCCGAAGTCGCGCTGACAGGGCCGGAGCCAGAGTAACCATCGTTACACCCACTGTTGAATACCGAAGCATCACAACTTGTAATAACAGCTGAGTCATTATTGAAATAGCAATGGCATCGCTTGTTGCTACCTTTGTAACCAGATCCCACTAGATCAGTATCATCAACTTCAAGACACTTATCTTGGCAATCTGTAGCGCTATTCATGGGCTCGACGACTGCTCGGTCATAAAGAATGCTATCAGTGACAGAGCACCAACCATTGCCAAAGAAAGAAAACTCTTTTTGTACTGTCGGAACCATGGATGGACGAGAGGTAGGCGCTGGTGTTGGCACACGACTTGGTGTTGCAGATGGGCGGCTGGTTGGGTCTGTTGTTGGATTTGGTGATGGCAACTCAATGTTGCTTGGCAATCTGCTTGGCCTCAATGATGGTGCACCTGTGGGGCTAGAAGTGGTTGGTGCAAGCGATGGCCAGGCGGTTGGATTGCGGGTCGGCGATCGAGATGGACTATCCGTCACTGGAAGCTCATAGCTGTAACACTCCCATGTAGTCGGTCCGGAAGTCGCGCTCACATGGCCAGAACCAGAGTAGCCATCGCTACACCCACCGTTGAATACCGATGCATTACAAGTTGCAATAACAGTAGAGTCATCATTGTAGTAGCAATGGCATCGTTTGTTGTTAGCTTTGTAGCCAGATCCCACTAGATCCGTATCATCAACTTCTAGACACTTGTTCTGGCAATCTGATGCATTGTCCACTGGCTCGACAACAGCTCGGTCATAGAGAATACTGTCATTGACAGAGCACCAACCATTGCCTAAGAAAGAGAAAACTTTTGATATGGTCGGGGATGCGGTTGGATCGGCGGATATGGTTAGACTCGTAGGACTGGAAGTTGGCATGGATGTAGGTCCAGATGTTGGTCCGCTGGTTGGTCCAGAAGTGGGGTCACTTGTAGGTCCACTTGTAGGTCCCGATGTTGGTCCTGAAGTCGGTCCAGTAGTTGGACCGGACGTTGGACCAGGTGTTGGCCCTGAAGTTGGACCGGAAGTTGGCATTGACGTAGGTCCAGATGTTGGTGCAGATGTAGTTGGGCCAGAAGTTGGTGGCGTTGTTGGTCCCGATGTGGGTCCGGAGGTTGGCAGTGATGTTGGTCCAGAAGTTGGAGCAGATGTTGGTCCAGCAGTGGGCCCTGATGTTGGTCTGCTTGTTGGTCTGCTTGTTGGTCCTGACGTAGGCCGATTAGTTGGACCACCAGTTGGTTCACTTGTAGGCCCACTTGTCGGTCCACTTGTAGGTCCACTTGTAGGTTCACTTGTAGGTCCACTTGTAGGTCCCGATGTTGATCCAGATGTTGGTTCACTTGTCGGGCCTGATGTTGGGCTAGTTGTAGGTCCAGAAGTTGGCTCTAATGTAGGCCTGTTGGTTGGACTGCTAGTGGGTCGGCTCGTGGGCCCTGATGTGGGCGCATTTGTAGGTCCACTGGTGGGGGTTGAGGTAGGTCTAGAAGTAGGTCCACTTGTTGGAAGAGAGGTAGGACCAGATGTCAGTCCAGATGTTGGCTCTGACGTTGGTCCAGATGTGGGCCCATTAGTTGGTGCTGATGTAGGCCCCGACGTTGGTACTAATGTTGGATCAGAAGTAGGGCCATTGGTTGGACCAGACGTAGGTCCACTTGTTGGACCACTGGTGGGGGTAGAGGAAGGTCCGTTGGTGGGGCCAGCAGTTGGGCCACTAGTTGGTCCAGTCGTAGGTCCACCCGTTGGTCCGCTGGTAGGATCAGAAGTGGGCGCCGAGGTAGGACCAGATGTTGGACCACTGGTTGGTCCGGACGTAGGTCCGCTGGTGGGGGCCGCAGTTGGGCCACTTGTAGGTCCCGATGTAGGCCCACTACTTGGTCTAGTCGTAGGTCCAGATGTAGGCCCAGGTGTAGGTCCACTAGTTGGTACGCTGGTTGGACCATATGTAGGTCCAGATGTAGGTCCAGATGTAGGTCCAGATGTAGGTCCAGATGTTGGTCTAAATGTAGGCCCGGATGTGGGTTCGGAGGTTGGTCCAGATGTAGGTCCGCTCGTTGGTCCGCTTGTAGGACCAGGAGTTGGGCTCGAAGTGGGTCCAGATGTCGGTCCACTTGTTGGTCCCGAGGTAGGCCCGGAAGTAGGGCCAGATGTAGGTCCGCTTGTTGGATCAGATGTTGGTCCGCTACTTGGGCCCGAGGTAGGTCCGGATGTTGGTCCACTTGTTGGGTCGGATGTAGGTCCAGAGGTTGGTCCGCTGGTAGGTCCAGATGTGGGCCCACTGGTAGGGCCTGAAGTTGGGCTCGAAGTAGGCCTTGATGTCGGTCCACTTGTTGGTCCGGGAGTAGGTCCAGACGTCGGTACGCTGGATGGTTCACTTGTTGGACCGGATGTTGGCCCACTAGTTGGTCTGCTTGTTGGACCAGATGTGGGTCCACTGGTAGGTCCAGATGTAGGTCCGCTGGATGGTTCACTTGTTGGACCGGATGTTGGCCCACTAGTTGGCCCACTAGTTGGTTCGCTTGTTGGACCAGATGTGGGTCGACTGCTAGGTCCACTAGTTGGCCCGCTGGTAGGTCCGCTGGTTGGGCCACTAGTAGGTCCGGATGTAGGTCTAGATGTTGGTCCACTAGTAGGTTCAGATGTGGGTCCATTCGTCGGACCGGATGTTGGTCCGCTTGTTGGCCGAGAGGTAGGCCTGGAAGTAGGTCCAGAGGTAGGCCCGCTGGTTGGGCCACTTGTAGGTCCGGATGTAGGTCGAGATGTTGGTCCGTTAGTTGGCCCGTTAGTAGGTCCGCTGGTTGGGCCACTTGTAGGTCCCGATGTGGGTCCACTAGTTGGACCGGATGTTGGTACGCTAGTTGGCACAGAAGTTGGTCCAGATGAAGGTCCGATGGTTGGGCTACTTGTCGGAATGGATGTTGGTCCGCTAGTTGGACCTGATGTGGGTCCACTAGTTGGTCCCCTTGTTGGAACGGATGTAGGTCCAAATGTGGGCCCACTGGTAGGGCCTAAACTTGGGCTCGAAGTCGGTCCGGATGTCGGTCCACTGGTTGGGTCACTTGTAGGTGCGCTCGTTGGTCCTGATGTTGGTGCAGAAGTCGGTCCAGAAGTAGGTCCGCTAGTTGGACTAGATGTAGGTCCAGAAGTAGGGCCGCTTGTTGGTCCAGCGGTGGGACCAACGGTAGGACCTGAAGTCGGTCCGGAAGTCGGTCCACTGGTTGGGCCACTTGTAGGCGCGCTCGTTGGTCCTGATGTTGGTGCAGAAGTCGGTCCGGAAGTAGGTCCGCTAGTTGGACTAGATGTAGGTCCAGAAGTAGGGCCGCTTGTTGGTCCAGCGGTGGGACCAATGGTAGGACCTGAAGTCGGTCCGGAAGTCGGTCCACTGGTTGGGTCACTTGTAGGCGCGCTTGTTGGTCCTGATGTTGGTGCAGAAGTCGGTCCGGAAGTAGGTCCGCTAGTTGGACTAGATGTAGGTCCAGAAGTAGGGCCGCTTGTTGGTCCAGCGGTGGGACCAATGGTAGGACCTGAAGTCGGTC